ATAATTGACGAAGATATTAAGACTTAAGTGGGTTCCAGTTTTTTTTGTCACCCTGTATTATGCACCTTGTCTAGACCATATCCAACTCCTGATCATCCAGTATTTGTATAATATTCATCCCTAAACTTGGGTATTGTTTTTTGGCCCAACCTGTATATGTACATTTGTTGATGTAAGCAATTAATCAAAGTGTTTTATTATGAGAATGATGTAACTTCAATCTACGATGAGTAATTCATATGCATTTAAAGCAACATTTATGTGAGTTCATTGAAAATTAAATAAGACTTCTGAAAAAAGTTAAATTCTGATTATGTCCATATGAGATGGCCCAATCAATTCTGAAAGACCTACTGTTTCCAGTTGATAACTTAAATCTCTTTAGATCTCTTTAGAGATGTAGATGTAGAGATGAGTGTAATTATTTTACCATAATTGCAAATTACCTATACACAATGGACTACATTGTGCATACCAATAAATAGGATGAGAGTCTCACTGGGATGGCATTATGATTGGAATATTTCCACAGAAGCAACCTGTAGTATCAAGTAACTCAATAGTTTACATATTTCCTGTAGTAAAGATGGTGACATTAACTGAATGGAATAATTAATTAAATGAGATATCTGACGATGAAAATGAGTTGATGATCACATTTCTAGGTCTTCTGTCATTATCTCAAAAGTCACTTCTTTTGTATTCAACTAACTGCTTTATGCTACATTCTTCCCAAACTTATTTTTTATTATAATTCACTGTCATATTCCTCATTTTCTGATTGTTCTATACTAGTATCCTACACGTGACAAGGCAATAAAAAGAAGCCATATTCCCTAGCTGTGAGTTCATCCAGTGTGATCTGAACAATATACTCCAACTGACACTTTACTCAGTGAACCTTTATTTAATATTTTATATTATCAATAGAATTCTTGATAATATCCATTAAGATGACACTGTAAAGACAACAAAAACATCACGAGAGTGAGGAATATAAACAGTGAATAATAAAACAAATATCTCACTCAAGTTCTATATTCCTCAAGGCCTCTGGGCTGCAGGGAACATTGCCTGTGAAAGATGATTGAAACATTTGTAGAATATTCCTTACAAAATAACATATATTGGAATGTTATAAAAACCCTGCACCCCTGCAACCCCTGCACTCCTTCAACTTACTGGGTGTCAAGAAATTATAGGAGTGTTATAAAAACCCTTTGACTTTAATCTATTTTTTCTGAAAATATCTAATTTGATTAAATTGTTTGCAGAATGGGCATTCAATGTGTCAACTAACATGTAATCTCATGTTTTCCCTACAATTCCATCTTGATTGTTATAAAAACCCTTAGACCTGGCGATTGAATATATATTCAAGTGTTCTCTTGTTTTTATATTGCTACTACAACTGTCAAATTGTTTAAGATGAACTCTAGAAAAACCCTTCGATTGAATATATTCATGCATCTTTAAATTCATCATCTCAATTTTTCAAATAATTTCAATGTATTTGGTAACAATGAGTGGGTCACTCATAAAGTCAAAACATCTTTAAGATTTTGCTTTTTGGTCATGTTCCAGGAATATATTGTTATTCAACTTGGTCGTTATATAGTAACATATCATATGCCTGGTACTAGGATGGTCAAAATGAAAACAATGGAGCACAAGGCAGTATAACCTTTGTGAGAACCCTTTGGGTAAATAATGGATGTCACAGTGACTCTTACTTAGAAATGAAGTTAATACAGAGGATAATCGATGAAGGTTCTAGACTAAGTAATAATGACATAATGCTCTTTTATCGCCCACTTGATTTAAATGTTTTTCACACAATTTCTTCATTCTTTTGTCATTTCTCTGAGTTCATTGATATTTGTAGATTTTGTTAGACAGTTATAGGGGAAGGGACACTAATTTTGTTGATTATGGTATATTTATGTGGCAAATAATTTCAAAATGACTATTTTTATAACTTTAATTAGCTCTTTGCAATAACAGCCTACATTTCAAAGACTATTTTTATAACTTTAATTAGCTCTTTGCAATAACAGCCTACATTTCAAAAACGATGTTATCAAAAGAGGTTTTCTTAATAATTCCTATGTTCACTAATAAACGCATGGTGCTTATACTAGAATCTTTGCCGTAAAAACAGAACAGAAAAATATACAATTTTACGTGTCTCTAGTAAATCTCTCATTCTCTCCAAACATTTGCATCAAAAATAGGTTTTATACCAACAATATCATATTCATTCATATCAAAAGCCATTTCAGTTGAACAAATCAATAGAAATTCATGATTTGATCCTATGTTTTCAGATTAACTTATGAAGCTGGAAACAGTGGACAGCATAATTGTACTTCTGAGATTCATGCAAGTATTTTGGATAATCTGGTGACATGGGGCACTGACACTTGGCACAATACATGTGACATATCTCTCTGGCTGTAAAAATACTTGCGTTACAGTTGAAAAATATCAGACCTTGGAAATCTAAGATGAGGTATTAATTTGTATACACTTAGTGTCTTTAGAGAATGGTGTTTTAAATTGATGTACATGTATTCACGATTAGTATACCCACAATCCAAGATTAAACTTTTTACCTGAAATTGACAGCAGTTAATGCAGACACCCTTATCATTTCTCAAGAGGCAGGCAACTGATAAAAATTAGTACCGTGGGTACTGGGCTAACATGGTGTTGCTCAAAGGTGAAAATAAAAAAGACGGGTATAATTTTTTGCAGATTTTTTGTGACAAAATTATTTCATACAACTACTCTTTACAAAGACATGGCTTTTTACAATGCAGGACACCTGAACTTATTTGTAAAGCTAGGAAATGGGCCAAAAGTGAATTTCCCGAGACAAAAATGGTGGCCATTTTGAAATTAGGCGAGATTTTGAAGCAGGAGTCACAGGTTTTTTTTCTTTATTGATGTTGAACAAAATTATTTTAAATCGGGAATCCTATCTACAGAGGATTTAAAAAGTGTTGACAAAGGTTTAAAACTTGCCACTTTTTTGGACTGACTGAGAGACAGATGGACGAATCAATGTTAACTAAAATGGCTGAAAATAAAAAAACTGATATAATATTTTGCCGACTTTTTGTAACAAAATTATTTCATACAACTTCTCTTTACAGTGACATGGCTTTTTACAATGCAGGACAGCTGAAATTATTTGTAAAGCTAGGAAATGGGCCAAAAGTGAATTTCGCGAGACAAGAATGGTGCCCATTTTGAAAATAGGCGAGCTTTTGAACCAAGAGTCATAGGAGAGTTTTTTGTATTGATGTTGAACAAAATTAACTTAAAACAGGAATCCTATCGACAGAGGGTTTAAGGCAAATGGTCCAAAAGTGGATTTTGCGAGACAGATGGACAAATCAATGTTAACTAAAATGGCTGAAAATAAAAAAAATGGATATAATTTTTTGCTGATTTTTCGTAACAAAATTATTTCATACATCTTCTACTCTTTACATTGACATGGATTTTTACAATGTAGGACACTTGAAATTATTTGTAAAGCTAGGAAATAGGTCAAAAGTGAATTTCGCGAGACAAAAATGGCGGCCATTTTGAAAATAGGCGAGCTTTTGAGCCAGGAGTCATAGGGGAGTTTTCTGTATTGATGTTGAACAGAAATAACTTAAAACAGGAATCCTATCGACAGAGGTTTTAAAACGTGCCACTGTTGTTGACGGAAAATGGATTTCACAAGTCAGATGGACAAATCAATGTTAAATAAAATGGCTGAAAATAAAAAAATAGATATAATTTTTCGCTGATTTTTTGTAACAAAATTATTTCATATATCTACTCTTTACATTGACACAGATTTTTACAATGTAGGACACCTGAAATTATTTGTAAAGCTAGGAAATGGGTCAAAAGTGAATTTCGCGAGACAAAAATGGCGGCCATTTTGAAAATAGGCAAGCTTTTGAACCAGGAGTCATAGGGGAGTTTTCTGTATTGATGTTGAACAGAAATAACTTAAAACAGGAATCCTATCGACAGAGGTTTTAAAACGTGCCAGTCAAAAGTGAATTTCGCGAGACAAAAATGGCGGCCATTTTGAAAATAGGCGAGCTTTTGAACCAGGAGTCATAGGGGAGTTTTCTGTATTGATGTTGAACAGAAATAACTTAAAACAGGAATCCTATCGACAGAGGTTTAAAAACGTGCCACTATTGTTGACGGACAGACAGACGTATGTTAACTAAAATGGCTGAAAATAAAAAAAATGGATATAATTTTTTGCTGATTTTTCGTAACAAAATTATTTCATACATCTACTCTTTACATTGACATGGATTTTTACAATGTAGGACACTTGAAATTATTTGTAAAGCTAGGAAATAGGTCAAAAGTGAATTTCGCGAGACAAAAATGGTGGCCATTTTGAAAATAGGCGAGCTTTTGAGCCAGGAGTCATAGGGGAGTTTTCTGTATTGATGTTGAACAGAAATAACTTAAAACAGGAATCCTATCGACAGAGGTTTTAAAACGTGCCACTGTTGTTGATGGAAAAGTGGATTTCACAAGTCAGATGAACAAATCAATGTTAACTAAAATGGCTGAAAAAAAAAAAAAATAGATATAATTTTTCGCTGATTTTTTGTAACAAAATTATTTCATATATCTACTCTTTACATTGACACAGATTTTTACAATGTAGGACACCTGAAATTATTTGTAAAGCTAGGAAATGGGTCAAAAGTGAATTTCGCGAGACAAAAATGGCGGCCATTTTGAAAATAGGCAAGCTTTTGAACCAGGAGTCATAGGGGAGTTTTCTGTATTGATGTTGAACAGAAATAATTTAAAACAGGAATCCTATCGACAGAGGTTTTAAAACGTGCCACTATTGTTGACGGACGGACAGACAGACGGACAGACAGATGGACGGACAGACAGACGGACAAGTGAGCCATTGCAAAAGCTCACCATGTGAGCTAATAATAATATAGGACACTTACCCACGCTCCATTTGGTCTGACATGACTGCCCACCTATCATTAAGTCTTTGTAGCATGTAAGGGCAGATGACGGACAGCAAGGGCATAACTGCATTCCTGTGACACACAGCAGGACAATGATAGATGTATGGCTTCATAAATTGACCTGTCATGGTTAAGGTATCAAATAGAAATCACAGCAAATGGACAATTCTAGTACCTTATACCATCGTATTGGTAACTCAATATGTCCACTTTAAAACCGAACATGTTTTTGCAGAGATGGGCCATTGAAATAAAAAGACATGACGACTTTTCCATCATCTATTCAAAGACATAATGAGGAGCCCACTTTACATTTCTCATTAACAATTAATTCAGGTAGGCAACACATCAAAGTGGTATCGACACCAAAAAATTGTGTTGTTAAATACCACAAAGCATCCATAATGGCACAAAGATGCCAATATGATGTCTCCCCTATTTGTCAAATCTTTTAGCAAGCAGTATGCAAATTACAAGGTACAGTATGTACAATCAGGATTTAAGATTCTTGATCATATGGTGCTGTTTTGAATCAATGGGACTTAATACAAACTTAACAGACTTTTTAGCTACAAAACCTTTCTATATCTAGACATCATTTTATTCATGAGAATATTTCTATAAGAAATATTTTCTTAATCTCAGCAACATTTTAGAGAGAAGGAAATGAATAATTTTTATTCTTATCAGAAAATTAAGTTTAGTATGAAAATTTGGTCAAACAAGTTTTTGCATTTTATATTCCTATCCAAGGATACGTATGATTGGTCTGAGTCTATAATCCGGTATATGGTCAAGGTTGGTGAAGACACTGGCAAGGAGCATGGGAACCAATTCTGGCGTCATGTAGAACTGGTAACCAAGGCACTGACCTGCATTTCCTAGCACATGGTAACTGCAAAACACATTTGAGACATCATTAGAATAATATGTCAGTGATGCCTAAGGGTGATTGAAATGATTGCATTCTTTAACTGAACTTATTGATTTATGCAATAAATACTGGAAAAATAGTAACATGATAATCAATATTGAGAGGTCTAGACACTTATTATTTTCTATTTATTCATTTTTAAGGTTTTCATGACCAAGTGCTTCAAGAACAATAATCGTACCTACAATTATTTCAAAAATGGATTCAGTGCTGAGAGTTCATTTGCTTATTACAAGTCAAGTCACCCTTTGCTTTGCAATGATTTTCCTTAGTGAAATTCAAATATCTGTTATTAGTTCTCTTTCTCTGCCATTGTTACTGGATTTCTTATTTCAGAACATTAAAGACTTAACTTGATGGAGTTAACTTATGACATACAACTATTTACCAATTATCATGTGTGTTAACAATGAAGTTCTGCATTCTTTCCAGTGGGTTCTTACAGTTTGCCATTTCAGTGTTGTCAACGCATGGTGGCTGAATACCTAAAAAACACAAAAACATATTTTTCGAAATCATCTTTACCAGCAGAATGATGTTCCAATAGTTCCAGCAAGATACAGTAAAACCTTTGGAATTAAGTAGAACAGTTTCTCACGATACTTTTACAAGTTTAAGGTGTTCCACCTACAAATGTTCATTTTTCATTTAGCTAATAGCTACAGTAATTAGACTTTGAGGTGCTGCACTTATAGAGATGGTAAATTATTCTTCCTTAATCAACATAAGCTGACATGAAAAACATGTTAAATGAAAGAAGAATTCAATTTCTGAAGATAAATAAAAAGTTTAGAAAAGGGATTAGACCTACGCTTAACCTCTAAACAAACATTTAATTTGGAAGTGGCTTATTCAGAGTTCACAAAAATGTCAGATGGAAAATGTCAAATGGAAATATTGATAAACTCAAAGCAATGCCAAAGTGAAAACTCAAACCCGATAAAGTAGAAGCTAGTAAAACATTCAACAACTTCGAACTATAGTGAATGTGGACTTGATCATATTTTTCTCATCTAATATGTACCAAGATGCACTGGAGTACAATTTAAGAACTAGTCACGACCAATTCACTGTATCAGGTGGATACAAAGAAACAATTAGACATCAGAACTCTCAAAATAAATCACTACATTATTAAATTGTAATTTGATCATGAGACAAGCAATTTTCATTCAGGTGAAGGTACATGTAGCTGCAGGTCATGCCAACCTTGAGCTGAAACATTTTTGAGACAAATGTCAGAGGTAGACATGAGATATCTCAAATTATTTCACAAATTTTATAGACTGCTACTACATTGTGTGCCTATTATGTAATTGAGATTATTTTACCTGTACACAAACTTTTACGGGGGTGAACTCGGCTGAACCCTCAGATATCAGTATGCTCCCATAACAATTAATCAAAATTTCAATATGTTATTTTTTTAATAACATTTTGTAACTGGTGACGTTGCCCCTTTTAAATAGATCTCACACCTTTTATCAGTAAAGAAAAATCATAAAATACTTAATAAGATAACAAGGAGATCAAAAATAGGAGTTTTTTTATATTTTATAAGTACCTAACAGATTTATCATACTTATTCATTTAGCAATTCATTGTTAACTTTCTTAATCTTGCAGATTTGTTGAATTTTCTTGCAAAAATTGGTTGTTCCCCTCTATTCGTTTTTCTGATCATCAGGTGTAATTTTGGGGCATTCTTATACCAGATCCTAAAATTTGGGTCAACTGACAACCCATGTGTGCCAAGGATTTTTTGTTTTGTTTTAGTTGTCTTTATTTAACAATTTCATACACAATTTTTCATGAGGTATGCTGCCAAGCGCCAATGGCATTACTGGCTAGCATTTATTATTTCATCTTTAGTAAAATATCATTCATAAAAAACATAGATGTATGTGCTTAATTGCATTATTTATCATGGAGTTTGCCACATTCTACTTAAGACAGAAGCACTTTAAGTTTCTTGATGCATTATAAAATTGATGAATTTTTCCTTTAAAATACAATAAATCTTTTTCTAATGACAGATTGTTTTCAAACACTAATGCCTTAATTCTATCCTCTTGTCTCCGGGGTAACAGGTTCTCAAGGTTATGCTGCTCAACCTTGCTGATATGCTGATCCCCGCCAAGGTTTATATACAATGAATCCCCAAGGGTTGACTTGGTTGCATAAATGTTATTGTGAAATAAAAAAAATTTGACAATGGAGATGTTTATTGCCGTGATAAAAAATGATTTTGAAATCTGAATAATATGTATTTTTTTGTGAATGCACGAATGATAAAGTTGAGAGATTTACTAAGAATTTAGAGCTGATGTATAATCCTGCAGTTTATATATCAATTTATGAATCTATAGATGTCAGGAGAGCACATTTGGAAAGGATAAACAATATTACCATCTTGATTCACAAGCTTTCAGTTGTTCCAACTTCATAAAACCATATTGGGAGTCAAAAATGAAAAAATGTGCACAGAATTACGGCATCATGTTATTTTTTATCTCACAATTCTTTACAAGGAGAGCTTAAAATTTATATCTTCCATCCATCCAATAATCTTTTTTCATGAACAACACTTGCTTTCATGAAAAATTAAGTAAAATATATTAGGGGTATTTGATTAATATATTTTATCTTATTGATAAACCTTTTCACGAAGGGTGGTGAATATTTAACATATTTTCCCTAGGTTTTCATCATTATAATATTAATTCATTTGTAAAACAATGTCATTACACTTTTGATCATTAGGTAGATAAGTTAATTGCAACATCAAATGTCCAAGGTATAGAGAGTAGGTTTTCATTGTTACAGCATAATCTAGATGTAGATGTGAAACAGTGTCAGAATAATAGTACATGTACATTATAAGATTTTTATGTTTTTTGCAATATCGAATGTCAAAGGTATGTCAAGTAGGTTATCATCATAACAACACTAATTTAGATGTATGTAGTTCATAAGATTTTTAAGACAAAGGTATAGAAAGTAGGTTGACATTGTAAAACATTAATTCAGATGTAAAAAGTGTATCATATTAATGTGCATCACTGAGAAGTTGAGTTTATTACAATGTGAAATGTCAATGTTTTTCTGTTCTATTTGATGATAAATATTAAAATTACAGTGGGGGACAAAAATAAAACTCAACGTTCACAAGTTGTCACAATGAGCTTATTTCCAAGTTTCGTGTCTCAAACTCTCCCAAGCGGTAGAAAAATAATTCCCGTTCACTAAAGTAGCACAATAAATGAATCCAAAGCTTCATGCCTGCAAATAATGGATAAATCCCTACCAAATCGAATGAATGTTTTCATGAATCGCCATGTTTGTTATCCAAGAACGGTTGACTCCCAGAATGCAACATCAGTTAACCGTATTTACTCATGACAGGTTTCAAAATGGCGGAACATCATTTTGAAAGCTGACACGTGTCATGTTGCATTCTGGGAGCCAATCCTCCGTTCCGGCGCAATCGGGCGACAAAATCACCTCAACATTTGAAGAGTCGGCATTACATGTGAATATCCAATTCAACTTTTGAATTTCTTATTTGTCATTAGGGACACAAATTCCACTATATTTGGACTTACTAAGACAGAGAAAATAGAGCACTGAATACACTGAGGTAAGAATTTATTACATGTGCGACAGCATGTAATTTTCATAGCTTTTGCAATTCTTTATGATCCCCACTGTATGTATACAATTTCCTTCTTAAAGATGTAAAGTAAGTCATTTTTTGTATTCAGTTCCAATAATTTTTTATTATCTGAAAACGTCTGACAAATAAACAAATCAAACACTTGTCACAGGTTCTAGCTATATAAAGGAATGGTATCCGAGACAACCAAAATTAGTATTTCCATCTGATTAGGAGCTGGTTATGGCAGAATTTTTTTTCGAGGTTAGGTATTCTGGCCATATCCAGCTCCTGATCATCCAGTATTTGTTTTATTATGCATTGTCTCAATCAATCTTTTTGAGTGTACTTCAATGTACTTACATTTTTGGAACTTTTGATTTTTCTTGAAACTCAGGCAACTTCCGTTTTCCTCTGCACCAAATGAAAATCGTTGTGCCAGTATTTTCTTTTTAATTTAGTGCAGTATTTCAGTTGTACTTATATTACACTCAAATTCTGATGAACTAATATTTTTTAAAATGATTGGGTACACTATTTTCGCACACAATACACAATACACGTACATGTATTTATTTCAAATAATGCTCAACTTAGATATAGTGAAATGAGACCATAACAAAATGTCACCACACATAATATGCTATTATAGGTTGCAAATGTAACTGTTCACTGATTCAATATTTATTTTCAGATATGTGTCCACTGTTAATTTTTTGCCAACATGTTGGAATTCATTTGGAATATTAAAATAAATATTCAGATGCACTGTATTTTCATCAAAATTATGTTTACAGAGTCAGAGAGCTGGTATTTATATTTATCATCTTATGTTCTTCTGTACCTTTGGTAAATTAATGAAACAATTCAAAATCATAAAAGTTTCTTATAATTAGGACGTCAGACGTCATCCTGCCAATTTGGCCAACAATTTTTTCTGTCTGATGCTGTATCATATTACATATCTTTCCAAGTATAAATGGGAATCATCTTAAACAAATTGCCAACTGATAGCACTAGCCAGTGAGAATAAAGTGTGTTTTTGCATTATTCATTACGGTAGCATAAAGGTCAACAGGATGGTCAATTTTGCCCTATTAGAGTGACTTATGACTCAGATGACAAGACCATTAAAGTGTATGACAACATAAGTACAGCTAGGAATGAAGTAGACAAGGCACTTGCCTTATCAACATTTCATAAAACTATTTTCATTCATACATTTACTCAACAAAAATTTTGGAAATGAAGTCCTTCATTTAGACTCAATAAGCTCAACCTATTTTTCTTTTTGAGATCCTGGCTACATCGACAATTAGTTTCAACTTGAGTTTTGAGGTGTTTAGAGATACTACCTGCCATTATTTCATGCACCATTCTGTGTGAAGCAGTCACCAGGTCATTTAAGAGCATACTGTACGTCCTGTTTTTCATTCTACATGTATGGAAATATTCCTTTATAGTAAACATAATTTTGAGAAGTAAAAGAAAGAACTGCACATTGTATGTTATCATGGTTACTGTCAGTAAAATATAAATATGCTCCATGTCCCCAAAGCATTAACTTCCCTAAATTATCTACACAATGATACAGAGACATCTATAACTAAGCTTACCCAGAATGGCTTGTTTTTCAAAATCTTGTAGCTCAAATGCTCTGGAGAATTCTGGATGTCTCTTTGCCAGGTACGCGGGTGCCCATAGACAGTTCTGGATTCTAAGAAAAATGGCATACTTGTCAGGCCCGTAGCCAGGATTTGCCAAGGGGGGGTTCATTTTTTGGAAAATTCCAGGGGGGGTTCACTTTTGACAATTTGGGTCCAAAAAGGGCCAAAATCACTTAAAAAGTGCTCAGAATGGTGAAAAACTGCATGATTTTGAAAGAATTTTTGGCCAGGGGGGGGGTTCGCCCGAACCATGCGAACCCCCCCTGGCTACGGGCCTGCTTGTAATGTGTGAAACAGAGAGTTAAATTAGGGACATGGTCTTGCTCAATATGTTGCTACATACCAGCAATAGACTAGATATGAGTAGAAATAAGCTTGATTTTCATCACTGAATATTCAAAATCAAATACAAAATCCTAAAATAGTTAAGAGTAAATAATTAGCAAATCCAGAAAGTCCAAATCCACATCAACTATCATGTCCAATTTTTCAAAATCAAAATACAATATCAATACTATAGTCACATTTGAATGATTTACTTTATTTTGAAGAGGCATTAAAAGTCCACAAATTTTATTAGCATACATTGACATCCAGTCTAGTATATAGAGGATAGATGGTGCTAACTGTGATCTGTGAATATTTGCCAGCAATTTATAAAACATAAGGGTTGTGTACTGGGAGGTTTTGGATATGGGGTTGATCCACAGGGAGATATGCATCTACCTGAGGGACAGTATAGGATAGATGGTGCTGACTGTGATCTCTACATATGGGTCAGCAACTCATAAGACATCCCCTTGTTCTCTCTCATAAGAATCCAAAATATTTTCTAACCAAACCATATCTATAAAACACTGTTTTCCTATGACTACGGAATGTTATGAGAATTTTAATCAGTATCAAATATATTTCATCTTGAATGAATACAAGGAACTTTTTGTCCCAACATATTAGTACAAATATTTTTACTCACTTGAGTAAAGCGAAGAGGTTCTGTAGGAATTGCTTTATATGGGGTGTCACTGGGTTGTTCATAAATTGTGGACCATCTGCCACTGGTTGGCTCACAAATCCACCCTGAACAGCAGTCTAAATGCAAAAAATAATAGCTTTTAATAAAAGTATGATGTAATGGCTTGTCTCACATCGGTAGTACAATAATTAAAGAATGTAAAGTTATATGATCTTTGATTAACCACTCATGAACTGGTTAAAAAATTAGAATATTTTATTTCTCTCTGCTTACATTAAAATCATAATATATGACATGGTTATAAAAAATGAAAGAAAGGATTTGATGAAATACTTTTGCCTACATGCACATAATCTTTGCCGTGCATGAAATCGCAAAATAGACCTCAAGTCAGGCCCATAGCCAGGGAGTCAGGCCGGTGGCGAAATATTCATTCAAAATCATGCTGTTTTCACCAATTTAAGCACTTTTCAAGTTATTTTGAGCCAAATTTGTCAAAGAACCCCCTGAAATTTTTTAATAACTGAATTTCCCCCACTAGGTAACTCATGAAAAATAACTGAGATAATGGCTTTAGTTAAGCATGAGTAAGACGACTATAAACCTTCTTTAAATTTCCTCTCTTGCTAAATGACAGAAGCTGGAATGTATTAACTATATTTATGATGTCATTAGTGGTAAGTCTAAAAACAATGTGTTTTATTATATCCGTAATCTATTCAATGACATTATATCAAATCAACATGATTTAAATTACTAGTATGATCAAGTGGAATATGTTTAATACCTCCATATCAACTGGGCCTTTGCTCCGTTTCAACACTGCCAGTATAGTGTTGACACAGTAGCTTATCTGAAACATACATCATATTATTAGTTAAAGGTATATTCCTTGCAAGACCATTTCTCTCTTGATATGGTAGCTATAACCATTTATATGCTATCCATGCAAATAATGTTTTTATATGGTCAATACCAATCATTTATGAAAGCAGTACATGTACTCATTTCCAGTAGGCTGCCATCTTTCCAGATTTCATCCATGAAGTCAAATATGAAATTACTAAAATGGTGCTGATGCCTCACACTCCAAAAGACTGTTCATCTATTATTAATATCTAACAAATTAAAATGAATTTGCTTTTAAATAACTGGGATAGCATTTTAATCACTGTATATGTTATTTCTTACTTGAGATCGGTTTATGCCACATATGTCAGCTGAGCTTGGTTCCACAGGGGCCTGGTCAAGTCCTATATATGTCATGAATTTCTCTGGGGAACTAAATGCACTGGAAATAAAGGGGATAGTACAATAAGAGATCTATCTGTTAATTTAGTGAATTGAGAGCTTTGAAAATGTTATATAGATGGCTCTCATCTGAAACACTTATGATATTTACCGGATAAAATAATATGATTTTGTTAAAATTAGAGAACCATACAACTCACCTTTTATATTCCATCTCGCAGTGTTACACCTAAATCAATAACACCCTCTTCGAGAAAAGACCAAAGTATTGAAATGTATGTATATCTCATTACATGTATAGTATAATAGAATATTATAACTAGAAAAACAGCAACTCCACAGAGTAGTAAATCCCACCGAACAAAACATATTTTGATTATTAGTGGCCATTTTGAAAATTCCTTCTTGAGCAGGGCTTGTTGGTCACAAGGCATCAAGATATAAAATGTAAAACATATCTGTCAATTAGCATTTGAGTTATCAAAGATTACATTTTATTCAAAATGGCCGCCATTTTGAAATTCATGAGACCATTTTGAAATTCAACAGCCATCATGAAAATCTCTTCTTGAGCAATGCTGCTTTTTGCCTAGGCGTCAGCATATAAAATTTAAACAGAATTTGTTTACTGGTATTTGAGTTATCATAGATTATGAAAAATGGCTGCCATTTTTAAATTCAGAGGCCATTTTGAACATCCCCTCTTGAGCAATGCTCCTTTGCCTCTAAGCACAAGCATATAAAATTTGAACAAAATCTGTACATTGGTATTTGAGTTATCATATCAAAGATGACATATTTCAGGAAAATGGCCACCATTTTCAAATACAGCGGCCATCTTGGAAATCCCTTCATGAACAAAACTCCTTTGCCCCTAGGTACAATCATATAAAAAAAACGGTATTTGAGTTATTGCCCGGACAAAAGAAAGGACGGATGGACAAACGGGCGGAGGGACGGACGAATGGACAGACGGATAGACAGCTTTTCTATATCCCCCTCAAACTTCGTTCGGTGGGATAATATTGATAATTGTACAATACTCACTGTGTCAGTACATCAGAAAGCCACATCTCTCTAACTGGTGTGAGTATCTCAGCTATGAATGCACTCTGCTTTGTAAAGCTCTTTATTTCATTGCTATAAAGTAGAGATGTTGTTTATCAGCTCACATGCTGTTTGCACCTATTTGGAATCCTTATCTTTACTTTCTAGGATTTCACTCTACATGGGCATCTTAAACATGGGTTTATTACTACTGCACACATCTTTATTTGCCAGGGAATTTTCTCTGTGTCAAGATTCCCATTTCAGAGAATCATATAATAGTGTTTTGGTTCTCATATAGTATTCACCATAGATCCACCAATAGAATGTATGGCAAAAGAGGATGTTGATCACTTGTGAACTTGCTTAAAATGAAATAAGTAAATGGCTAATTTGGACATTAATTCAGCCTCCAGGTTTGAGGATTTTGTCATAATCTCCAATTAAAGGTCTTGACAAGATCAAGCTCCCATTTTAAAATTTTATCACTTCATATACAATCCCTTTACATACTGTAGGATCCATTCATATATAATCTCTTAATATTAAGGGTCCCTTCATATTAAGTCCCCACATGCACAATCCCTTCATATACGGTCCCTTCATATTAAGTCCTGACATACACAATCCCTTCATATAGGGTCCCTTCATATTAAGTCCTGATATACACAATCCCTTCATATACGGTCCCTTCATATTAAGTCCAGACATGCGCAATCCTTTCATATAGGGTCCTTTGATATAAAGCCTCTCCATACCTGATGAGAATCATGGCTTCCATCAGTGTACACTTTTCCATCTGAGATAGTTGCTCTGGATCACTACTGATCTTCTTCACATGTGCATAGAGCTGCTCAAAGGCAGGCTGAAAACACATATTCAATTCATGGTTTCGTTACATTTTCTCTCAAGAAAGAAAGATTGTATGAACTGTATCACTATGTAGGAACTTCTACAGACATTAACGGAATATGGAATTGCTCAAAAACAGTCTGCTTACATATTTCAAAAAAAACAATTTAATTTTCTTTCATTATCCACACATTTTTTAGGGTATCCAGAAAAGATTATGCATATGAATGTATTACTAAAGCGTTTTAGGAAATATAAAAGGCCATATTTAAAGATAATGTAAAAGATGCACATGCTATGGAAAAAGCTTACAAGTAATAGATGGGGGTATCCTTTACATATCTTCACCAAAATGGAGCAGGCGTGACGTCGCACATTCTTTACACCACGACTCCTGGTAGCCTTTGTCTGACTCCCAATATTGAAAACTGCAGCATGGAATATCTATATAAAAAACATCACAATATTATTCTATGTGCATTTTTTCTATGATTAAAATGATTCTTATTTAAGTCCAATATTACGCTGATTCATGTCTAAAATTATACTTAATGTGTAAGATAATGCTAATTTATGTCTACAATTATTCTCATTTCTGTAAACACGTCCCTGATATAGATATATGAAGCAATTTTTAAATTGAATAATTTAATGATTCATGAATTTTGTCACTAACTCATCAATTGTATTGTGATATTAGAGGTGTATATCCATATGAGTTTGGTCATGATGCAGATCTGGGTGTACAATTTCCACCATTCCCCTCTCGGATAGGAATTATTTGCTTCATTTTTTCAGAGTCTTACCTTATCAAGGACTTGAGGAAGGACTGTGGGGGCCTCTTTGATGTAAGCAAATAGTGCAGAAACACATGACAGTAAACATGATAATATCAATGGATCCTGAAATATAATACAAAAACACTACCAAATTCCTGACTCACTGATACCATCCCCTAATAAGCGCCCACACCCTTTCTCAAACTTCAAGTGATATTGAGGAATGACCAAATATTAATGAATACATAAGAAAAGAGATAGAAATCCTAAAGAAATCAAGTGGGCAATCATAGAGTGCTTACACTAAAACGCTGTGATATTGACACATTTGTAATTCGGAACTTGATTGAAATAATTGTTGCATGTTTTCCATTTACATGTACATCAATAACACAGGATGCAATCCCATAAAGTAAATAAATTAATGTTAGATATACTTTACATGATGCAAGAGCTAAAATGCAATATTAAATCTTTGTGTTTGTAGTATTGGTATGCCTAAATGGCAAACTATTTGAGACATTTACAGGCCTCCTTTGAGAAAGCAAACATCGCTGTATTATCTGAAATTGATGCTTTGAACCGCTCCCTAAAGAATAACAGTAATATAAATAAACTAAACATGTAGAATATATATATATAAAGCCTATTATAGCCACGTATCTTAATTTCCACTCTTTGTAATTCAATTGTGAAGCTTTTATTTTCCATGTTTGGTTTATATCTTGAAACACAATGCAACTTCAAATACCAATGAATAAATTAATAATAAAGTAACTAAAATAAAGATATCAGCATCATTAATCTGGGCTTAATCATTCATTTCTATTAATGAGATCCTTTTCAAAGACAAAACCAGCCATGCATTGATGGCTGGAGACTTCAGAAGAGTTTCCCATAGATGACAATTATAACATTTACCCTATATCTTATTCACGTTTAGTATCCAAGCCTAGTGCAATATACCACAGTGTTCGGGAGAGACTTGCCTAGCCTGCTATAACAAATTTACCATGGGTTGTCCACCGAAATTTTGGGATAAATTTGAAGACACTAACCCCCTCTATTGTCAGATTTCTCAGAAAATTCTGGTAAAATCATCAAGGTCAAAATCAGTCCGCCGCCCACTTAAAATGAGATTCCCCACTAAACTTTGACATGTTTTCAGATATTAGGACCAACTGTATAAATATTGAGTTCAGATTCACTTACCAAATGCCAGATGGCGCTCTAATGGAGTAGGGAAGGAGAAAAATGACTTTTTATACAGAAAACCAAATCACTAACGGTAACTGCTAGTATCCTTACGCAGGACTATATCCTGATACCATATTCATAGAGTGGCCAGAGCAAAATCTGTGAAGCTTAAACTGACACTGATACTTCTAAATTTATCAATTGCAGCATATACAAGTAAGTGTGTCTCATTAGTGGACACTATCAACGATAGACTTGTATAATTGTGATCAAAGGATCACCTTGGGAATTAATATTAACTTAATACATTACTATAACTACGTAAACCATAATAAGACAAAAATAGGCTTTGAACTTTTCAAACTCCTCTAGTAATGTTCTACTATCAGATAATCAATTCACACATAGCTAGACAAGGTGTGTCCGCTTCCAGCCAATTCAAACACAGTATTTCATATAACTGCAGTGCATTATATAACCAATCACTGCACTGAATGTCATTCATTGAATGGTTGTCAAGGTGACTCTATAGATTGAAACTGATGCGTTGCCAATTTGACCCTAGGAAAAAGTTTCCTTGAAAATATGTTGTTTTAGTGATTTCATATCTGCGCTGTTATGCAAAGATTTGGAAACAACACCTTTACAATGGAATCATTCAGCGCACAATGAGTGAGGGCTTAAATCCTTGAACAACTCACCTCTGTCTGATACTGCAAAGTGGCCTGAAGAAGGTTAATTCCGACCTGCACTGGAGGTTGCCCTTCAGTCTGCATGAGTCTTGACATAACACTCTCCAAGTAAATAGAAACTGCATCCCACTGTATGTAAGAAGGTGACTTCAAGTTGCAGTGGCCTGATTCTGATCCTGAAGAGATAAATGTATAAATGTCATGGAAATTATGTTTTCATGTGAAAATGTGGAAAATAGAAAATTAGAAAACGGCAACTCAAAATAACAAATACTCTTATGCCCAAAATATTTATATTTCCTAATAAGAATAACATGAATGATACCTTCTCCCACATCCAGTTGTTGACTGGTGAGCAATTCTTGCAACATTTTAGCACCATAATTAAATGTATCACCGGGCATCAGCATGGTTGCTGCACGAACAACCTCCGCTATTTCTGCTCTGCAACCTACAGTTACAAAATGAATGTGTCAAAACATTTCATCATTAATGAATTGTTTAAAGCAACTGAGACATTATTGATAATAATATGCAGTCTGGCTTAAAGTTGAACCATGAATAGGATGAAATTACAGTAAAACTTGTCTAATTAGCTAAGGGGCCGAGTCAAATAGGAACATGGCATTCATCAGTGAAACTCAACTTATGGGGGTTGGGGTAAAAAAAATTGAGTAGGAGATCATTTAGAGGACTATGTGCAGAAAGGTTATAATAAAATAGTTGGCTATGAAACATCTAAAAATGGGACAGAAAAAGTGTGCATGTTTTGAAATGTTTGCATTGGAGAGGAATGAAACAGATTTCATAATTGTATTAAGTTTTATATTGAGTATTAACTTACGTGAAAAGAATGAATTGAAGTCCTCATCAGAATCAAAGTCCAGTCTTGAGTAGGCACATCTAGGGGAGTTCTCCAGACTGGGATAGCCAATCTAAAATGCAAAGCATGATTTGGATATATTAACTACATCTAGGGGAGTTCTCCAGACTGGGATAGCCAATCTAAAATGCCAAGCATGATTTGAATATATTAACTAGATCTAGGGGAGTTCTCCAGACTTGGATAGCCAATCTAAAATGCAAAGCATGATTTGAATGTATTAACTACATCTAGGCGAGTTCTCCAGACTGGGATAGCCAATCTAAAATGCAAAGCATGATTTAAATATATTAACTACATCTAGGGGAGTTCTCCAGACTGGGATAGCCAATCTAAAATGCAAAGCATGATTTAAATATATTAACTACATCTAGGCGAGTTCTCCAGACTGGGATAGCCAATCTAAAATGCAAAGCATGATTTGAAAATATTAACTACATCTAGGCGAGTCCTCCAGACTGGGATAGCCAATCTAAAATGCAAAGCATGATTTGAATATATGAACCACATCTAGGGGAGTTATCCAGACTGGGCTAGCCAATCTAAAATGCAAAACATGATATGAATACATGAATATTAACTACATCTAGGCGAGTTTTCCAGACTTGGATAGCCAATCTAAAATGCAAAGCATGATTTGAATATATTAACTACATCCAGGGGAGTTCTCCAGACTGGGATAGCCAATCTAAAATGCAAAACATGATATGAATATATTAACTACATCTAGGCGAGTTCTCCAGACTTGGATAGCCAATCTAAAATGCAAAACATGATATGAATATATTAACTACATTTAGGGGTTAGTTCAAAAGCTGTACACTACACTGTAGTGCTACATATGATACAATATTAACAACCTACTCTAAATTGCCTTTCATTTGAGTAAAATATACTTCAGAAAGATCTCAAAATAAATGCAAATTCCTGTTTCCTCGACCACCCATACAAATCCCCTGGGGGTCAGGGTGAAAAACATGGAATATATGTGAAAAAATAGATGTTGTGAATAAAATTTCTTGAAATTCTTTTTTAGTATACATTTATATATACATCTTTCCACCAAATATGAAGAAAATCCATCGACTAGTATTTGAATCATCTTCATGATGGATAGATGGACTGATGGATGGAAGAACACATGGAAGGAGGGCTACACTATATCCCTACCAAACTTCATTCGTTTTGATAATTATGTAATGAATCAGTATTCATCTTAGTAATACATTAACACGAAAAACTATTTTTTCCAATTTTTCATATTGAGTCAGCCTTATTAAGAATACCATCCTATTACTGTACTCACCTTGCGCAGATCTTGACTACATGTTTGAACGAGCCTTGGAATGTAAGAGAGGAACAATGGGTCCATCTTCATCTGCTCATGACGCAAGAATGACAGCCACATAGGGTAAGTATAGCTCCCCAACATCTGCAAATAACAAGAACATAGATTAATGACAAAAATATCATAGAACCTAAGCATGTGACAATAATGACAATAAGAACCAAACAGTGTGATATCAATTAAAATACAGCATACACCTTTAGGGTGTGATAATAACCATAATATATATATTTAACAATCACGATAGCACACAAATGTGGGTGTGATAAAAGGTTATCTCTGAGATCTCTTTAATTATACACATTTGGTCCCATTGTATGAATATAGTTCTTCCAAACATTATTTTATGATTGATCTGTGACATGCACAAAAATCACTCAGTCCAACTCAGGAACAATTAAATCGGGTAAAAAAAGATCAGACAACACATAAACTGCAGTGAGTTCAATACTTATACATGTATAAAACTTTTATTGACTCAATAGATGTCATTCCATGACAAATTGCTCTTTACAAAACTAAATCTCATTCATCTTCAACTTCCACCTTGGATGCAAATGCTTATTTTGATGTCATCAAACTGTGTTTACATGGAACCAATCAAAAGTGTCCAAATATTCGTTTCACCAGCAGTCACACTTATAAAGTTTTGTGAAATGATATCTTAACTTTGAGAATATCATAAGCATTTTTTTGTTTACTCAGAAAATGTGGATTCATTCTGAATCTAAGATCAAGGTGATGTTATTTATGCACATACAATTATATAATTCCTTTACAAGTTTATCAAATCTAGAATCAGATCTCTGTTCGTGAGTGGAGAAATACGTTCGGGAGCGAGGAAATGGTGGTGTGTGACTAAAGATTTCACGTTCGTGATGTGAGAATCGTGGTTCGAGCGCAAGGAACTTAGTTCGCCAGCTCAGAACTGATGTTCACATTGATGGAAGTCTAGGAGGCCTGATAAAGCCACTCGGTTGAACCCTGTAGCCACTAGCTGAAAATTTCATTCACAAATACAAGCTTAGTCGTTTTCCACTCAAGTTTCTCTGAGGCATGAGACATGTAATAATATATACTTCTAGATAATACAACAATGAAAACACATTTGAAAAAGGCTGCTATTAGGTTTATTTCGAATTTCCACTTGACTGAATTATGAGTGATTCTTGATCATGCAGTATTCAAATAAATGTAATTTTGAGCTCCTTTTAGTGAATGGCGTTTTTGAAATCTTTGGGAAATACATCATGCCCAATAATGCATACACACATTTATCTGTATTGGTATTAATTTCTTTCTAGAGCAAACGTATGTACCGAAATATAATAGTGTTAGTTTAAGAGTGTATCAATCTATATTCATCAGTGGTGCAGTTAGTAGTCATGGAGATTAATGCAATGAGGGTCTGGAATGATTGTGTCAACTCTCATGTCTGTCAATATGACTTGCGAAAGTCTTGCCGCTAACATAACTACATCTAATTTAGATGTAAGAGGAAACTATAATAAATATTACATAAGTGTCATGCTGAATGAGCTCTTTGTTAATTTATGATATCATCTGGCATAGATCTCTGTATAGTAATAATAAAAACAAAACTGTTTTGGAAGTGAAATCATGGAATTTTCTTCATTCATGTTTTAAAAATAAAAATATCAAAAGGTTTTGTGAAGTTCTGACTAAATTTTTTGATTTCATAACAGAACAAACCGACTTTCGCAAATCACGTTGATAGACACGAGAGAAGACAATATTATTCCAGACCATCATCCTATCAATACTTCATAATCCCCAGAAGTCATTAAAAACTTATATTTTTCTTCATTTGACATGAGTCAATAAAACTTAATTATTAAAAATTCATATCTACATTCTTTATATCCATCACATAAAAGAAGAAAATGTCTTTCATCCTCTACAGTACTTCCCCCTAATTGCAAATTTGACAAATTCTGTTTAGTGCAATTTTTTCTGTGTCTCCCTTTAACAATTCTTAAATTATGGTTTGCAAAACCTGGCCTTTTTAAAAATTAACATTTTGCTCATACCTAATGGTAGGACTTATCATTATCATTTTGAAAACAATTTCCAAGTTTTCTATTTACTTGGATGGCTCTGTCATTCTATATATTTTCTTTACATTTGAAGTTTCATTGCTTTCAGGAGTCTTTTTTATTCCAAACAAACTTTTATTTTCAAAAACAAGCTCAAAATATAAAATAATTTAACATGCATTCCATATGTTTAACAAATATGTTATTTTTATATCAAATTGATGTATTCAGTAAACTCTCTGCTAACTTTTGTTTGGTACACACTTTTCAACCAATATTTTATAGAATATATAATTATTGAATTGAATAGCTAATGGGAATCTTCTTATAATCATTTTTAACCACATAACTTGAGGTATGATATACATACCTCATCAACTTCATTATGTATGATTCCCCACTTAATACCCAAGTGAATGATGGGAAGGGTTGTACTCTCATATAACCAAAGATCGCACCGCCATATAAATAAAAAATAACTACCAATTTGGCACAAGCAAGCATTATCAAAATAAATCAAACCAAAAAATTGAACCTTGCAATAGATTGTTCCATGTGAAAATTATGGATGAGCCTTAAAATTTGATCCAGAATGCAAACAGCTGCCATTTCAAGAAAGTGCAATATCCGTTTCTTGGTATTTGAGTTATAGTCCAGACAAATGAACAGACAAGCTGACAAAGCATCTACTACAGTATATCTACAGCTAGCTTAGTTGATCAGAATAGTTAATTAAAGCACATCCGATATCTCATTTTCAAACACAAAATAAAACCATAAAGACAGATAGAGAAAATGAGACCTATTAGATTGCTTCATATTTTCCTTCTAATTATATCATGGCACAAGGACAAAACAAAACTAGATAACAGCAATTCTAAGGCATAGCAAATCCCATCGAAATCCATGGCTGCTATTTTACAAAATCCCTCCACTACTTTTTCAGATGTAGCAAACATCGTAAAAGAACACATATAAAAATTCTATATGTTTCAAAATGGCCCTTCACTAGCCAAATTATCATACGAAAGAAAGAAACAAAATTACTCCATTATTTTTTGAGAAAAAAAGTAAAACAAAACACATCCATTTTTCAAAATTTACTACTTAGCTACTAGCCAACATGTAATAAGGCAGCTAATCATGCATATGGATATTCACATGTCAAATATGAATAAAATCACTCTGCTACTTTTTGAGTTATTGTAAAAAACATAAAATTAGCCCATATTAAAATGGCAGCTATTTTTCAAAATGGCCGGCTATTTTTCAAAATTGCTGCCTACTAGCCAAAGTGTCCTTAAACAGTGTGAGATGCATATGATTATTCACATATCAAATATGAACAAAATCACTCTACTATTTTTTCAGTAATATCAAAAATCATAAAATAGCATGTAACGGCATACACTTTTCAAGATGGCCACCATGTTCTTTTAATTATTTAGATTTTCAACTTAATCAATATTCTTTTAACTTTGGGCTTTTAAAACATTTTAATATTACAGTTTTATACATTGTACCTAAAATACTGTAAAATTGACACAAAAATGGAGGCCATTTTGATTAAAAATAAGTGGCCATTTCGAAAATCCGCTTTTGAGCAGAACTTGTAAAAATGGCAGCCATTTTGAATAAAAAAATAAGTGACCATTTCCAAAATCCACTTTTGAGCAGAACTAGTACTTTCAAGTGGCATATACACATAAGATATAAACAATATTGCTCCAACTATATTTGAGTTATTGCTGCATGGACAGACAGGCGTACGGATGGACATACAGATAGACAGACAGACGGATAGAGCTGTTCTCCATATCCCCACAAACTTCATTGGATGGCATAATAATTTGCACAATCCATCAAATAAACAAATTCAGTGTTTCTAATATGGATAACATCAGTCAAGACAGTCATATATCAACATAGCCGATCAGAAACAACAATGTACTAAACAATAGAAACAATGAGACTTACAAACTGCTTCATATTTTTGCTTTGCTTGTGTGATATTGAATCAAAACTGAATGTTAATCTTCAAGGATCAGGAGCCTCTTTTCCAGCAAGAGTTTATAATGTCTGGATTGCTATATACAAGACATACAGACAAAACTTTGTCAACTTAAACATGATCTATGAGAGTGTGGGTAGCTCAGTAGGGAAAAAACATATCAAAGGATTAGATGGGAAGGATGTAGATTATGCGGGATCTGACTCGGAGTTGACAGACATAGAACTACAGGAACATCCCAATTTACAATTGATACCAATTCTTGCTGGGTAAGATGTTCATTCCTTTCATGATTTCAAAATAATTCATTCTTATTCTTGTTCTCCTTTCATTTAGAGGTTTTGTTATGTGTTTTATTATTCTAACCTGTAATTGAATATCGAATGAATGTTTATAAAGCCTTATCAGATTTGGGTAAATGTTGAATACTTCACTGTAAATATCCTTTGCTTTCACTTGAAACAAAAGATAATTTACACAAATATACAGGTTGATTCAGAAGTAAGATCAAAGATATTGCTTATCAAACACCAGGACTTACAGTTCTGCACTCTCACGCATACTTTGCCGCCTACATAAGTTTGGGGAAGGTATGACTAAAAAAAGATTTAGAACTTTTTGCTGGCTTTTTAATATCTATAATCATAATTATTCAATAAAAGCGAAGATGATTCCACATTCAAATTTGAATTGTTTGCTGTTTCTTATTGTTACCTATTGTATGAAGTGTGAACCTGTAGGTGGCGGTTAATCAAAGCCAGTTTTTAAACCTAGGGACAATTTACAGGAAGTAAAATTGGCATGGTTTTACTCCAAACTACACAAATGAAGATTGATACACGAAGCAGTAAATGGTAAATAAATATAATATTTATGAAATAAAATCTAATTAACAAATCAGAAGGAAACTATATATTAGACCCAAAGATCACATTACTCTCACTCAAAATGACGTCACAGCAATAGGCATATATAAACACATAAGCACATATCTCACACCACATTCATAAAGTAAAACATTGTACTGAGCAATAGAAACGATGAAATTCACAAACTGCTTCATAGCCGATCAGACACAACAAAAACATTGTACTGAGCAATAGAAACAATGAGACTTACAAACTGCTTCATATTTTTGCTTTGCTTGTGTGATATTGAATCAAAACTGAATGTTAATCTTCATGGATCAGGAGCCTCTTTTCCAGCAAGAGTTTATAATGTCTGGATTGCTATATACAAGACATACAGACAAAACTTTGTCAACTTAAACATGATCTATGAGAGTGTGGGTAGCTCAGTAGGGAAAAAACATATCAAAGGATTAGATGGGAAGGATGTAGATTATGCGGGATCTGACTCGGAGTTGACAGACATAGAACTACAGGAACATCCCAATTTACAATTGATACCAATTCTTGCTGGGTAAGATGTTCATTCCTTTCATGATTTCAAAATAATTCATTCTTATTCTTGTTCTCCTTTCATTTAGAGGTTTTGTTATGTATTTTATTATTCTAACCTGTAATTGAATATTGAATGAATGTTTATAAAGCCTTATCAAATTTGGGTAAATGTTGAATACTTCACTGTAAATATCCTTTGCTTTCACTTGAAACAAAAGATAATTTACACAAATATACAGGTTGATTCAGAAGTAAGATCAAAGATATTGCTTATCAAACACCAGGACTTACAGTTCTGCACTCTCACGCATACTTTGCCGCCTACATAAGTTTGGGGAAGGTATGACTAAAAAAAGATTTAGAACTTTTTGCTGGCTTTTTAATATTTATAATCATAATTATTCAATAAAAGCGAAGATGATTCCACATTCAAATTTGAATTGTTTGCTGTTTCTTATTGTTACCTATTGTATGAAGTGTGAACCTGTAGGTGGCGGTTAATCAATGCCAGTTTTTTAAACCTAGGGACAATTTACAGGAAGTAAAATTGGCATGGTTTTACTCCAAACTACACAAATGAAGATTGATACACGAAGCAGTAAATGGTAAATAAATATAATATTTATGAAATAAGATCTAATTAACAAATCAGAAGGAAAATATATATTAGACCCAAAGATCACATTACTCTCACTCAAAATGACGTCACAGCGATAGGCAATTATATATAAACACATTCAACACAACATTCATAAAGTAAAACATTGGACAGAGCAATAGAAACAATGAGACTCACACACTGCTTCATATTTTTGCTTTGCTTGTTTGATATTGAATCAAAACTGAATGTTAATCTTCAAGGATCAGGAGCCTCTTTTCCAGCAAGAGTTTATAATGTCTGGATTGCTATATACAAGACATACAGACAAAACTTTGTCAACTTAAACATGATCTATGAGAGTGTGGGTAGCTCAGTAGGGAAAAAACATATCAAAGGATTAGATGGGAAGGATGTAGATTATGTGGGATCTGATACAGTATTGACAGATGAAGATTCACGGGAATACCCTAATTTACAAATGATACCAATTCTTGCTGGGTAAGGTGTTTATTTGTTGATAATCTAAGTGTAATACTTTCTTATTCTTCTTCATTCATCTATACAAATTCAATAAAACCTTGTTGTATTCAGGAAAAGTTTTGTTCTTCAAAATGTAGTTTTATTTCAATATTTCAACTATAATTTTAACAACTGTAATTTTGGGTTTTAAGATACATTTTTGCACATATTTTAAAACACTACTTTCATAATTGAATTTTACAATACTGCTGAATTTTTGAATGAATTTTTTATATCAAACAAATGGTTCAATGATTCAAAATTTCAGTGTGATAAACATTGCAAGTGGAACCTAATATTTACAAGATATATGTTATATTTAGCTCTGGAAAAGGTAAACATATAAAACAAAAGTTTTGTGAGTTAATTTCATTGTATTGGTTTCAATGTTAAGATAAAGAAATTCATATAATTATATTTCTTTTTCATAAATAACATGTATTTTCAGATTGTTTGGTTTTTAGTTTTTCATAAATTCTTTGATTTGTAAGATAATATTATTTGCTTTTATTTTCATAATGATTTTGAATGTTTTTTTTCATTCAGACATGAGTTTACTTGATAAATTAGTTTTTAATGTAATATTTTAAATATTTGGTTGATATGAAAAGTATTCTCAATTATCAAATCTAATACATAGACTATTCCAATTTTAATTCAGTTTTTAAATACAGTATAATGGTTATTTATAACAGTAAACAAACTAACATTATTTAATTTTTAGAAAAATAATATAACGACACAGTAGTACATAACATTCTAAAGATGTTTTACATTTGATATGTGACAAACACATTAACACATTACATGTACTTGTATGGTGTTTAAACTGCTTCTTCATTTGGTACATTAAATATTCCATAAATACCAAATAAAACAAACAATTTACCAAACATTTACCAAATCTATCGAATGTTTTTTATTTTATCGAATGTAATAATCTATACAATTTATATTCGCTAAATAGTTTCACTTGTTCTTTGTGTTGGCATTCACATTTGATATTTATACACAGTGTACATGTATTTGTGTGATGCAGCGAATCTATTTGTTTTCCTTAACGCACGTATATTTCAATTAATTATTTGTACATTCGGTATTTAAATTATTTATATTCGGTAAATACCGAATGCCACATTCGATAAATTTCGTTATTTTTCGATACTTTACGAGACTTTCAGTCACGTGATATATTTGAACGATGTAGAATAGCTGCGCGGCCATTTTGCAAATCTCGAGGTCACGTGACAAAATATTGAACAACAACGAAAGTTATCGAATATTACTTTATTGCATTCGGTAAATAGCAAATTAGCTTTCGGTAAAATGCATTAACTATGTCATAGAAAAATAAACCATTCGGTAAATATAGGCAAACTTATTTTGGTAGGGTTCAAATAGAAATGTGTTACTCTTAACCTTACCTTAACAATTTACGCAAAAACATATCATTTAGCGAATGAAATATGTAATTTAATGCACATAGTATTAAGTGATTGGCTATTTTGAAAACTTAATTTGCTGTAACAAACATATAAACGTTTTTACCGAATGGAAAATGATTTAGCGAGTATTAATATTTCATATATCGAATATATTTGAATTTAATGAATAAAGAAGCAAAAATAATGCCATATACTTGCGTATAGGATTATTCATTTTTATTATTCATTTTCAAGAATACATGTACATCAAATTCAATTGCAATATATATTTTTGAAATATATATATTTTCACTGGTGATCCGCTCGACTAAGTTACATAAATGGTATGGGTTAAAAGTGCTTATCTTAACTGTTTTTCGAAATACCATTTATGTAACTTAAGTGAAGAATTAAATCGACGATTCTGTTGGCTTCTGAACTATTTGTTCGCAAATATGTACATTTTCTTAAAAATGTGATACTGACACACGTTTGTGATAAAAATGTCGTGGGAATTCTGCCTACAACACGTGAAATAAGGAGAAAAGAAAAATCGAACCTTCGACTATCCGACATTTTGTTACCAAAACGAACGTAATCGAGTGGATCACCAGTGTATTTTATTCATTCCTCATTTGTTTTTTAATTAAATAACATCCAGACATATTTAAGGGCTAATGATTAGGATTCAAAGTCAATTAGAAAAACTCGTGGAGAAGTTATAATCCAACAACCAAAACATATTTTATCAAGGCACTCATCAGTTTAAACATTACATAATAGAAATAATCAGTTAGTGGTATTTGCTCCCTGTTGGCAAAATCTACATGTATGAAGTGACTAGTGTACAGGTCCTATAACTACAGAACATGATTAAATTAATACTATGCTTTTCCTTTAATTCCAGAGCTGTTGTTCTCGCCTTTAACATACCAGGCATCAAGTCTCTTACACTTTCCCGAGCAGCTATCGTTGGCATATATAATGGAACTTTTGAATTTTGGGATGCCCCTGAAATACAACTGACAAACCCAAATATATCACTCAAACACACAAGAATCAAACCAATGGCTAGAGCTGATAAGTCAGGTACAACGTATTTATTTACAAGTGCATTGTCCAGCTTTGATGCATCATGGGACTCAGATTATGGGTCATTTAAGGAAGGACTGGGTGACAACGAAGAGCCAGTCCATTGGAACAAAAGCGCAATATTTTCTTACGGACATTTGACATCAGGAATATCAGGGTTGGTCCAAACTACATCCTACTCAATCGGGTATATATCTGTCAGTGAAGCAGTTCAGTATGGCTTTACATATGCCAGTATCATTAATCAAAGAGGAACAACAGTTAGGCCAACTACTGACACAATAAATGCTGCCCTCGAGTCATCTCTTCAGACCATAACACCAGAATTTACCATTAATCTGATTGACAAAACAGCCCAATTTGCATATCCCATAGTAGGAGTAACTTATTTAATCATATATAAATCTGGAATGGAAAATTGCAACACAGCTATTGAACTACAGAGATATATCAAATGGATACACACAGAGAAGATTCCCGAACAAGAGGCTGATAGATTGGGTATGGTGATAATGAAGCAAGATTTTATAAAAACCAGAGTTGATAACATTTTTAAAGAAATGACATGTAGTAATGGCCAGAATGTTTATGATCTAAAGCAGAAGCAAATTAAGGATGAAGAACGCTCACTGCAAACATGGCGACTTCCCGTTTACATCATGATACCCATATTGACTGCTATCATTCTTTTGTTTTGTCTTTATGTATCATACACCCGCTATAAGGTTAACAGGGCCATTTGGTTAGAACATTGGAAGATCCTAAACACCGATATTCATTTTTTAAACACAGGAGCAGTATCTGTTACTAAATCCATTTCCTTAAAGACAGGATCTTATTCAACAAGTCAACTTGAGGGATCGAAACCCAACATAGCAATTTGGAATGGAAACACCATATGCCTCCGCAAAAGCAAGCTGAACATACTGGATTTGAATAAAAAGACAAAAAGACAAATTTTAACGTTTCAAAGTTTAAAACATTCAAACATTGTACAATTAATGGGAGTGACTGAAATAGATAATACAATGTTTATAGTTAGTGAGAATGTTTTCCAAAGGTGTTTAAGAGATGTTCTTCAAAATGAAAAATTTACAATTAAAGTTAATCTGATGTATGCCATGGCAACTGATGTAGCAATGGGTATGGCACACCTGCATAGTTTAAATAATATCCATGGTAACTTAAGAACAACATCATGCTACCTGGATGGAAAATGGAACGTAAAGGTTGCAGACTGGGAGTATAATTCATTAGCTGTGAATCAGCAGAGCAATAGTGCCAGTAAAACACCAGAAGAGATCGATGCTGAAATCCTTGATGATGAAAATGTATTGGCAGCTTTAGACTATTGGATGGCTCCTGAGATCCTCAAACAGAAATACTGTCGAAAAAACAGCACAGTTCCTATTAGATACACACTGGAGGGGGATATCTATAGTTTTAGTGTCATCCTTTTAGAGATTTTCACCAAAGAGGACCCATATACTGAACTCACAAGTGGTGAGATGAAAGAACCAAAAGAGGTAATACAAATGATAATGGAAAATACAATATGTCCACAAATCTCACCAGAGGTACCAGAAAGCGTAAAAAAAATTATGAAAAAAGCCTCTCAGGTTGTGCCTTCAAAGAGACCAACATTTCAAAACATTGTGAAGTTATTGGAAGCGAGCAACAAAAGAGGAAGAACTAGTGTAGTTGAATGTATGATGGAAACTTTAGAGACCTATGTAGCCTCATTAGAATCCAGGATCGAAGAGAGGACACAGGAACTCTCTGTGGCAATGGCCAATATGGAAGGCTTACTGCACAGAATTTTACCACCAATGGTTGCTAGTGCCCTTTCCAGAGGTGAACCAGTCCCTCCAGAAACATTCAACTCGGTCTCAGTTTTCTTCTCCGATATTGTGGGATTCACTGAACTTTGTGCTGCCTCTGCTCCTCTTCAGATTGTTACAATGTTGAATGACCTCTACTCCATATTTGATGATATCATAGACAACTATGATGTTTACAAAGTTGAAACCATTGGTGATGCATATTTGGTTGTATCAGGACTCCCACAAAGAAATGGAATCCAACATGCTAGACATATCGCAAATATGGCTTTGGATTTTACAAAATCAGCAACTAGCTTTAAAATAAGGCACATGGAAGAGAAATCATTACAGATGCGTGCTGGTATACACTCAGGACCAGTTGTTACTGGCGTTGTAGGGCTAAAAATGCCTCGGTATTGTATATTCGGTGACACTGTGAACACTGCCTCAAGAATGGAAAGTACGTCACAAGCAGAGCACATCCAGGTATCAGAGAAGACGCATGTGCTACTCGAACAGCTTGGAGGATTTGTAATGCAACTAAGGGGAGAAACTACTGTCAAGGTATGCATATCAATTAATCAAATAATTACACAAAATAATATGTTCTAGAAATTGCTAGATAATGTTGAACTATAATACACATACTACAGGGGCTCAGTTCCCATTTCCGATCCTAAAATAAACGAGTTAGAGCTAGACAACAGCAACGTCAAAGCGTAGCAAATCCCATCAAACAGCCATGGCTGGCATTTTTACAAACAATGTACATGTATATAGCAAAAATGGCAGCCATTTTTCAAAATGCCATGCTTATAGTATTCGCATACCAAATATGAACAAAATAGCTCCCTTACTTTTCAAGTCGTAAAAATAGTAAAATATGTTAAAATGGTGGCCATTTTTCAAAATGGTTGCCTTCTACCAAATGTGTCAAATGGGGGTATGACACATCGTCAGAAAAAATTTCAAGTTCTCACACCCCTATCATTTTTATTGGCTAATTCAAATCGAATGCGGTAAAAAAGTGAACGCCAATTTGCGAACGATCCGGGTATTACGTTCGCCCTTGACCAAACTAGATTATAAAAAACTCACTAAAAAATACAAAAATAAGTCAATTGTAAAATACAGCATGACAAAATGTATTAAAATCAGTGAAATTAATCCTTTGCCCAATATATCATTCTAATTTTTGAATGAATGATAAATGAGCTAAATATAGAATTATATAATAAAAAAATTTATAAGACATCAGCTTTTTAAACATAACACCAGCAGCACTGCCTTTAATATTAAACAAGGCATTAACATGCAAAATATCACCACCTACCATTTATTACAGTTGCCAACCACCATACACGGAATGCTGGAGACTGAACACCAACTGCCAAACACCATCAACAAAAAAGTTATGGACATAATTATCTAGTTATGTTCTATTCAGATTTTGGTTATTGGCTTGATAAAAAAATGACGATTAATCTTTTTGATGACTTTGCCTGACAAGGTGGCATAAAAACTAAGTTGACTCGTTTCACATATATATTTTAGGACAAATGTTTTCAGGAGGAGAGATGAAGTAAACTGAGCGAAAATAAAAATTATGTCATATCAGAGAAAATGTTGCTTTGTGATACAATGATATAGTCAGTAGATTAGTTTGAAGGCAGTATTACAAATTGAGTATAAATGAACACAGATCAAATTTAATATTACTGACATCATTGACACAAGATCTCATTAACAAACTACTGTATATATGTATTATTATTACAGCTGGAAAGCTTGTCATTTATTGATATAAATACATAACAGAGCTGGTGTTAACGTTGATTTTACCATTTTTATGCATATTTGATCAAGTCTGACGCAGAATTTTCAACTCATTGCGTTTCACTGATGCACTTTTATCCCCAGACAGACTAAGGTTATTTCAAGGGAATTAGCTCCACACGACAAAATGACAAAAGTTTTGACCTATATCTTACCGATCAAATTATGTCACGCGGTCTTTCATTGATTTAAAATCTCATGCCGATCGAGTTTAATCCAAACAAAAACAACGAAACTGAATTCATTGTGTACATTGTTTGCAATTCTCAAAATGTGAAAAAATTCCTTAAAGCATCAACTCATTCAAAATGTTCTTCAGAACGATGCTATAATCACGCTGAATCGGCATCATATGCACACTTTTCCCACTTAATACCATTATTAGACTGAAAGTGCGTAACACTCATGACTTCCGGTTTACACTTTGGTTTTTATTTGGTCATTTTCCATTGATTTGGTTTATGTTTCATTTTTGCGATACTTAAATCGTGGCAAAAGTCACTTGCATCATAAAAAAAAGTTTTGCTACAAAAGGGGGTTGCTTGGAATTGCAGCGTTCCAATTTTACCAGACATTAAGTCTCATTGCAGCACATTTATTTTTGTACTCTAGAATTATCCAAAATGAGCTTAATTATCATAATTCAATTTGACCCCCATTTTCCAAGTTTGACCCACTTTTTTTGATTGAATGGGTCAAGTGACACACAAAATATTGAGCCTACCACCAGTAGTGCATAACCTGTATTTTAAGGAAGGTGGAATGGGATTACTCAGGAAGCTATGTGCATATTAATCAATATGTGAGACAAAGAGATACATTCTACTTCATCTCCCTTAATGTATTTCAAAGTAAATGATATCAATTTTTATTGCAGGGAAAGGGAGCACTGAAGACGTACTGGCTGCATGGAACAAGAGATGTGAAAGATGAACAATTAAGGTGGTGTGAATAGCATTACCTACAATACTAGACACATTTAAGGGTGTGTGAATAGCATTTTCTCATATGACTAACCAAGATACAGCCATCTTTACCCCATGCAAGATATTGCCATCTTTCATCCTAAAAAGTCACACGTGCAAGATGAGATTTACTTGTGACATCACTGGTCTATAAACATCAACAACATAGCAACGGATACACCGTTACTATGAGTATCCATGCTCATTCTACAAAACTAAGCTGTGACGTCATAACAATGGAGCTTTGTTGCCCCGTGTATCCATAACAATTGAAAGATGAAGTTCCATTAATCATGAAAACTTGAAAATAAAGCATAATACAGAGTCATATGAGTAAAACTTTCTTGTACTCGTACCTGTGCAATATCGTTCATTCTTGACTCGCTTTGATAATGTTTCTTTATCGAGTCGCAGGCAAGAATTATCAAAGCTCATCGAGAATAGACGATATTGCACAGGTACTTATATAAGAACCTCTATACCTACAATACTAGTACTATATCACATTTAAGGGGGTGTGAATAGCATAACCTACAAGAGTACTTTTCATTATAAAACTTGGAAACGGCATGGTACGGTACTGTTTTACCAGTACTGTACAATATTGTTTAAAACGGTATTGTCCAGTGTTGTTTCAATGGTGCTGTACAACACTGTTTTAGAAACAGTGTTGTACAACGTTGTTTAAACAGTGACATACAACATTGTTTTGAACAGTGTTGAGTGGTATTGTTTAACAATACTGTACAACACTATTTCTAAAACAGTGTTGTACAACACCGTTTAAACAACACTGTACAGTACCATTGGTATGTAGGTGTAGCAACCAATTACTCAAATGTGCTCATGAACAATAAAAGCGTTAATAGAATCTTATTAACAGAGGACTGTGTTTCAAGTTCAATTTGCTAATTAAAATCAATTTATTGAGAAACCTGTGAAGATGGAGCTTACACTATCTTAAGTAGAATGGCTTTTTCAAGACATTGTGAAATGTTAGTGCATCTGTATCTAATCACCTAAAGGGGATAATCTCATTTTTCATTTCCTTCTTTCTTTTTGCTAGATTGTATTACTGAATCTAGGTCGGTTTCAGGAAGTTGAACTGAATAATAGAGCTCAGTTGTTTGCATATTAACAAATAGTTAATGCATGTAATCCAAAATGGCCACCTTAACATTTACCAAGAATGCCCAAAAACTGATCAGTTCTAGGCTTTCATACATAGCATCATCCCTGAAAATTTCAGATGAATGGTTTAGCTGGAAACCTATGGACAAGGTTAATCAGGATGCCCGCCCAGCAAACTGATCATAATATAATACCCAAGGGTGTGATAAAAATGTGATTACATATCTTTTTATTGACTTTGAAACATGTCAGTTTCTCCGACATATGGGTCACTATACAGTTTTTTACATGTTTTTTGTCTATAGTATGTAACACAGTCATCAGTTATATATAAAAGTATAAAAAAGTGCAAAGATAGTCAAGAGTGGGTATATATTTCTTTGGATGTAAGCCAAAGCAATCTATTTTTATTCATTCATGGATTCATTTTTTACAGATAATAGCCTTAGATAACTTATTCATTGATCACTAGAATTCAAAAACTTGAAGGAAGCTTGTGTAAGTATGTTCTTACATTCAATTGCCAGATTCGACTTATTGAAATAAACAGCATTATAGTATACTTACATGTAGTATAACAGTAGATTATAGAAGTTGTGGTTTCATCAGGTGATTTTATCAGTGGGATATACAATATATCTGGATGTAAAGAGATTTTCAACAGGGTGTAGCAACCAATTACTCAAATGTGCTAAAACTTCTCATTCTCTCATTTCAAATCTACCATGCTGACCCTTTCTCAACCAATCAGCGAAATAGAAGGAACACGTGCTAAATAGGAAATTACCATATAGAAAGTCGTCTGTATTTCGACGACGAACACTGATTGGCTCGGTGAGATCAGAGATTTATTGTAAACTGAAAGAGTGAAGACGAAGCTCTCTTTTAAGAATAAGTGAAGTCAAACGAGTGCAAAGGAATGAATGAAATGTTAGTTCATCTGTATCTAATCACCTCAAGGGGGATAGTCTCATTTTTCATTTCCTTCTTTCTTTTTGCAATTCCTTCAGTGCAATCATGTATACTTTTTATCACTTGCAGATATTATCTGAAATATCTGGGATTTTGAAAAAGAGGGAAAGGAGCATGTAGGTTATCGCAAACAATTTCAGACAGTTATATCTTGGATTTTGAAGACAGGTATATCTTTTATATCTATTCATTATCTCAAAGAAAATTGTAATGCATTACTATTCTTTGATTTGAAGTATCAAATATTTCTTGAAAGAAAAACTTAATTGCTTTAAGATAAGTGTTCCCCATGTTATTTCTCCATTGAAAAATCTCATGCTATTCATTGGTTTCAGTTAATTTTGGTCATCCATTGCCCCTTTAATATCACTTAGGTCTGATTATCTAAATTATCATTATACATACTTTTCTTGAAGATAATGAATGGATCTAAAAGATACACCCATGTTCATGATCAGGAAATATTCATAATCCAAGTTAGAATAATTTGAAATTGTTTGCAATAACCTACATGCTCCTTTGTATGTATGATTATCACTGAATTATGGATTGATGGACATTTTAGGAGGTACCAAGAAAACAGCTCAATATATTGATGTACCCTCACAGAAATATCTTTGGGTAGAGGGTGTGTACAAGTCTGTTATATTTGAGAAGAAAGTCACTTTCAATTTTTAAAAAATTGGGAGGGGGTCAATCTGAATTATTATTACATGTAAATGTTAATGTAATGTAATTATTAATGTTCATATTACATTTGGGAACAACATACATTGTTGTTTGTTTTGTTAAGTATGCATGTTTCCATAGGCCCACCAGGCAATTTTCCAAAAGGGGGTTGTGGTTTCACAAATTTCAGATCCATTATGATTGATTATTTATCATTTTCATCTGAATGAGACAAAATGCAGTAAGAATAGCAGTTATGCTATCATTGTACATTTTACAAAAAAAGAAACTGATTGCTGCAGTTTGACATTTGTTCCCAAATTTTTAGGGTAGTGTGACCGCACACGACCATTCCCCCATCTTGCAGCACCGACCTCTGCCAGATACCTCTTCTTGGGGTCTAGGCCCAATGAATCTGGCTCTGGATCTGTGTTTTGCAGGCCTGTCCCAGTGTCTCATTTGGACACTGTTGAGCTTATGTATTATCAATGCACAAAGTTGCATATGTATAAATTAAGATGAAAGCAATTATAAGAACAGGTGCATGCTATACGAGGGGTGATCAATAAGTAATGGACGCTTTTTTACACAGATACTTTTTATAGACTAATCCCTTTGATTTTCCTACCAGTGATACATCATTCAATTATCTATCAATTCTGAAGATTTGAAGACAAAATATATAATACATATTGATATATCCTTTTTTCAGTGCAGGAGGTACAGGTACCCCGGGACCGACATTTACGTCACATATTCAGTTTTTAGCCAGTTTGGTAAATTTCAGTTAGATTTGAACTTTTTATATGCAACAAGTGTTGTGTTTTTTGAATTTTTTTGCTGACTGGTAACACATAAACAGAAAGTATTGTGATGTCAGAGTGTTGTATGGAAGGGGTTTGCAGGTCAATTTGAGAAAGCATTGTGGATGAAAAGGGTGGTGAGAGAAGGGAACACCCTACTCCATATGGACAATGCACCTGCCCACAGATCTCAAAATGTTCAGAAAACAATATCCCTGGACCTCAAAATTGAGCCTTTGGCCAATGCACCATATTGTCCAGATCTGCTTACATGTGACTTGTTTATTTCTATACTACTTATTTCTATAGAGAAAGGACGCAGGTTTATTGACATTGATGAAATAAAACAACCAGTGCAACTGCATCTTGCTACCATGTCAGAGAATGGATTCAGCCTTGTCTCACAATCCTGAGTTAAGAGGATGAGGAATTGTGTACATGTAGCACTTGATGGAACCTATTTAGAAGGCCCTGTGGAATGAATGTGGCATGAATACCACATAGTGATGATAAAATATTCCAAATTAACTATGGGAAAACAAAATGGGGTAATTCATGACCATAATGGTTTGTTTTGTTCAGCCTGCATTCAACTGCATTGCATGTTAAACAAGCTATAATAGCTTCAGAATATGTGACGTAAATGTCGGTCCCGGGGTACCTGTACCTCCTTCACGGAAATAAGGATATATCAACATGTATTATATATTTTGTCTTCAAATCTTCAGAGTTGATAGATAATTGAATGATGTATCACTGGTAAGAAAATCGAAGGGATTGGTCTATAAAAAGCATCTGTGTAAAAAAGCGTCCATTACTTATTGATCACCCCTCGTAAAACATGGATCCTAACAAAACCTTATACCACATACCAGAGCAAATAAGTAATCAATCATACTTTTACAAATCATGCAAAAAATATATTGGTTGGAATACATGTCGCATTTGTTTTATGATCCTTTCAATGATTTTGTTTGTGTTTGTGTATATTATTCTTCACTCAAATTAATGAAATAACAAATCATTGATGTCTAATTAATCATAATTAATGTAATATATATAAAATTAAGATTACACTGGGAATATCATTTGGTATTCAACGGAAGTCATGTAATATATATAAAATTAAGATTACACTGGACAAAGTCGTGACTTGGGAATATCATTTGGTATTCAACGGAAGTCATGTGACTTTGGTTGAATATCACTTGTTGTTTTTAGTCACGTGGAGATGGACCAATCAGAGAGTGAGGAATATGACAGTGATATAATAATTTCCAATTTTCATGGGCACAGACATCCCTATTTTCCAAACCAAAGGTACAGCCATTAGTGGTACTATCAGTTAATAAAGTGATGCAAAAGCTGTGGGGACATTGTTAGAGGCTCCATCTAAAGTTTAAATTTATTTTATTTTAATCATCATTTCTTGGTTCTAAGTTTTAGGTATTTTTCAAAAAGGTGGAATTACATGAAAGTTTTTCATGTTTCACTAAGCTGCACCCACTTTTCATCACACCATTCTCACTATTAACTGGAATTGTTGATTTTAATTTTGTTATATTCACATACCTGACTGTCATGCTGAGAGAATTTCAACATGGACTCAAGGAACTTGGCAAAACACACTGGCTGCTCTGTATTTTCTTTGCCCTAATATGTAAAAAAAACCTACATGTACAGCATTTTTTTTTTCAAATATATATATATATTATGTGCTGTAGTTCTAATGCGACTAATATTGTAGTTCTTATAATGATAATAAAAAGGTATTAATTGTCAATTATTTGTTGTATAGTACGAGCCTTAGAATACAGGGTTTGGGGAAGAATCACAGTGATGATACCTCTCTTTTACAGAAAAATTAGTAGATAAATATATTACCCATAATGCACAAAGCTGCATCCCTAGTGAAGTGAGAACTTGACATAGTCGCTTCAGAAACAGATAGAAATGTTCATTAAGTGGTCGTGAAGCTGCATTCCTACAAATAATGAAAAATAAACTCCAATAAATTATAACCCCGGGTTTTTTCTCAGGTGGGTGCAATTTTTTGTGCAAAATACTCGCCGCTTGCTACGCTCGCAGTAATAACATTTTCAAAATATTTGCCGCTTACTTCAATCCCATATCAAAGTCAAGGCTGAAATTCAGAATATTCTAATATCAATGTACTGTACTTGCATCCAGGCACCTATTTATCAACTTGGACAATTTCACTGGTATTAATTTGAATACATGTATGTGGGTGTCATTATAAAGATTGCTGCTAAAGTGTTGCTGTTGAAGTGGACACTGCGCCACGAAAGAAGATGCTGGGGAGATCATATATAAACTAATATCTATTTTTGCAGTTTCTAATGGTTGTCTTGCCAATTATTAAGATATCTTATGTTACAAGTTCATCTTTCTCAGGCAATTATGACTTTAGTACTCATTAGTTCATATTATAATTAGACACAAAAGCATAAGGGTGTGATCAGATTTATTTGTGCGGCCAATTAGTGATCTAAAATCCAACCAATGTTGAAATTACTGTTATTATCATGGGTTCTAATATTATCTAATTTAAGGTTTGTCGTCTGGTATACAAGATGCTGTTGGCTGTTATCTTTACCATACATTGTATTTTAATTAACTGACAAGGTTGATTAATGAAATCATCTTTCTCAAGCAAAAATAGTTTTAGTCATCCTTGATTGATTCATTTTATAATTGGATAATTGGATGTGAAGGCTAGTATGGCTTGTTATCAGGCCAATTAGTAATTTAAAAGTTAACACTAATATTGTTCCTATATCAATTGTGACACAACAATCTTGGGTTCTCTTATTAACTAATAATGCAGATGCGAGTAGGTAGTTACCAGTTTCACCACCAGGAGGCTTGTTTGGGTCAGATAGCATGACGGGTATAGTAGAAAGTTCCCTTTAACTTACATATGTAAATTGCATCTGTTTTAGTGGTTCAATTTTCATATCACCCTTATGTATCTAATAGTTATGCAAATTAAAATATCTCCAGTAAAAGAAAATGTTATCTGTCCAATACAAGAAAAGATGTTTCACTTTTTGTGATTTTGTAACATGGGGTCTCTGGGGAATCTCCCCGAACTAGAAGTCACATTTTCAAAAAAAATTAAATTTTCAAAGTTGATAAACAATTTTCAAAACCATATTTCTAGATGTACTTTTACATGTAGATTTCAAATATGACATCACTTTGACTGAATTTTGAATATTTAATGATGTAAATAAAGATTATTTCTACTCGCATCTAGTCTATTGAAAGCATATCAGCTATCGTCTCATCCATTAGGTTTATTACACATGTAAGTTGAAATGAAAAAGTTATTTAAACCCTCATGAAGTTTACAATGTTTAAAAAATAACTAATAACATTAATGAGTGAACGATTTCTATAAAATGAGCTAGCCATCATGATAAACTATATAAACATATAAATTTCACAAAAACAGATCATTGACTTTATCATGTACAGTAGAAAAAATATACATTTTCCAAAGTATCCTGATGACACCAACTTAATATATACAATAAACAAATATGTAGAGGGAACTTACGTCACAGCTTTAAGGATAGTTTCCATTGCATCTTCACTGAACAGAATCAACAAGGGCTGCCTCTCCTCAACCTTGCCCTGATGAGACAAACAGTAATCATACACTGAATTACAGAAATGAAAAATTTAAATTATGAAAACATTTCTCAGCTAGATGCCAGAAATCTCCAATGAGACTACATAGAACAGTTGAACTTGCCTAGTCCCTATGATGTAGATTATTGCCATAATTACTATGTAAATTATTCTTCAATAATATGTGTACCACAATCATGTTTAACAAGTAGGAGCTATTTCAATTTCAATTTAAAGCCACTTACCTTTCTACTAACAATAAGCAGTAGGCACTCAGCTGCTGGGAGGTGCAGAAACTCATCATTTAGTAAGAGACAGAGCAATTGTAATAATAGACCACCATTCTCCATAATGTAGGTCATACTGATCCACTCCACATACCCTGTTAGAGTATTCAATGCAGCGTGACCAACCTTACAGTGACTCTTCCATTCTTCAGTTGCTCCACCATTTGATTTCTGCAATTCAAAAAGTATACCATCATAGAATAATACAAGGCATTAACATGCAAAATCTCACCACCTACATTGTAATTTGTTATAGATGCCATGTTACAGAGACACTGAACGCTGTCCACAAAAAAGGTTGGAGGCTATAACAATAGTTATAGGAGCATGCCTATATACTTTTTTGAAATACAGAGTGAAATATAGATATGTGAAATAAGAATTTTATTTCAAAATACTCATTTTGTGTTCGAAAGTCACTGTAAATTCATTTTCATGTGTATACTTCTCAGAATCATATATGTATGCTCAGGAAGGTAGGTAGGTCAAGCAACAAAGAAACAGGGGAAAAAAGTGCTCGTGAAAAAAGGTAAAAATCAGTGAAATATATTGAACATTGCAGAAAATAAAAAGAAACAATGATTCCCAAGATTGTTGAGCATCTAATTAGTGAGTTACAAGAGGAAGGGTGCATTCTAGGAGGATACAAGATAAATTCAACAAACAATGGAACTACTATTACATTGGAATATAAAGCACACCATTTTGGCAATCCAAGGTCACAAACCAGTACCAAGTCACCAAGTAGACTTATAAGAGATGCTAATAGGATTAGTGATTACAACTCTAACAAAAAACTATTGAGTGAACCTAAACACCATGAACAAAATGTACTAGGATCATATGAACAGTCAACACCTGTTACGCCTGTACTAAATAGAAACTTGTTTAAAAACAGAACTAATGAAAACAGTGAAATTGTAAACAATAACAATAACAATGAAACTGACACAGCAAAAAAAGCTGACTATGACAGTGGATTTTCTTCAATATTGCAATTGCGGAATGCCCGGGGGGTTCACTGTATATGAAACTCGACGGGGGTCCTAGGCTGAAGCCTCAAATATCAATATGTTCCCATACCAATCTGTCAAATTTCAATATGTTCCCATACCAACCAAAATAACGCCCAAAGGCCATACCAAATGTCCAAATATAGGACCAATGCCATACCAAATGTCCAAATATAGGACCAATGCCATACCAAATGCCCAATTATGGGACCAATGCCATACCAAATGTCAAAATGTAGGACCAATGCCATACCATATAAAATTCAAAAGTGAAGAAGGCCCTGGAAAAGAAGATACTTCGGGAAACGATCCAAAACAACTTCAAATTTGCAACTACTGGACCAATGCCATACCACGAATGTTAGTTAACGTATCTACAACAACCATTCTCATACCAGAAGAGCAAAAGTCCGACCATTGCCATACCTCAGAAGTCAGAAATTTCCGGGCATTCCCATACCAAATCCTAAAATATGGGTCCATTGCCATACCAAACGTTGAAAAAGGTACCCCACATGCGCCGAGGATCCCCGTCAAGGTTTATATATAGTGAACCCCCTGGGGCGGAATGCTGGAGACAGAATAAAAAAAGTGAATGTTGGGATGCAAACAGATGTGAAACAAAAAAGACACCAATCAAGTGCAACTGAAATAAAAGTACAACATGTCGCCACTAAAACAAACAATTTGGATAAAAAACACAGAGGTTGCAGTGTCAACATCAAGAAACAATCCGACAACAAATCAACACAATGCGAAAATGAAAAATATTCCAAACTCACAAACACTGATTCTATTTCAACACATGATGTAGCAGCTATTACCAACTTCAACCTTGCAACATGTAGGGAAAGATATATGCGCCTCATTGATGGATTGGGAGTGGATCATATGTATGATTCGGATGCCTATGATTATGTGATGGAGATGGACAAATAATGGACAAACTCTAGAACAAACAATTAACAATATGTGCCAAACCTTCAAATTCATGACAAGAAACAAGCAAGATGAATTAAGGGATACAAATGATTTTTGTTTAAATGACTATGTTTTTTGAGACTGTGACGATTATATAGGACTCTATCTATCTGGAAATCCAGTGGTGTTGAGTAATTGAATCAAATCAACTTCATTCAAAAATTCTCATTTTAGGCATATCAGAAGATCCTCTTGCCTTGTCAAGCTTTTCTTTGTATGATTTGCTGTGTTATGTATGAAGAATGAATAAATGAATTTAAAAAAAAAAAAAAAAAAAAATATATATATATATATGTATGCTCAGTCTAAATGCAGTATGCAAGACCATAGTTTTTAAAATGAGACATACAGAGTATCGGGATTCAAAAAGAGCAAACATCCCATTCCAGCATTTAAAATGATTTAAAATTCATGCACTATTTTCATGCACTATAGGCAACTTCTGTTCTTGACAATTATTTAGCTCAGGAAATAGGTTTTCAAACTTTATGCTTATAATGCTCCATAATATCTTTCGATAATATTTGCTAAAAGATTAAAAAATGTGTGAATATAAATTAATTTGAAAAAAATATTTATTTTTTCTCCCAGGTTTAATACATACCAAATCCATGTAGCTTTTTACACTGCTTTGTAAAATCCCAATGAAAAATGTGTAAAATTCTTGCATAGAAGATGTTAAAGTTTGATGAATTTCACGCCTCCGTTGTCCCTGTAGATTCTGAAACGTCACAACATCTTCCGCAAGCCGTAACAAAACCAAAAGAACTAGCTCTTTTTGTGTGTCCTAAAATGAAATTAGTGATTTAAACAGTGATGAATAGTCATGTACACATATTATTGTAAATATGTATTCTACATGTATTGTAAACAATGCATTAACAAATACATGGGAAATGGAACTATACAAAACATATTCATATTTTGCTAGATGTTCCCATTACAAAACATTATTTTCTTCACACGAAATTGCACAAATTGAGAATTTCCAAATATTTTGCATCATAACAGTAAGTTCACAATATCAGAAGTTTGTCCATTATTCAAGAACTATTACCAAATTTCAGTACAAATAACATGTGATTATAATTAACATATTGTACAGAAGACAAATTATTTACCCCCATCTGTGAGAGTTTGTCAAGCTCTTGTAGTAAGGTAGGCCATTGTTGGGGCCATTCTCTCTTGATCATCTCTACCATGATGCGTGACAACACATCTTTGATATGTGCCTCTTCTACGAGAATATTGTGGGTGCCCTGGATGAAATACAAATATGCAATATTACATAATTATACTACAGAAGCATGTAGTGAATATGCAGGCAATAAGTTTCAGCCTTTTCTCTCACCCATTGATGTCACAATGAAGTGATGTCATCAACCAGACTGACATTCCCTACAATACAGGTTGGATTAAAAATTAAAACATAGAAAATTCAATGAAATTCAATCTGAAGTAGAATATTACAGATCACGTTATATCCAATCATGGGGAATGGAAATATGCACTCATTGATAGCAAGATGATATGATCTCCATCATGAAATAATTTGTAATTTACATCTCCAAGTACATCCCAAAATACAGAAAGCACCAAATCTGATGATATTGTAGTTTAGTGAAGTATACTCACTGTTGCTATAAGCTGCATGGCATTATCTTTAATAGCTAATTTATCTTCATTGCTAAGGCTGTTCCACTTGAACCTAAAATGAGAAACAGGATTTTATGACTTGAAAATTCAGATTTACATTTGAATATTACAAAATATTTTTTATGCTTGGAGTAAAGTACTTGTACTGTCTATCTTGAGTGGGATCTTGAGTAACTGTATATTGAGACACTTCTAACTGCACTTGGGCATTGAGTTTAAATGAGTAGGATATAACGCTTTTATGAGCACCTGGGATTCATTTCAGAATGAAACCCCATTAAAGGCCATGGCTGCTACTCCCTATGTTCTTGATAACAGATGGATTGGTTTGAACTAATCAACAGCTTCAAGAAAATGCAAAACTTCCTCAAATAACCAAAATAACAGTAGGAAAGAGTGACAAGTGGATCCATGCTTAAGATGCTTCAATGAACAGTACTCTTAATATTATACCATGAAATGTTAATTTTGGCATGACAGACTCATAAAAAAACTCATCAAAAAATTGAGTTGAAGAACACAAAAGCACAAAGAACACAAAGTGTTTAACTCAATAAAACCATCAAATCAATAAACATTGACATATAACTTAGGAATGCTACAACATCAGATTCATTTCATGAAGAGTCATAGTGGCAACTCACATTTTACAATCAACAGGGGTCAAAGCAGTGGGTCGAAGAGGCAGACTGAATGTTGCGCAGGGAAATAAAGTTTCTCAGAAAAAAGGCCAAACTCTTCGACTCTACAATAAAACAATACATGCATGTGGACACTTACTTTATGCAATGCTCCAAGAGCTGCAGACCAATATGACGTATAACAGGTGCCCTAGACTTGTCTGCCAGCAACAGACTGCATGGTGCACAATGTGGGGATGTGTCCTTGAACTCCTCTATAAACTGGAAATTAATATGACACTATGAAATCTTTAAATCATTATTTATCCTATACTTAGTAGTGTTATAGGTAATAACAAATTGATATCTGAAGCAAGTGAAAATATATATATCTCCCACTGAGGTGAGCGGGAGATATATATATATCACCTGCTCATCAGCAATCCCCAAGAATTTTGTTCGTTGCTTTTTGGCTCAATTGGAGAGATTAATTTCATATACTGTTAAATATTAAAAGCTGTAGATTTAAATAAAACAATAAATGTTAAGAACTTCAAATTGAGATTAAATATTCATGTTTTGATTGTAATTATACTTTGTAATTATTACTTGACTTAAGTATAGGATAAATCAGTTATCAAATGTTCGATTCTTGAAACAGGGTATATCCCTCGGTAAATACAATATATCAACCCCCGGTCCCTATCTTGTATTACCCTCAGATATACCCTGTATCAAAAACCTCCCATTAAATAACCTCTATATAATTAATGTAAATTAACATCTACATGTATCTAACAATACTAAATATAGAATAACTTTTGACAAAACTGTTATTGAATAAATTCAAGGGGATATTAGTATTAAGAAATCAACTGAAGGATTAACATGCAACCTTTACAGATGCCTACAAAGTATATAAAGTTGTTTACATTGCACCAGTTTCGTTCAGATTACGGTGACATCTAAATGGCAAACTGTGTTCATGAATAATCCTCCGGACCATTGAAGACACTGAACAAAACGCCATTGACAAGTACACTAAACGAGTCATACAGTATGTTATGCTTAATTTTAAAAAAAATCATTGAAACATGTTACTCACACACTCGCTCAAATATGACACAAAGTTTGATTTGCTTTAATATTGAACCAGGAAAAAAACTCACATAGAAAAAAGCATTTGAAGTTTAGAGATCATTAGACATGCATGCACATGTTAAACAAAGTGCATGTTTTAGATTACTGTTGATTTAAAAGAGGGCGACACTTTTATAAAAATGAATGTATCATGTAAAATTAATACAAACAACTTTGCCATCTTTCAATGACATTGATAAAAACTTGTATAAAGCTTGAAAGATCATAAATAATTTTTGATAATTTATTGTAAGCTTTGATGTGGTCCATTTGAGCTGTTGTTGGTGTCAAATGAAAGTTAAGGTTCTTATCAATACACTGGACATACTATGAAATTCAAATGTAAGTCTTAAATTTGCCAAAAAATGTTGAAAATACACAAAGTGGGCCTTTAATATTATCATTATTTATTAATTATACATTATCAATTTATTCAACCACAATTTTATAACATTGTTTACATGCACCAGTTTTGTTCAGATTGCAGTTACATCGAAATGGAAAATCGTGTTAATGAATAATCCTCCATTGAAGACACTGAACAAAACGACATTGACAAGTACACTAAAGGACTCATACAGTATGTTATTCTCTATTTAATATTATCATTATTTTATATTCATTATCAATTTATTCAACCACAATTTTGACAAAAAGACACAGACACAAATGGCAAATGCAAAAATAAATTTCAGAAATCGATCAGATTAGCCACGTTCATCGCTAAATGAAGATTTAGCACAAAATGTTGAATCGTTTGAGGTAAGGTGTCTTCACATTACTGTCAAGTACAATGCTCACCATAAATAAATGACACCTGGATTCGCTGAAGTTTCCCATGTCAAAAGAAGAGAATTTTCAAGAGGCTATACATCAGTGGATGATTTGGTCTCAAATCAATATGATCTGGAAATGGTGATAGAAAATCCAGGTGTCATTTATTTATGGTGACCACTTTATCTGTCGGACATTATCGAGAAAAATTGGTTTCAATCAATCCAGAATTTGTGATTCATAAATTTATAGCATGGAATTTAAACCCAACAACAGCTCCAAGAAAATTCAGATTATAATGAAAGCAACACATTCTGAGATCAATGACAAATGCCTAAGAGACTACATATCCTTGAAGTCTAAGTCTGAAATCATGCACACAAAGTTGAGGTCTTGCAAGATGGGATTGGGAAATAGGGGATCAACAAAGCCAAACCAAACATACAACATAGAAGAGAATATAAGCAATTAGAGACGTAAATAATGTATTTTATATCAAGTGGGTGATAATTGAGCACAGTAAAATGGACTAACCTTGTGAGCTTCCAATCTTACATCCTGTGGTGATATCGGATTCATTACAGCTTCAACTGCTGCTACAAGTTGTTGTGAAACTATTTCCAGTTCAGAAGACATACCGTCGAAACTTGGTGACACACCGTTTGTTTAAATAAAAAAGAAATGAAACTCACATTTTTTTAAATTTTTTTTATCAATAATGGCGTTTCATGAATCACGAAATACGAAGTCGAAAATTTTTTTGTACCATTTTAATTTGTCAATTAATTTTGAATTCAAAATCTCTAGAAAATGGTGTTAATGTCCAACATGGCTAAACCTCAATGTGTTTCATTCTGTTCAGTTCCTACAACTCACACTATGCATCCGAGGTCCATTGTGTTCAGGTTTATCAGACACTTGATGTCTGTGAGGTCTATGGTGTTCAGCTCCAATCGGTCACTCTATATGTATATGAGGTACATTGTGCCCAGCACCTGCCAGTGCATAGCCTCTTTGGTCACTTTAAAAGTATGAGGTTAATTGTGCCCAACCCCTATCATTCACACTTACCTTCTTCCAAGGGCTTCACTGATGTTGCAAGTAATTGGCTAGCAACTCAAGTTCATGCCATGTGTGTATGAGGTTCACTGTGTTCAGCTCCTACTGGTCACTTTATGCATACAGGCATATGAGGTCCATTGTGTCCAGCTTGTGTTGGTCACTCTTTGTGCTCAGCACCTATCATTCCAACTACTGTACTCTAGTGTTTGTGCATGAAGTCCATTGTGGTCAGCTCCTACATGTCGCTCTTGAGTTTATGAACTCCTTATCACTCTATTTTTGTGCATGGTTTTTTGTCTCAAACTACTATGTATTACTCTATGTAGGGTTTACATTAGATACTTCTCGTGGGGAAAGTATTCGCTTATAGTCAAAGGTAATGACCTAGATTTTGACCTTGGCCTTTGGGATGATTTTGACCTTCAATATTCATTTTAGATTTAGAACCCTGTGAAAATTTCTTATTGTTACGCTATACCCATATCATTGAATTTGGTGAACTTTTTTGTTGACCTACTTTCTTTTTGACCTAATTTCAAACAGTAAGGATTGTAAAATCAGGATCAACAAAGATTTGACCTCGATATAGACTTTGGCATTTGACTGTCCAAATTTTGTATTAACTTTCAAGGCCCTCTCCTGTTATTGACAATTGTGCTTGTAACTGGCATTTCTCAATTCATAGTTTTGCTCGCTGCCATTGACTTGAACATTGCATGATATCTTCTAATTAATTTTTTGTGGGTGAATGAAATAGGCTAAAATAACCAAATGAGTCACTTCATTTATATAGAAGCAAGACACAGGGTTAACAATATTGTACCTAAAATACAGAAGTATAGGTAAAACAGTCAGCTTTAGGCTAGAGAAAAATCAGTTTTCATACCAAGAAACATCCCTTAATATAACTTCAATCAATGAAATGACAGGACTACAGACAAGTTTTCAGGATGGAACATATAATATAATGGCTACTTCAAGTGGCGGCCGGTATTTTGAAATGTGATTATTGAGCAGAACTTGTTTTCCCATAGGGCATATGAGGATAAAAATTTGAGCATTCTTAATTGTTTTTAATATTTATTTATTTTTACCATAATTGTCTAACATTAAATAATAGGGTTGGCACTAGATATTAATACCATTTAACTGGTACAATGTGTTTCTTTCCATACCTCCACAAAGATAAGTCAATAATCATAAAAATACAAACATTACAATGTGGAAAAATAATGCTACAATGTATATGCATATTATTATGCATAATTTGTTGATAACAACTAATTCAAGTAATAAATTTTTGTAGCACACTTGGAAGGTGGACGTATGTGCGTATAGATCAATAACACGTATTGTAGGTTTAAAATTGTCTTTATTGTTAAATATACCAATGTGCAGTTGATAACTGCACATTGGTATTTTATGTTGGCAGCTTTACATGTTCATCTCACACTGTTTTTGTTGTAACTCCTACTGCAGCAAAACTTTGTATCAAAATGTTGGGACTGATTGAAATAAATCTAGGTGTAGCTTTTATATTGGAAATCAAGTATTACACTCATGCTAAAAGGAATATGTCCCTTTAGGAGCTCACAAATTACGATTGGTTTATATTCAAATACAAATTATTACAAACTTGTCATTGGCTGAAATTGTGCAAATTGAACACAATGTAAAGTGGGATTGGTGTATATTCAAATACAAGTTATTACAAAGTTGTCATTGGCTGAAAATGTGCAAATCGAACACAATAAAAAGTGGGATTAGTGTATGATTTCTGAATAACATGATTCTGTACTGGTATTCACTCAAGCGTATTAAACCTTCTATCAGCTAAAACTTGGCAATCAACACTGATGCTTAAAGGCTATTGCTTTGTGTACAGCATTATAAACTTTGTATTCATTGAACCTTACTAGTTGAACATATTAAAGCCTAATGCTTTTTATAAATGAGAATATTACTTTTAATTAAAATAGAGGTACGATATCACATTATATAATAAATGCCTACACAAAGATAAGTTGAAAATACAAAAAAACTAACATTGGAATAGTATACAATTTGTAATAAAAAATAAACCAGAACAACGGCAACGCCAAAGCGTAGCGAATCCCATCGAACAGAAATGGCTGGCATTTTTACAAACGAATAGCAAATATCATAAAACAACACACCAGAAAGGCCACCATTTTCAAAATGGTTGCTCACTAGCCAAGTTGTCATCAGAAGAAATAATATGCTTTTCAGTAGCCACCTCTAAAATTTTTGAAAAATCGCACACATACTTGTAAAATAACACACATAAAAATGGTGGCCATTTTTCAAAATGGCCGACTACTCCCCAAAGTTTTATTAGACAATGTGCCATGCTTAAAGTATTCACATATCAAATATGAACAAAATTGCTCCACTACTTTTCGAGTTATAGTAAAATACGTTAAAATGGCGGCCATTTTTCATAAAATTTTTCAAAATGGCCGCCTTCTACCAAAAGTGTCATAGGACAGTGTGCCATGCTAATAGTATTCACATACCAAATATGAACAAAATCGCTCCACTACTTTTCGAGTTATAGTAAAATACGTTAAAATGGCGGCCATTTTTCAAAATGGCCGCCTTCTACCAAAAGTGTCTTTAGACAGTGTACAATGCTTATAGTATTCACATACCAAATATGAACAAAATCACTCCACTATTTTTTGAGTTATAGCAAAGATCGTAAAATGACGAGTAAAGGCCGCCATTTTTCAAGATGGCTGCCATGTGCTTCTTTAATATCTACATTTGTAGCATTATTAATGTCCTTTATAATTTTTTTACATTTAAAACATATTGATATAACAGTTTTACATATTGCACCTAAATTACTGTAAAATCGGCACTAAAATGGCCGCCATTTTGAAATGAGCGGCCATTTTGAAAATCGGCTTTTGAGCAGAACTTCTACCCCAATAAGGTATATGTGTACAAAATATGAACAAAATCGGGCCAACGGTATTTGAGTTATTGCCCGGACGGACGGACAGACGGACGTACGGACGTACGTACGGACAGACGTACGTACGGACGGACGTACGTACGGACGGACGGACGGACGGAGGCGTTCCCTATATCCCTCCGAACTTCGTTCGATGGGATAATAAATGCAGTAAATTACTCGTGAAATTTGAGTCATAGCCTAAGTAGTTCTCAAATCTGAATTACAGTGTTCATTAAGTAGTGGCTCAGTCTCCCATTTTACAGTTTGAAACCAATTTTTCTATATTTTGCAAATATCACCAAGGATTAATAATGCGTGCACATACAAAGTTTCAAGAATACAAATAGTTAATTTTATCATATACATGTACATTTTGATTTTGTCCCATGGTTCTAGACAGAGCACTTATTACGTCACTAAATGTCTAGTCTTGATCATATTACTTCTACAAATGCGAACTCCCGTGCAGTGATAATATCACTGCGGCGGGCAGGTATCTCACCGTAAGCATGGTAACTTCTAATAAACAACTGACGTGATTGGTTCTAGTCCCATGCTCAGGTCGCGTGATTGTTAAATTTAGACAATTTCATTGGTTGAATTGCGCGTATTAACTGATAAACAACACGTGCGGTAAACTATTATCAACACAACTTTTACTCAGAATTCCTTCCGCGGTGATTTCTTCTCATATTTCAATAATTTTGAAATATTTTGACAAAATAATGTTTGGGGAACATTTATGAGTACATATTTTATAAGTTGTGTGAAAATTGACCACATATTTGATGAAAAAGGGAACTATTTTCCCCAAATTTTGGGGATTTTCTTCGTCTGCCCGCCGCAGTGTCTATACCGAGACACTGCATTGGAGTTCGCTACAAATGATACAATAGTTATATTATATCCAGCACTCCATGCTCGTTGGAGGTAATATTCACTAAATGCATTTTTGTTGCCTAGCCACAAAATCTTGGAAAACATTTATTTTAGGTCTATTTGGCCAATATTATCTTGACTGATTATACATTCTATCTATATTATTTTGATTTGTATCATTTTTACAAAGAACATCTGCCTACTATCTTGTTACCAAAGAAAACAATGTTTCTATTGCATCTGCACCATAACTTGCTTCAAGCATTTGATATTTCCTACGCATAGATTTCTTTAGGTCAACTGTCCAAGGATTCTCGTGATAAATCAGCACTTGAAGTTTTAATAATGACTTACATGTAGATGGAACATGCTTTAAATTATTCTTAGAAATATCCAATTCCTCTAGGTGTTTAAGGAGACCCATTTCTCGTGGTAGTTCATACAGGAGGTTATTTGATAGTTTAAGAATCAACAATGAATTGCATATATCACCTGTGAATATTCTTCCATCAATGTCTCTTAAAAGATTTGAAGAAACATCCAGATGAGTAAGACTCTGTAAATTGCATAACTGGTCGGGCAATCGCACAATTTGGTTATGCGATAAGTTTAATTCCATAAGGTATTCTAGCTCAGAAATATTACTTGGAATAACCGTCAGTTTATTTGCACTTAAATCCAATATACGTAGTAGTTTCACATGTGAAAATAGTTCCTCTGGCACTGCTATCAGCTTGTTTGATGAAAAATCTATAGTTGTTAGTTTCCGTAGCTTACATAGGTTATATGACACGCACCCCTCAAGTTTACATTTGCTCATATATAAATGTTCCAAATTCCGAAGCTTCTCAAAAACCTCTTCAGGTATGACATGAAGTTTGATTTTATTTAGAGAGAGACATTTTGATACTCTGGCTTCTCTCACTTTCATTCGGATAATGCTGCGTTGATCAGCGTCAGTCATCTTGTACATTAACACACTTGTATGAGATTAAATTTCTTTTGGAGAAGTCCTTTTTGTGTTAAATTGTCAGATCCTGTAGTCCTGCATATCAATTCTTTCAAGCCTACAATTACAAAGGTTTAATAAAATTAACATAATTATGACATGCCCGTAATTAGTTCTAGATGGGGGGATCTACCCCCCACCCACACATAAAAAATTTCCACGCTAAACCAAATCCCTTCAAAATGTAAAGTGTATGTTTAACATGAAACCAGGCGTATCCAAATTCATTGGGAAAGGAGCCCAAAAAAATATATTGGATTTTTTGTGCTCATTTGTGAACAAGTCTAGGAGAGTAGGGAAGAGTTCACCCAGGAGAGTTCACCATTACTAATACTGTAGTACGCATGTAAATAAGATCAAGAAGTGGTGCTTTAATATTGAGACCTAAATATCCAAGAATCACAGAACTCTGAAATGTGCATTCAATCAAGGAACCATGTACCAATCTGAGTTTGTATGTGTTCAGTGATTTCTATGCTCACTTGGCTTTTAGACTCTGGAGATTCTCCAGAGTCTACTGTCTTTAGACCTTCTTGCTCCAGAGTCAACCCCTTATTAATGGTACCTTTAACTCTCTTCACTCTTTCAATTTACAATATATCTCTGAACTCACCACCCAATCAGAGTTCGTCGTTGAAATACAGACAATTTTGTGAGTGCCAAGTATATTTATGGGGTAATCTTAGTTCAACCATGGGCTTTCAATAAGAATTCTAGTTGAAAGCCCATGGTTCAACGAGTTAAACCCAATCCGGTTTATCTATAGTCACGGGCCACAAAATATGTCAGATAGGAAATAAGACCCAAACTAGGTTTAACTTGTTGAACTTACTAAGGTAATCTAAGAGAACATTGTCAGGTTACAGATTGCCTATTCTTCCAGGCTAGCCACTTATAAAAATGCAACTTCATCTTCATCATTGGCACTGACCTCTGCCAGGTACCTGTTCTTGATGTCTAGGCTCAATGAATACTAGTATACAAAAGGACAAGACACAAAATCTTTGGAAAATCTATTTTTCAACTAGTCTAATTGAAAGCACATGCAATCACTAAAGCCACATAATTAAGAAAGCGTCTGTTGATAAAAGCATAAAATAACCGAGCGTACATAATGGAGTGTTTCGGCTATTTCTGTTATTCTCATGTTTATTCCCAAAATCAAATGTCTTTTCTGAGAATGTGACGCAACTCCGGATGACGTCACATCAGAGATTACCGAGAAACTCCATGTTGTTTCTTAAACTCCTGTAGAAACAATAAAAACAGTTTGTTAGGCTCCGCAATCCATTGGCTGTTTGTTGCGATGTGACGTAATTTGAGAGACGAACAACATCGGACACTGCCAGAAATTACCGAAACCATAGGCCCCGGGAACATGTATAAAATACTGTAATACAGATGTCGACTCGCTATTTTGTACATGTTCCCGGGGCCTATGACCGAAACACTCCATTATCTTTATGCTCAGAAAATCTGAAATAATTGTCCCGGGAATACTTGATTTACAGCGTCAATAATTAATATCATGTAACCATTCAAACTAATATATGAAGAAGAGATTACAGGGTAAATAAAATACCCAGTGGTACATGTAAATTGATCACTCAATGATTGATAGCCTGATTGATAAAGGTCAGTACGAGCCGGGAGTACGAGGCTCATATTTTTGGGTAGTCATTTTTGGATGTACCATTTTTGGCTGTGTCCGATTTTCTTATTTATTCATTGAGCCTACTACCATTGTACCAATAGGGGCTGGATCTGGCTCCGGATCTGTGATCAGACCACATGCTATCTATTGCAAGACTTACGCCTGCCACAACCGTCGCCATGTTAATCAGTGTTTTTAAGTAGCGCAAGGATCCTGCCATGACCGTGGTAGTTTTATCGTGTAAGCCTGGTATAACCGTGACAGGCTGGTATAACCGTGACAATGCTGTAGTATATTGCAAGGCCTGTCATGACCCTGGAAGTGTTTCCCTGGAAGCCTGGCACGACCGTAGCCTTTATTGTGGTTTATAAGCGAATGTGAATATTAATGTATTAATGTATTGTAGTAATTTTGATTTTGACATGATTAAGGTAGTTAAACACCATGATCATAGTATTAAACTGTTTAATTGTAATGCCGATCACTTAAAATTGTTAAGGATATTCCTGGCATTAATGTCATACATATTTACTAGTCATTGCAATACATTATAACAGTCATAGTAGGACTAAGCCTAAATTTCTACATTACCACCCTCATACCTGGCCTTGCAATACTATATTACATTGTCAAGGTCATACCAGGCTTTGCGATCCCATAATACATTGTCACGGTCATGCCAGGTTTTGAAATACACATTGTCACGGTCACTTATAGCAATCATAAATTTCTACATTACCACTCTCATACCCGAACTTGGAATACTATATCACATTGCCACGGCGGTCATACCAAGCCTTGCAATACTATATTACATTGTCACGGCCATGTCAGGCCTTGCAGTACTATATTACGTTGCCACGGTCATACCAGGCTTTGCAATACACATTGTCACGGTTATAGCAGTCCTAATCGTAAATTTCTACATTACCACTCTCATATCTGAACTTGCAATACTATACTACATTGTCACGGTCATGTCAAGCCTTGCAGAACTATATTACATTAACACGGTCATGGCAGGCATTTTCAATATAATACAGAGACCCTATCTGTTGCAAGACTAACGCCTGGCGTAACCGTCACCATGTTATTCGGTGTTTTTTAAGTAGCACAAGGATCCTGCCATGACCGTGGTAATGTTATCGTGAAAGCCTGGTATAACCGCGACAATGCTGTATTATATTAAATGCCTGCCATGACCGTGCTAGTGTAATCGTGTAAGCCTGGCGCGACCTTTATATGACATTAATGACCTTCATGTTTCGCCCGTTGCTGTTGGTATTTTTTATGGATAAATCTTATTTATTGATCATTATAGAAAGTATATGCTTTCGAATCGAAGCTCCTTGAATGAGAGTAGAGATATAGTTTGTTCGCAAATTATTTATGAGTAAAAATTAGGTTTTCGTTGTGAAATTAATACACATTTTTAGAAGTCTTTATTTACATATTTAAGGTAGTTAAACACGAAGAAAAATTGTCATTACAGTGTTCCCATGCTACTTTAAATACAACCACGGTCATGACAGGCCTTATAAGCATTGTCACGGTCATATTAGGCTTTAACATTACCACGGTCATGACAGGCCTTGCAATATAATACAGCATTGTCACGGTTATACCAGGCTTACAAAATAACACTGCCACGGTCATGGCAGGATCCTTGCGCTACTTAAAAAACACCGAATAACATGGTGACGGTTACACCAGGCGTTAGTCTTGCAACAGATAGCATGTGATAATACAGCATTGTGGCGGTTATACCAGGCTTTCACGATACCACGGTCATGGCAGGATCCTTGCGCTACTTAAAAACACATGAATAACATGGTGACGGTTACGCCAGGCGTTAGTCTTGCAACAGATAGTAGACTATATCCTATTTAGTCTGAATTATATTCAGACTATAAGGCACCTATGTTAAAGTTTGGTAATTCCAAATATTTGTTTACATAGGAAGTGCTATTCAAAATGGCCGATTGGGTATAATTAATTTGCACATTTTTACTTCAACTAGCTTTATTTCCACTTGACAATATGCTGTGTTACTTTTTATTGCATTTAATTGTACCTTACTAATTAGTTGAAATTTTGTAATATTTATTTTATTGAAGAAATGGTTCCTCTAATTGATAATTTTGTGCAAAAAATTTCACTGCAATTTCCACAGGAAAGTAGTACATCCTAACAGACTGACTTCTAGTCAGTCTGTTGGATACATACTACAACAGATAGGGTCTCGATCAGACTGTTCGGTTCATGGTGAAATATTGAAAAGTCCATGATTCAACTGAAATTACACTGTCTATGACCAAAGTTGCATTAGACTACAATCATTTCACATATTGTTGATATACTTACATATGTTTAGTCTTCTCTACACTTTATTGCTTCGAAATCGTGTCGAAAACCGCGATAAATTCGATTCAAAGTTCCCGGTACCGCCATCTTAAATCTCGATCACGTTAAAATCTCGGGGCCCAAATCTCGCGAGATAATCTTGTTTACATTCGAGACGGATTTTGAATTACAAACACGTTACAAATCCACCCAATTAGCTAGGAAATACACATATTTGAGGAAAATATCTTGTAAAACTACAACAATGGAACATCTGAGGCGGGCCTTATCTTCCGAAGAATACCCTGAACGAAAGTATACAGGCCCTTCATTGAAGCAAAAGTTAAAGGACCATTACGATGAAAGAGATTTTAGTGTGAAGCATGCAGTCGCCAATGCTTATGGAGTATCATTTTTCTGGTACTTGGTCTTTTCATTATCACTTACGAAAGTTTTAATTGAAGTGCCGAAAATCCTTGCTAGATACAGTTACGACTACAGTATGCACTTTTACTATGGATTCGCTGCGCTTGTAGTCTTCCTCCTTATTCAGATCATTATCAACTGGGTATTGTGTTCCGTAAAGCAGATGTCTCAAGTACGTGGAACATCACCATTGCCACTAACCGAGGAGCAAATGCAAGATGGCTGGGATACTTGTATCAAGTGTCAAGTGAACATTCCTCCACGTGCGTTCCATTGCAAACATTGCAAAATATGCCAGTTCAAAAGAGATCATCACTGTTTCTTTACTGGTAACTGCATCTCCTACTACAACCAGCGTTATTTCATTGTATGGCTGTTCTACACCTCCATTGGCTTAAGTATATTCATTGCAGTTGGTCTTCTATACATGGACATTGAGAAACCAATCTTTTCGGGACATATCATATCATACATACCACCAATTACTTTGATACAAGCATTTATGGGACAGACATCATGGTGGTTCTGCTATTGTATGCTTCAACTGTACTTCTCCGGGGCATCTTTATTAGTAACTACTTGGTTCTTTTTCTGGCAGATAACCCTGATCTGGCATGGACAAACAACATACGAAGGATTCAAAGGAAGCAAGAAATACAACATATCCCCTGAGGTGAATTTCCGAACTGTTTTTGGATCCTGGTGGCTGTTTAACTTTATATTCCCCATACCTACATTTCAAGAGGGCAACCCTTACCTTTGGGAAACAAACCAAAGAGCAGAGTAACAATCAACTTACACTCTAATATAGGCCTAGAGGAGAGTTTTGAAAAACTTGTTCCAATTTTACAATTTTCTTCACTTATCATTCCGTGGCATGTCTTTTTCCATAAAGTTTTGAGTAATTTCAGGATTATCATTTGATAGGACAAATTGAAAAGGAGGAAGTCCTCTTTTTCTATTCTTCCTTTGGTCACTTTTGCATCTTAAATATTGATTTTACTTGAAATCTTCATTGAACAAAAGGCTTCATTGTTTTTTTTTTTCAGAAACTCAACCTGTAAGTGTTACACATGTAAGTTATAATTATTTAAGAGAATCAATTTAATCAGGCCTCAATTTCGAACTATAAACACTAATTTTAATAAAAATCAAAACAACTTATAGCTTCCACCTTCAAGAGTTAAACTCCAGACCTAAATTTTTTTATTTACAGAAACTTAGTATTTTATTAAAATAAATATGTGGTGCTAATTGCAGGCTGATTTTTATCAAATTAGGGGTATTTTTAGTCCAGAATAGTATATAGAGTCCATTTAATTGAAAGAATCTAGAGATTTTACATGAACAATTACATGTGTATATTGGGGCAATTCTTGAAAATGAGTGTAGATTCTAAGTTGATGCGTCACTGGATGTAGTGTTACTGTATTCAACTTTTAATTATTGTGTTATGTTATTTAATGTATTATCTGATAATTATTCAGAGCATGTACTTTTTGACGTTTTCAAATTGAATATATAAATGTAATTGGACAAACTATTGATGTCCTCAAATGGTGCATACATTAGTGATATATAGTAAAGATGCAAATGAAAAGAAATTGTTTTACGTTAAATATGGCTGGTCACAATAGACCTGGAGCTAAGTACAGGATAATTTTAATTTTATATATTTAATATTAGATGTACTAGAATTTATAGTTATAGTATTACATGTAGTTAGATTTAGTATTTAACAATAGCATTTCCAAAGGCCATTTAATTTATCGCTAGATGTAACATTACTATTTAGTACATGTCCACAATATTTTAATATTTTATTCACTGTATTCACATTTTTTCAAACTCAAAACCATGTTGAACCGATAAGCTACTGACATCCTCTTTACTACTGGTGTTACTGGGCTTTTAGTCATTGAGTTAATTTAGGTTAAAGATGCTTGTAAAACACTTGGTTCAAAGCCAATCATGAGACCTAAAGCTTGTTAGAGAGGTACATGTATTTACAATTAATATGATGTAGAATATACATTAAGAGATCTGGCTTATAAATATATACATTTTTATTCGAAACTTTTGAATAACAGTTTTAGCCTTTACAGCCTTATTTGGCAATTGGCATACCATGCATCAAACCCCTGTGTCCTCCCATTCTTGTCCCCCTTCTCTAACAAGTTAGGAAGTGGATTTTGGGGGATGGGATGAAGGCTTGATGCAAGACTATTATAATTATAAGGGAAATGTAATTTAAAGACAATCAGTAATTTAAGTTTATTTATTATAAGAGTTTCTGATGTGCAAGAGTTTAATGTTCAGCAAGGAGATATAAGATTTTTGATCCTCCATCTTGCACATCTTGAGCCTGAGCAATAGATTGGTGTACTTCTCAAGCTCAATTGCAAATATTGAATTTGAGATTTTAGCAATTAACAGGATGTTTGAATAAAAGATGATGATTTGTTAAATTGACTGTTTGAACATGTCACCAGTTGTAAATAATATTGTGAAGAATGAATGATTATTCAAAATAATATTGGGGGGAGGGGCATATGGACAGTCAAGGCCATGTAATATCTTTGGGACATATCTGTCTTGGGGCTAATGTACACTTTTACATTCTAAGAATCTCAGCAAACAATTGGCATTCTAAGAATCTCTACTTAGCTCTTACAGGATACTTTATGTGAAAATGAATGAATTCATAATTTATTTACAGCTGCTGATATGACATTGCAACAAAGTAATATGTGTGTGAGTTCATAGTAGTCTTCCATCAAGTCTGTGTTCACTTTGCTGTGGTCTCTGTTTTCAACAACATACAATGGAGATCTTAGCACTAAAGTGTATAGATTCCATGTGTTCTGCATACTTGATGCAAGACTCCTACTGTTCATAATTTGAGTTCTGATTTGAGTGTAGCTTATATATTAGAATAAATAAAATGAATGTTTGGAAAAACAATTTTTTATTTCTAATATTGAATTTGATGTGTTCAATGTGAATGAGAATATGTCATCAATGACATCATAATATACACAACTGAGACAAGCTTCATCCAACAGGTATTTGGAGCGTTAAACATAATAGTTTTACATTTTTAACAGAAATAATTCAATTCTACAGTTTTCTTGTTTTGATTGGTTTGATTGATCTAATGAATACTATCCATTGGTCAATGCTGTAGTCAAGCCCTGTTAACTTTACAGCCAGTCAATGTAAAAAGGGTTCTTTATAATAGTGTCTGTCTGCCGTGTATGGTTGTTCAATTGTATCAGAAATCTTGCGGTCCTTTCCAAAACTACTTTTTTGTGACAATAAGAACTGCAGATGGCACTAGACCTGGAAGTATATTACAATACACATAGTATGTCAATATTTTATGACTGGGAACTTCAAGCTGTCCAAAAACCTAATCAATTATATTTCACACTGACTCCTCTTCCTCCTCTAAAGGTTTAATGCCTCAGTCACATTAATTGATTTATCATACAGTGACTGTAGCTTCCCAAAGTCGATAGGAATATGCAGCATAAAATACAGGGATTAGCAGTATGATGTCGATTTTCTATATCGCTTTTGTGGAGTTATGGCCGCATACCCCTACTGTTGAACATATGTGACTGACTGAGGCTTTACTTATTACACGTAATATACATTCATTGAGTTTCTTTTTCGAACTGAGTTGCTTCTTTTAAAAAATAAAGGTATAAATAAAGGTAAAATTTTCCCCCTCCCTCAAACACTTAATTATTTTTGTATCTGGACATCAATGTATTAAACTTGATTATGAGTGACATAACATTCAAGTATCAAAATAGAAATTTGGCAAACAGAATATTTTTATCAGCTTACAGATTTTATCTCAGAATTTTATCTTAGAAAAGGATGCTTATTAAGTCTGCTTGATAAATCCAGCAATTACCTTTAAGTTTCTAAAAATGAATTCTGAAAGACACTCATTTTCACATTACAAGGTATTCACTTTGGAAATGTGTTCACAACTTCTACTGAATGTGTTAGACACAGGCCTGTAGCCAGAGGGGGGTTCGCAGGGTTCAGGCGAACCCCCCCCCCCTGGCCAAATATTCTTTCAAAATCATGCAGTTTTTCACCATTTTGAGCACTTCTCAAGTGATTTTAGCCATATTTGGGCCAAAATTGTCAAATGTGAACCCCCCTGGAAATTTTTGAACCCCCCCTTGGCAAATCCTGGCTACGGACCTGTAGACACATCCCAGAATTTGGAAGAACTGGAAAAAACACTTACCTAATAACTGTAAAGGCTTTTCCATATCATCGTCTGTAAATACTTTTTTAGGAAAGGATGTCATAAGAGTGAAAGGGCCTTTTTCATCAGTCCTATTCATTTCTACAAACAACCTGACAGCTGCTAGCGATTCTTTAGCTTGGAATGATTGTGTTATTGATGTCCCATTTGTTAATCGAATCTATAAAAAAAACATAAATAATATTAACACACAGCAAGTTGGCAGTTGAGAAAAAACTATGACAGCAATAGGCTTGCAAAAATGTTGAATGTCTGGTTGAATTTCAATCTTTTTAGCGATAATGTTCAAATTCTTTTGCAATGTGTGAAAAGAATTAAAGCACACGACTCATGGCAAGACATGAAATTGAAAAAATTCCATACCATTTTAATAATACTCTTAATAAAATTTGCCCAAGAATTGGACCAAGATGGAAAAAAGTAATACTACAGTAAAACCTGTCCGATGGAATACCTCTCTGTAGGGAAAACCTTTGAACAAGGAATGCTTTTCAAAAGAACCGAATATTTTTCCATTGACTTACATGTTAACGGACCCTTTCTGTAGGGAAAACCTGTGAACAGGGAACAAGGAACACTATTTTGGGGCAAATTATGAAAATTCACCTGTGAACAAGGAATATGGAATATTGGTGACACTGTATATTCCATTATTTTTCAGAGGTGTGAAAGTCTTAAGCCAATATCTGAATAAAGAAAGCTTGGATTAATATGATTGAGATTAAGATAAGCCAATTGTTTACATGATGTAGCATCCCACCCACTGTTAATTACCCTGATTTGTTTTAAAACTAGTACTAATCTGTTTGTTACTCATCATCATGACACTAATTCTTCCCTTCAAAAACCTAATTGCATCAAATCAGTTGTGATAATCTAGAGACTGACACAATTGTTTTATGGAGATAACAGATAGTAAGTACATGGTCATGTTGAGCCAAATCTATTTAAATCTTTTACTGGTCCAACTTCTAGATTATCAATGATATAAAATGGGGTTGATGAAACTTGAAATTCAGTTCTTAGCACTATATCTCTACACATCATATCAATAATTACATCAACTAGACATCATCAGACACTAGCAGCAGCTAAAATCAACATTGGGAGAATGTAACCAAGTATGGAGCCGGCATTTGTACAATTAATCAATATATATACAAATATGCTTATTCGGCAAGTTTGAGTTTGCTTAAAGTGCGGCCCCTCTCTATAGGGAAAACCTCTGAACAAGGAAACTTTCCTTCAGTCCCAAGAGCATTCCCTGTTCGCAGGTTTTACTGTATATGAATTTTTATAATTCTAAAATAGATATTATATGTACAACTGAATTTGTGAATCCCAAATTATTGAATATTCATTTTATAAATTAATTTTAATGTAAGCAATATATGAAATATCCCCGGGGCTGGGGATCAACTTTCGTTCAGTGTAAAATAGTACTCTGGGCAGAAGTTCGCTGGGGGTCTTGAAAAAATTGAATATTCCTCTCCCACCCTCCCAAATTTAGAGGGGTACGTTTTATGACTTAAACATCATGTATTTTATTCAATGTATATACGTTTATCATAGGGCGGTTTTTATATATTGCCTTGCATTGTAAACAACTTGCATTGGCAAAATGTTTATGTTTATGTTTATGTATCTTTATTTCCACCTATGCAGATGAGTACATAATAATTATAAAGTTAATGTGGCAATATTAAAAATATAAAAATAAAAATATATATATTTACAACGCAACCTGTGTTGATTTAATAGTTTATAGAGCTATAGCTGCAGCTCTTGTTTTTAACATGTGTTTGACACTTAACATTATCTTCACATACATTCTGTAGTCTAATGCTTCATTTTTTCCTAGTAAGATCTCCATTTTTTCAACCATATTATATCCATCAAATATCCTGTCACTTAAAACTGCCAACAAGTCACTCCTACTTTCATGAAGTTCAAGGCAATCTAAGAGAAAATGCCTTGTCGTTTCATTTGTCATCCCACACAGAGGACAAATGGTGTCATAGTTGAGTGGGAAAGCACCTGTTAGCAGTTTTACCATATCCCTACACATCCCTATATATTTACAATTCGATTGACAGATTCTCCACCATACGCATGGTTTTATCGTAACTTGTATCGTTCTATAAACGCTAAGTCTGTTAGATATGTTACATAACAGGTGCCATCTGTCTTCTTCATACTGCATTATGCGTGCTTTAACAATCCGTTTCCACGCACATTTGGGCATCAGGTCATAATTCAAAAAATATTCATCAATATATCGCCATAAATTGTATCTTGTCACAAGGTTCAAAACTGCATTTATTACTGAATAGTTGCTATACAACTTTGAGTGTTCAGAAATTGACTTCCATCTAAAGAACTCAATTATAAAAATCATTTTATACACACATGTGGTTGGTAGATTTAGGATACACCACAGAAACATTAACTTTTTTGTATCTATGACCGCACGAATCCTCGACCAGCCCAGTTGTGCCAAGGAAGCTTCGTTATGCACATTACATGGCAATTGTTGAATACGTTTTGCTATTTGTCTATGTGTCAATTCAAGGGTATCATAATCACATTGTTTCAATGGCAGGATATCCATACCGTATGTCATGGATGGTACCGATATGGACCAATATAAAATAGAGGCCGTCAGTGGATTGTATTCGAAGGAGTCACTGCTGAGAAGCCCCACCCCCGCGTTGATAGCCCTTCTAGCCTTTCCCATTGCATTATCAATATGTTGTTTCAAGTTACCATTTGTATTTAAAATGAGACCCACATGTGTACATTCTCTGACATGATCCATTTTATCTGGTCCAAGGTAAAAACACAAGTCTTTGCGGCCCTGTCTCTCTTTAGTGCAAACCATCAACGTTTTTGACTTCCCAGGGTGGAAGGTGAAACGCCATCGCGTACTGAAACGATATGCTATGTCCAGTAATGTTTGTAAGGACCTTGGGAACACAGCCATGAGGATCAGGTCATCGGCGTATGTGGGTGAGGTTACATTAATATTGCCGATTCTGCATCCAGCATTGCTTTGTTCGAGTTCCTTTAAGAGGCTATTTGTGAAACGCATATAGAGCATCAAACTACAGACACCCCCCTGATGGACTCCCTGGTTAATGAAGAAAGGATCAGACATAGTTTTTCCCACTCTAACCCTGCATTGATAATCCGAATACCAAATTTTCAAAATTCTCCATATTTTCCCCTTGAAACCTTGGTTAAAGAGTGTATACAACAACCCATCTATCCAGACAGAATCGTAACATTTTTTAATGTCCAATGATGCTATATATGTATCACTACCCCTGTCCGCATTATGCGCGACAGTCTCCCGCACGACCATCGATGTGTGGATACAAGAAGTACCATCTATTGCTGCCCCTTGCAGACAATGTATCGGTTCAATGTTATTATCGGCCTTAACTCGTGCTATGTATAAATTTTCAAATAGTTTGCTAAATATGGTCATTAACGTGATACCCCTATGGTTATCTTTTTCTAAAATATCTTTGTTCCCTCCTTTGAATAACGTTATTAAGACCCCTATTTTAAAAGAATCCGGAAAGAACTCATTTTCGATTATAGCATTGAATAGATACGTTAAGACCGAGATTAACCTTGTACCACCGTACCTTATATGCTCTGGGGTGACAAGATCGTGCCCCGGTGCTTTATTTAATCTCAATCTATCTATAGCAGCGATAACTTCGACTTCCGAAAACGGTTCCTGTAAATTATCGTCAGTTTGGGTGCGCGTTAATTGATCAATTCTATGAATTGTGCCTTCGACCTCTTGCTTAAAGCCGTTATCAAAAACAGGATTATTTGCAGGTGTATAAAGTTTTTGAAAGTACGCTTTCCACTCGTTACAAATATCTACTTCCGTGTCTAAAATACTACCATTGTCACCCCTCAATTGTAACACATTTTTCCCATTCCCCTTCGTTTAGTTTTAACTAACCGCCAGAAGTCATTAATATTAATATTGCCCGATACGTAAAATGAATCAATATGTTTTGTAAGAAGATGTGTTTTGTAATAAGATTTATTAATTAAAAATAAATCCGCTCATTTTAAGCCCAACATCCATGTTTTGTATTATATTTCAGAATATAACACATTAAGAATAATTAATCGGCTTTGTATAAAAAACCTTGTACCTAGGGAGGGGCATGATACAGTCTTTGAAGGGCTCAAATTTTAAAATATTATCTCCTGTGCTGTAGATGTATTAATGCACTTGTAGGCCAATGTGTATGTCCTATAGATCTAGCATTTGTCTAGTCATAAAATAAAGCCAGAATTGTTTATCTTTGCTATTTTACCTTCATCAAAATTATGCAATTGAAAGGCTCGTTCACTATAGAAGCAATCTTCACTGAAATTGTTTTTTCACTTGCTGGGCAATTCAAGGAAGTATACCCTAAAAGCTGTTTGAACCATACTTCCACTATGTTACATCAAGATAATTAAAAATGTATGCTTTGTAAATTTGTACATTACAATAACTGTTCTAACATGACATGCTTTATGTATAACACATTTTATTTTTTCAAAACATGAAATCCATACACCCCTCGGGGTGTCCTTTTCATATCACTTGTAAATTAATATTGTATGAAAACTAGAATTGAATAATAAATTGAATTGAATTGAATTGACTATAATTTGACATTTAGATTGTAATACATCCTTGTTTTTATGGGTGCACTAGGCCTACTCTCCCCATCATTTAATTTGGAACCAGATGGCGAATCATCATCCATGACCACAGTTAAGCAAACAATTACAGTTGTGTGTTGGGCTGAACTTACGATCCCTGAGACTAAAATCACTGTTACTCATGCTGTGATTAAATAAAATGAAACAGAATTCCATTCAGGCCTAGCAAATCTTCGTATTTAAAACTAAAGCGTAGATTTTTAATTTGAGCGTGCTATTTTGACAAACAATAAAAAAAAAACTCAAATTAACAAATTAAGAATTTTAAAATTTGAACCCTTCAAAGTCTGTATCACGACCCATGTACAAGGGTACGAGGTTTTTTATGCAAAGCCCAATGAATCACAATATACTCCTGACATGATTTCTAAGTCTAAGAATATATCAAGAATCAAGAGACAGATCATGGTAATAACCAACCTGTATTCTACATGTGTCATATTCTTTCTTCTCAACTTGCACAGGGGGTGCCGCAGTAGCTGTTGCTGGAGCTGCAGTGTTCACTGAGGGATCTGTCTTAGCAAACTAGAAATAAAATTGATGCATGCTATACTATAGTAATACATGTATTAATAATGTTGTTCTTTATACCAGACTTTATACTCGACTTCTGTAATCAGTAGGATCAAATTAAATATGATCCTTCGTAAGGAGGCAGTTATATTTTGTTTACAGACAACAGGATATACATTATACTGTAATAACACATAATATTTTATTTTTGTTACATACATGGTTTGTGGCTAGTAATATGACTCTTTCAGAATTTATCCCTTAGATTCACCCCTAAGATTCATAACACCTACTTTTGCTGCTCTATCTCGTTTGTCTTTTTCAATTTGTTCTTTCACTTTTTGTCTTGCTATTTTTTCTTCCATCTTCTCTCTTCTTCTTTCTTCAGCTAATTTCTTCATCTCTTTCTCAGCCATGCTACAATATTGACAGTACAATGTGATACAGGTATTCTCATAAAGGCCTAGTATGTTTTGATATACCAACAGACTAATAATACGATATACAGCGAGTACATAAAATATGCACGTGTGAGCTTTACGGCAAGAAAACATATAATAGTGCAGTCAGAATGTGGGTTTCGGCGTGCGTTCAGAGGGATTTTATGAGACATAATTTTTCATGTTACTACTATGATTATACATATTTTTATGGATTATTAGATCTTAGTTTTTCAGCTTTTAGATTTTGTGGCCATTTAACCCCCCATGGGCTAAAATTTGGACCCCTACTATAAAATTGGGCAAGAACTCAAAAAATACTCAGTGGAATGTTTCCAAATTACTAAGTTATATTGGTATAGACTAATTGAATATATGATAAAAATTTCATGTCACATGCTTAAGTGGTTGCCATGGAAATGGATAAAACATGCCCTTCGGGTGTCAATTTTCAGGCCAATTTTTCAGGACTGACAGAGTCATTTAATGCATATTTTGTCCCCAATGTGTTGGGAAGGGTTAAAATGTAAATAGAAAACTCCTATAATATATTAGCTACAATTGTATGTAAAGATCAGTCCACAAAACCTCAGATTTTGGCCTTTTATTGGTCCATGACTTATACAGGGGTCTATTTCATAGACTCGAGCTCCCACATTGGATGGATGCTATAACTTTTGAAATAAGGGTGATACAGGTCTCATTTTTTCAGATCTTCATAAATGGTTGGTTTTAAGTATTTTAATATAAGTTTGGAGCTGGTATATGATTGGTTGCCATGGTAACCAGGGTTTTAAGGAAATCCTGACCCCGACATTGAATGGATGTTATAACTTTTGAAATAAGGGAGATTCATGTCTCATTTTTTCAGATTTTTGACAATGATGGATCTAAAGTATTGATTTAGACTTTGGGAGCTGAAATTTGATTGGTTACCATGGAAACCAGGGTTTTGTTGAAATTCAGACCTCCACAATTGATGAACACTATAACTCTTAAATACAGCCAGATAAGATATAATCTTTTCGGATGTAAGATAATAATAATATGTGTGTATTGTATTAGACTTTGGAAGCTAGGATTTATTTGTCTGCCATGGTAACCATGTTTCATTGTCATGGTAACTGCTGTTTTCGTTTTCAGATTCACCTTTATTCTAAAATACCAAGTTGCTCAAAGTTAGCATTTTATTCTTAATTTTGGGATTTTTTTCTATTTTATATGATATACATGCTCATGACTCAATAATACTAGAGATGCAAACATTGTTTGGCTCATAAAATATCAAATACTAGTAAACAATACATGTATGTCTGACAATATTGCCTTATTCCATAGGACTAGTTCTTACAAAAGCTCTGACTCCTAATTTGTTCATTTGTACATGTACTCATCATTACTGTTTTCATTTAGCACAATTTCCTCTTATCATCAATTTCTGTTGGAATGAAGGATTGTTTTGACCATTCTGGAGATAAGGATCCTTAGGGGATATAGTCATGCAGTATTGGACTTGGTAGAATGGGTTAAGACTGGTCCCTGTGGGTTCACTGTATATAAAATGTGGTTGGGATCCTTGGCTGAACCCTCAAATATCAATATGTTCCCATCCAATCTGTCAAATTTGAATGTGTTCCGATATCAACCAAAATAATGCCCAAAAGCCATACCAAATGCCCAAATATAGGACCAGTGCCATACCAAATATGAAAACATGGCCATTCAAAATTTCTAATGCCTCGAGAAGAAGGCAGATCATTGAGGAAAACAACCAAAAACAACTTCACATTAAGAATATACTAGATCAATGCCATACATGTAAAACAAGTGCGGGGCAACATATTTTTCACAACCATTCCCAAATCCGACCATTGCCATACCTCTCAAGTCATAATTTGGAGAGCATTCTCATACCAGATCCTAAAATTTGGGTCCATTGCCATATCAAATGTCAAAAGTACCCCACCTGAGCTGAGGATCCCCTCAAGGTTTATATACAGTGAACTCGATGGGAGACGATGGGGGGGGGGGTAATGTTTCCACTTCCAAATATAAGTTTTATCATCCATCCTCTTCAAATGTTATAATGAGCAATCATTACAAGGTGGAAGAGTTCATCATTTAATTCATTGCATTATATTAGTTGCAATGAAAGCAGTGAAGGACCAGTCTTGAAAGATGGGAAGAGTTGAAATGTCAAAACCTCCATAAGTGAGGGCAGCACTGTTCTGCTTTGGAGAATATCTTATGTGAAACAGCTCATATCGTTATCTATTGATGTAAGTTACAAACATATTTTTGTAATTCTGCTGTACTTTTACTGGTGAACAATTCAACTTTGGATTTCTTTGTGTCAGAAATTTCTATATTGATTCCTATTATGAAGAAAACAACCTTAAGAACCTCAAAAGTCCCATTAGATGTCAGAAGCTCAACCCAACCCATGTAGCGATGCAAACCTAGGACTAAGTCCTGTGTGAAGCCATATTAGCCTTCAATGCGTTTACTGGATCAGAACAAAGGAAAAGTAAATCAACTGAAACGGAAGACAAACAATTCTTAAAGTTGTTTTCTTCTATAGGAAACAATATAGGAATTCTCGCTACCATAATATCGAAAGTTGAATTGTTCACCTGCAAAAATACAGCAGAAATAGAAAAATAACTGCCACTAATAGATTACAAGATGAGCTGTTTCCCATGAGATACAGAACAAAACAGAACAGTGCTGCCCTCACTTATGAAGGTGTTGACATTTTCTTTCACATTTGAAGAAGGTAAATTATCAAACCTATGAATGGACACATTCCCACCAGCCTAAACCCAGCTCTACCATTATGCCCAACACTGCATGAATGAACTGTGAATTCCCTGACAAATCTTTAAAACAAGAATGGTCAAAAGAATTCTTCTTTCCAATAGAAATTGTTGATATTTTTAATTAAGAGGTAATTGTGGAAGATGAAAACGATAATGATGAGTAAAAACAAGTTGAGAGTCAGAATATGTGTGAGAACTAGTAGAATGGAATGAGGCTATACTGTCAGACATACAGGATAAATTGCTGAATTTAAGAGCAAAATGATAATTTTTTGGTATAACATGTTGTGAATTGACCATTCTCAAATGAAGGTAAAAATGAAATAAAAAATTAAGGGTACCATGACGACGAAACATGGTTACCATGGCAATCAAGTAAATGCTAAGCTACAAAGTCAAATTCAATACACAAACCTAATTAATTTTTAAGACCTGAAATGATGATATCTGTATCTGCTTAAATTCAAACGTTAAGCATTTATCAATTGAGGAGGTCCAAATTTCAATAAAAACTAGTTACCATGGTAACCAATCAAATTTCAGCTCCCAAAGTCTAATTTAGTATTAATAATCAATCATTGTCTAAGATCTGAAATAATGAGAAATGTATCTCCCTTATTTCAAAAGTTATAGCATCCATCCAATGTTGGGGCCAGAATTTCCCTAAAACCCTGGTTACCATGGCAACCAATCACATGTCAGCTCCCAAAGTATATTAAAATACTTAAAACTAACCATTTATGAAGATCTGAAAAAATGAGACCTGTATCTCCATTATTTCAAAAGTTATAGCATCCATCCAATGTGGGAGCTCGAGTCTATGAAATAGACCCCTGTATAAGTCATGGACCAATACAAGGCCAAAATCTGAGGTTTTGTGGACTGATCTTTACATACAATTGTTGCTAATATATTATAGAAGTTTTCTATTTACATTTTAACCCTTCCTAACACATTGGGGACAAAATATGCATTAAATGACTCTGTCAGTCCTGAAAAATTGGCCTGAAAATTGACACCCGAAGGGCATGTTTTATCCATTTCCATGGCAACCACTTAACCATGTGACATGAAATTTTTATCATATATTCAATTAGTCTATACCAATATAACTTAGTAATTTGGAAATATTCCACTGAGTATTTTTTGAGTTCTTGCCCAATTTTATAGTAGGGGTCCAAATTTTAGCCCATGGGGGGTTAAATGGCCAAGAAATCTAAAAGCTGAAAAACTAAGATCTAATAATCCATAAAAATATGTATAATTATAGTAGTAACATGAAAAATTATGTCTCATAAAATCCCTCTGAACGCACGCCAAAACCCACATTCTGACTGCACTATAATACAGTATACTTCTGACAATGTAAAATACACTTTATTCAGAATGGACCTTAATGTGAACTAATAGACTAGATGCGAATAGAAATAATCTTGATTTACGTCATTAAATATTCAAAATTCACTTTGAAAATTTTATTTTTTTTGAAAATGTGACTTCTAGCTCGGGTTGATTCCTCATAGACCCCATGTTACAAAATCACAAGAAGTGAAATACCTTTTCTTGTATTGGACAGATAACATTTTCTTTTACTGGGCATATCTTAATTTGCATAACTATTAGATACATAAGGGTTATATAAAAATTGAACCACTAAAACAGATGTAATTTAAGTTAAAGGGAACTTTCTACTATACCCGCCATGTTATCTGACCCGAACGAGCCACCTGGTGGCGAAACTGGTAACTACCTACTTGCATCTGCGTTATTATGCCAGCCTTAGAAAATTTAAATATGACGTGACAATAGCAAGTTATAAGAGGTGCATGCACCTCTTTAAGAGATGATTTCTATTTTTAATTAAAATTAAATTAATAGTTTGTATCGAAGCCTACTGATAGTTCAAGATAGAGTTTGTTTATAATATTTACTCGTATTACATACTTTAGAATGTTAGAATCATTTTTAGAGACTGAGCCCCTTTAATAACCTACGTTTGTTTTGCAGTCTGGACTTCTTTACCAAATTTTCTCCTCTGGATTTCTCTTTCAAGCTGATCTCTCTTTTCCTTTTCTTGCTTTTCGAGCCTTTTTTGCTTTCGTATCTCCTGAAGTCTAAAATAAGAAAAGCAGTTTGAAAAAAATGTATGACATGAAAGATGAACATGTACTTTCCGATGTTTATTTATTGATGAATATTGCAACAGTGTTCTGAATTCAATAAAAAAATTGATAACTGATAATGGAAAGATTGAAATTTTTCATTTTCAAAAGTTTTATCTATTGTGGTTAATGAGTTTTCAACTGGATATAAAAGACTACTTTTGAACACTGTAGCATTAAGCCTGATCAGGGAGTGGTATAATCTTGCATTTACTGGCTACACAGCTCCATATTCCACAGAGCTCACTAATGTTAAAGGAATATTCCTTGCCAGACCCTTTCTCTCTTGATATGGTAGCTATAATCATATATATAGTTTCCATATTTAGCAAAACATGGGAAAATGTTTTAATATGGTCAATATTGATCATTTAAAAATCTAGTGCTTATTTCCAGTGAGCTGCCATCTTTTAAGATTTCTTGCAGGAAGTGATGTCATCAACTCTCAACTTCTATAACCTTGCCCATAACAGTATAGGAAAGTAGCACAAAATCACTTCTAGACAAGTGATCATTACTTTCTGTGCAAAAATATTTTCAGGGCTTGTCAACTTAGAATAAAAGAAGAGATTTTCAGAAAGATTAAATAAGATACAAAGTTGAAAAAGAATATTTAGGTGGTTTTGTAATTCTTAATAGCTCCTCACCTAATGCTATATGCAAAGTTGAGAATCGATGACATCACTTCCTGTGTGAAATTTTAAAAGATGGCAGCTTACTGGAATTGAGCATCACATTTCTAAGTGATCAAATTTGACCATATCAAAACATTTTTGCGTGTTTTGCTAAACATGGCAAGCATATATATGGTTATAGCTACCATATGAGGAGAGAGATGGTTTGGCAAGGAATATTCCTTTAACCTACTTTTCTAATTGAGCTTTCTTTTCTTCCTCAGTTAAAGGTTTTATCTCCTCAGTGGACTCAGAGAAGCTTTGATGTCCACTCCTGGCTGCATGCATCTGGACAGCATTCTCGCTAGACAGCAGTTTACCACATCTGTAATGTAACAAGATGATCATTAGTTAACTAATAATTGTGTTGTGATGTTGCAGATATATTAAATACAATATGAAACAGGGACCTCTGACTTTATGAAATCACAGGGCTTTGATCTGTACTCTTGTGCTGTAAACTGCTTGACAGTCATTTAGGATGTTGCACTATTCTCCTGTAGCACTAAGGAGAACACCCAAATGGTTCTTGTGAAAACAAACATCATTTAACATATAGTATGAACCATTGAGGTACATAATCAGTGGCAAACATTCATCCATAAACATACACGTGCGATTGTTTTTTATACAAATCAGTCTGAATGCAAAAATAATTGCATGTCCAACTGTATCCATTGCTAAGTGCAAACTATTAGTTAAACAACTGAAATGGGGAATAGAACATACTCATCACATTTTAGAGATTTTGGCTGTTGAACCTCCCCTGTTGATGCATCTCCTTCAGCTGGTGCCCCTGGACTTGCATTGTCACCACTTATCCCCTGACCTTGTTGACTGCTGTCATCTAAGAAAACACAAGTCCATGTTAAATCTCTTGTCCATTTGATTCCATACTATATAAGGCTTTTTGAAATGAGTACAGATAGATGACAGTAGTGCTTTTAATGGAACTATATGCATAACTGTATGGGGAATGCATGGCTATTATAAAAAAGTTATTCAATGCTGGAATTATTCCTACTGAATTCATATTAAACTCCATAGGCATTTAACTGAATGACATCATCAGCGTTGTGTCTTTAAATTCTGGGAATACAAAACCCAAGAATATAACTGAAAAGAATTATACTTTTCTAGTTGCAAAATCAGAGAAAATACCATATTTGTTGATGGATGCCAGGCACATCTCCTAATATCATCAAAAGTAAAACGAGAAAATATGGTTATATGAGAAAGCATAGAAGTATTGACTTGCATTATGAAATATAGTGTGTCATTGTATAATTTGAAGAAATATTCTTTAAAGGAATTTTTTGAAAATTTTGTAACTGATAAAATGGTGTAACCGTGACAATTGTTACAATGTTTTTTAACTGGAAGTACAGTATTAAACCCTGTGTCTTCCCCTTCCCAATTCAATATATTCTGAAATATGCTGAAATGGAGTAGTTATGGTTTATATTCTCAGATGTGGCTTCTAGATACCTGCTGGTTTACTCTCCTCCCCCAGTGTGTGGCCTTTAGGTGCCTCATAGGGGTCATCTATGTCAGCATCATCCATATGGTTGAACAACCTGCGAAAACAAAAATATGTTGTAAAGTGAGAATATACATGTACATGCACAACTAACAATTTCTGAACTTTAATTACGTTTCCTATGTGAGTATTTTTTCTAGCTTCAATGTTAATGCAAATCAAGCTTAGTATCATATTTGTTTGAGTATTGAGTAACATGTTTCAATGATTATTTGATCTTTTTCTAAACTAAGTATAGTACCTCTTTCAGTAAAACTTTTCAGGGATCTTCCGAGTTTTTCGAAGTGGAAAGGGGATTTTTCTCAGGGTATTTGAATGATTATATTTCAAGTAAAATCCTGGGGAGATCACTGCTCTTTAATACATACACTGACTTTATTAAACTTACCAGTCCATTGCATTTTGAACACCTTTGAAATTTGTCTTGGCTAAGGCTTTTTCACTGAAAAATAAAATGACATGTTAGTTTCTAAGCAGGCCTCCTAGGTTGCCCAAACCATTTTTGATTGAAGAAAGCGATATTTTATTCATGTTTCTCAATAGCACTTGCACTAATGTTCATTGTATAAAAAATATCTAGAAATAAATATTGATACTTTCAGTTATCACACATTTCAGCATGTGATACAGGAAATATTCCATGAAAGGTAACATTGTATCATCCACAAACTTGAAGCTTGAGTGGTAATACATGATTACCTGAGTGGAACAGTGACAGAATGGGGTTCGAATATTTTGCGCAAAAAATATTTGGAGTGTTGGTAAATTTGGTGAAACCTTTCATTCTGTAAAAATCATGGTCCTTATTTATACATATTTTATATTAACTGTTTTGTTAACGTTTTTTGTTTTTTAGTGCGATTGTTTTTGTTTCTTTCTACCAATTCTTGAGAATGAAATAAACTGTCTTTCCGAAACCTTGTTGGAACAAAATAGCATATACATTATTTTCTTAGACTTCTCAATATTATAGTTATACGAAGGAAATTGTGGTTGATTTAACAAAACGTATTCAAAAACTAAGACAAAACCCCCAAAATAGATACCGTATTCGCAATCCAAGGAGGATTGACTCCCAGAATGCAACATCAGTTAAGGTTCAGGTTTATATCTGGTAAGAGGTCCTTAACCTTATTTACTCGTTACAGGTTTCAACAAGGGCCAACGTAATACCCGGAATGTTCGCAAATTGGTGTTCGGTTTTTTTACCGCATCTGATTTGAATTAGCCAATTAAACATAGGGGTGAGAGAACTTTAAATTTATCCTGACAGTGTGTGTTACCCACCCCCCTTTGGACATAAAGTCCAGAGCAGAATATGTCAGCACATGTTGATGATTGGTAAGTAAAAACAATCTCTCCGTAGTTGAGTGAACAAACCGTTCAGAAACAATAGTTAAAAGTAAAACGAAGATTGTCCGTGTCTGTTTTGATTGTTCTGCCTGGAAACCAATGGGGTCTTCTCATCTGCATAATCACATGAGCCATAGACTGTTACCAGGATTTCCGAAGCAGGGTGACACACAGTGGCAGAAAACACAATCGCCACGTAATTTGCACTTCCCTGTTTATTCTGTTTGTATTAACCCTTATTTACATATCATATATTTAAGTTTATCAATCATGTAGCTAATGATGTGAATGGATTGCAATGCCATAGAGTAAAATAACCCCAAAACGGTACAGAAAAAGGTACCTAGGTATGAGAAAACTGACCCCTCTATACATCATTTTGTCAGCATGTATTTTTCATAGCTATTGTAATTCTTTATGTTACCCACTGTAAAACGTGTGTATTTCATTCAGAAACTTCACGGGAATTCCTTATACAGTACATGTACATATGTCAAATGTCACGTATTTGCTCCGAATTTGTGTAGTCTATATGTCACGCATTTGCTTCAAAATTATTTGTACCTACACCCCCAAGGTGTCCACAAGTTGACAGGCCTGCCATAGACGAAGTCTAATGATGTTTCATAGTTCAGCATAATTCATAGATCATATGTACGAGGGGTGATCAATAAGTAATGGACGCTTTTTTACACAGATGCTTTTTATAGACCAATCCCTTCGATTTTCTTACCAGTGATTCATCATTCAATTATCTATCAACTCTGAAGATTTGAAGACAAAATTTATAATACATGTTGATATATCCTCATTTCTGTGAAGGAGGTACGGGTACCCCGGGACCGACATTTACGTCACATATTCTGAAGATATTTTAGCGTGTTTAACATGCAATGCAGTTGAATGCAGGCTGAACAAAACAAACCATTATGGTCATGAATTACCCCATTTTGTTATGCCATAGTTGATTTTGAATATTTTATCATCACTATGTGGTATTCATGCCACATTTATTCCACAGGGCCCTCTAAATAGGTTCCATCAAGTGCTACATGTACACAATTCCTCATCCTCTTAACTCAAGATTGTAAGACAAGGCTGAATCCATTCTCTGACAATGGTTGCAAGATACAGTTGCATGGGTTGTTTTATTTAATCAATGTTAATAAACCTGCGTCTCTATATGTCTCAAACCTCTCTTTCTCTATAGAAATAAGTAGTATATAGAAATAAACAAGTCACATGTGAGCAGATGTGGGCAATATAGTGCATTGGCCAAGGGCTCAATTTTGAGGTCCAGGGATATTGTTTTCTGAACATTTTGAGATCTATGGGCAGATGCATTGACCATATGGAGTAGGGTTTTCCCTACTCTCACCACCCCTTTATTCCACAATGCTTTCTCAAATTGACCTGCAAACCCCTTCCATACAACACTCTGACATTACAATACTTTCTGTTTATGTGTTACCAGTCAGCAAAAAAATTCAACCAATACAACACTTGTTGCATATAAAAAGTTCAAATCTACCAAACTGGCTAAAAACTGAATATGTGACGTAAATGTCGGTCCCAGGGTACCTGTACCTCCTTCACGGAAATAAGGATATATCAACATGTATTATATATTTTGTCTTCAAATCTTCAGAATTGATAGATAATTGAATGATGTATCACTGGTAGGAAAATCAAAGGGATTGGTCAATAAAAAGTATCTGTGTAAAAAAGCGTCCATTACTTATTGATCACCCCTCGTATGTGACAAGGGACAAGGGAAATTGATTCCTCAGTCAGTCAGTCAGTCTTACCTTCTTCTAAAGCCACTGTATCGTGGCCTTCCAGTAAAGATATATTTCTGCATGAACAACTGGTCATGTCGTAATCATAAAATTTGAAATTATATGTCCCCATTTTTCCACATCACAATTTGAATTGCGAGTTTTGGTCTTATTACCTCACCAAAAATTCCAAAACACACATAAAGTGATCAGTGTATTAGTTCACATCTTCTGGCTAACTTAGAATTTACAGCCAGTTACTAATGTCAGACGTTACGACATTTCGTCCAGTTTTCGAACATCGCCATTTTTCTTGGGAGTCATTTTGTTTTAATTTTAGACGAAATCCTGATGAAATCATGTCATATCTCATCAAGGAGCCGAGCGGGGTCCGTTTTGATTAATGATTTATTTATCTGGCGATTTTTAAAATATTCAATAAATTTATGACACGGCGGCCAGCTTTTTTCAAACGGAGTGGCTCCAGAACCGACAATTGTCGGTACTGGAGACTGTCCAGGGGTATTTGCTGGGGTACCGACAATTGTCGGCACTCTATCGTCACCTAGTAGTGCCAGATAGAGAACCGACAATTGTCGGTACGCAAGTGGCTGCTACGTGTTTTTGCTAGAGAGCCGACAATTTCATAAATAAATAGACTACTTTTACTCTTAGTAATAACTTCATCACTGGTAGCCTCGTGGTTAGCGAGCACGACTCAAACACACTCGGTCCCAAGTTCGAATCCCAGCAGGACCTACTTTTTTCTTTTGAGAGGGGGGCATAGTGCTTCTTTTGCAGTATGGAATCGCACAGGCATTAACTTGTAGTGAGCCATAATTTATTTCGACAAAAATTGATTCAACTGCCATCAAAATTGTCCTACAAGCTTCAATTAAAAAACATATTAAAGCTCTTTTCTTGTTCTATCTAATGGGTCTATATACAGTTAGGGGAGGGGATGCTTTCACCCCCGTCGCTCTCTACCCTTACTACGCCATGGCACAGGAGAAATATCTCATTTGGAATATATCACTGTTTACTTTGCGTTTGGTAGCTCTCTCATGCGAGATGGAATCGTGGCCATTAACTAAGGGAGCCAAATGCAACTTCCATCAAAAATTGTGCTATAGGGTATGAGTACCGTAATCCAACACCAAATTCGAAAATTCATAACAATACTTTGAACATATGGCATTCGTGACCAACTATGAAACGCTTACCCCCCATAGTGTTATATATCAAAATGCACCTGTCCATATAGGGGTTCGATTGACCTACATCAAATTATAGGGAGTCAGGTTACTTTTTGAGATATCAGCGTCCGTTTATTGTAACTCGCGTTTGCTACCACTTCCTCAATTCTGATATGACGGGCAAATGCGTAGTGAACATGCTCACGTTCGGAACTATTTTGACCTACATCGCTATTTTCGTAATTCATATGAAAGTTGAACTCCTCTTTATTTTGATACCAAATAGTGGCATACTAGGTACCCTAGAAGCCAACTATGGGAACGATACCACAGGTTTTAAAATGGACTATATAGGGGTCATACCTTTTGGCGGATGGATATGGAACCTCATACTATAAGCTTCAAATAAAAAACATTCTAGCTATTTTCTTCTATCTAATGGGTAGCAAACGCCCGTTTTTACGCCTGATCAGCTCAGGAGAAATATCCTGTCTGTTTAAAATATATATAGCCGTTTACTCTGCATTAATAGCTCTCTAACGTCTTAGTTGTTCATGTTTTTTATTGGGTTTTCAACGTTTACTACCATTCCCTGTTCCCGGGCTACCATTTTTTGACTGGGTTTGGTAATCCCCGGGTAACCGGGGCTATTGCCCTCCCCGGGTTTTGCACTTGTTCCCAAAATATCCGTATGATATCTGAAATATCCCCCCGCGCATTGCGCATGCGCCAGAAAATTCGAAAATCAATATTTGTCGGTCCTCTAGCGTGTAAACACAGCATATCTCCCGTACCGACAATTTATTTGTCGGTCCTCTAGCGTGCCACCACATCAGAGTCTAGAGTACCGACAATTGTCGGTACTCTAGCCTTTACGTTTTTCAAAAGGAGTTCACAGTATTCCAGATGAAATCCCCTCTAGCCAAGTATTGGCTAGAGACTCGAGTAAAGTCAGTCAGTCAAGTTGAAGTTAGCCTTGTAGAAGGCTTTAGCATTTGTTGATTTTTAAATCAACAAATGCTAAAGCCTTCTACAAGGCTAAGTTGAAGTGAACTACAGTTGGGGACATAAATAAATGACAGGTGGATTTGCTGAAGTGAGGATTTCCCATGTTAAAAATAAGAGAATTTACAAGAGGCCATAAATCAGTGGATGAGATTATACAAAATGTAAAATATACACATTTTAAGGGATATGTATCTAGACAATATTGGAAATTATGGGCTTTCAGACCACCATAATTAGGAAATGGTGATCGAAAATCGACCTGTCATTTACTTTTGTCCCCAACTGTAAAGTGAAATCTGAAAAGGCTTTGAAATTTTCAATGAAAAGATCTCAATTAGTTTCTTACGCTCTATTCTTTGGGAATCCCATTTCCATTAGTGTCTCGACATCGGTAGGCATAGTTGTGATATGATTACGAAGACGTCAACAACGTGGTTAGGGAGAAATAATAAGTTTCTATCACAAAAATCTTTTTTTCAAAAATTTTCGACCGGAAGTAGAAAGCCGGAAATCTGACTGCGCCATCTATTACACGCCATTTTGGAATACTGGCGGCGAAAATACTGCAACGTGATGTTTTCTACGATTATCGCTTGCACCTAACTTTACTGTCTATACGATTAAGCCACTCTTGAACTACACTATCTGTGATGATTAACTGCTTTCGGTTCATTCTATGTGCTTATTAATAAGGCCGAATTAGTAGACGTAAACTGGACGTACAGTGTCTATTTTTCATTTTTAATATTTTTGCAACTTTTCAAAATAAAATGAAAGAGACCTAGATATTAGGCTATCTTCGAGATCTAACCTCCATAAAAGATTATATTTGGAATTCTAGAACTCTTGTTTAACTTCAAAGCCTGCATTCAAAAAACTGTTGCCACTAGTTCTAAAGTGCTGTTGTTAGAAGCAAGTGAATTTTGTCTTTTACTTTGAGACAAGAAGAATCAAGATGGACAATCAATTCTCATCATATGGACAACAGGTAAGTGTAATTTTTAGTGATGAGGCCCAGAGTTCTATGGGATTATTTATAGTAATTTAGGCATTGTATCAATTAATTCGAACAAGAGTGTTTTTTTAAGAAAGTATTTTTACATGTACATGTAACCAAGCTCAATATCAGTCCGCTTGTAACACTTACCTAATACCTATGCTACTATAGTCTTTATATAATATAGATAAATGTAACGTTTGCACAGTGGCGGGACTTTTCAAACTGGTTATGAAAATAGATCTGCCTCAGTAAAAAAATGATGCAACCTCAGAGGTTTGATTTTTCTTAAACCTTTGCGGACAAATATATATGAGACGCCTGAATGATCAAAACAATTCCTCGCATATTAAAATGTTAATCAAGGGCTTTCAGTTGAAAGTCTATTTGTAGATGGTTAGATGTTCCTAAACAAATGATGCTGAGACATTTTATGCCAAATCATCATCATACCTATACCTCGTAAAATAATTTTTTCTGAAACAGATCCATTTTTGTAACCTCCTTGAAGGGTTCCCTACAGTGGTTTGATATTGTGTTCCCAGAGCATTAAAAACAGTGCACCATGTGTGTTTTTGAAAAGTTACAGCTTTGAAGTTTTAGCTGTGCAAAAAGTGAAAAATGGCCTTTACATAATTGTTATTAAATGCATTAGGGAACAGAATAGGCTTCAATATTTGTGTCTAATTTTTAGAAAGAGAGCTCTAATTTATAACATTGTTTTAGCCAAGGTCCAGTCCTTACTACAAGAACTGGTCAATGTCTCCATGGATGCAGTCACCAAATAACGTAGCCTCACCCACTTCTGCAAATAGCCCTGGTATACCAACCATGGGGCAAAATCCAGGTCCCCTTCCCACTCACTCACCTGACCATCATCTATCACAAATGCTTCACACTCCTGGAACACCAGGTGATAATCAAGCAGGAGCACCATACCAGCGTGGCATGTCTATGAGCCCTCCAAATCATCTTAGCAGAATTGCTAACATGAGTTCTCCAAGTCCAGGACCAGTAAGCATGAAAATGACCAGTCAAGGAATGACGATGGTGTCGCAGAATCAAGGAATGCCTCTACAACATCGTAAAAGTAAAAGCCCTTTTCAGCACCCTGGGACCCCACCTCCATTGAGATCATCCCCACAGCCACCTCCTGCCCATAATCCCCTGTACAACTCTCCTACTGCTATGACTGCAGGAAACCCATTCTCTAGTCAAGGTGGGCCTCATGGTCCTCCCTCCTGCTTCAAAGGCAAATTGTCTCCCCATAGTATGTACTTAGAGCATAGAGAGTCAGAAATAGGCTCCTATACTGGACCGTCAAAGGGACTTGCTGGTAAAAATTTTATGATGTCTGGTAATATTAGGCCATCAGATTCTACCCCATTCTTAGAACCTACAGGTCCTGCTCCTAGGGCACATTCAAGTCTTGGTAAACTCTCCAGTAATAACCCTATTGCAGATTCAGATAGCTCTGTCTCTTATAAAGGCATTGGAAAACAAGGGAATACTAACCCATTCACAGATTCTGGTAACACATACCCTTTGCCTTATAAAAGTATTGGGAAACAGTCCTCTATGTTTTCACCTGTAGCTACAAGTTCAGCCCCTTACACACAAGGAAAGCAGTCAATGTTTTCACCTATTAATACAACAAGCGCTCCCTTCCATTCAGAAGGTAAAAAAGAACATGGAAATGGATTCCAAGATACCCCTACTAGCGATCATAATTCTTTGAGCACAGATCTAAACTCTATTGCCCAAAAGAACCTCTCTAACTTAGTGTCAGATTCATCTAATGGGAATCACACCGATGAAATCAGGAACTCTTCAATGAAGGAGACAGGGAAATCTGATTCTGGACCAGGAAACTCTCAGTCGGGTCCGCCTACATTTCAAGAGGTTATTCATGTTATATTAGGTCTATGGCATCATGGTGCATGTAACGGGATATATGGTGATGGTTTTGGCAATGGCGACCTGCATTTATCACATAATAACCCATCCAAAATGCCAAAGTGGTCATTTTAGTGAAAATCGCATCACTTGATGGAATATTTAATTAAAACCACCTTGGGTGAGGATTGGGTTTACTTTATATTTGTTTGAATATATAAGATGATGGTGATCTAATGAATTTTATGTTGTAGGGGACAGTGTTTTCAAAGGGACTATATGTTTGGTGAAATATGTAGTATAAGATTTGATAAAAATGTTTTGATATAACAATTTGATGTTGGATAATACTGGTAGTGGTGTTTGTATGTTTCTGTATATTAATTAATGGTATTTAAAATTCTTATTCTTTAAATTCTCAACTTTTCAAGCACCCCGGAAGTTTTTACTGGTGAATTCTTGACAATTATTTAGAATGGTCAAGTTACATGTTCTCTCCTAATTTGCTGTATTTGCTGTATTTTATAATACATTCCATTAAAACACTAGATGTTGATGTGCTCTAGTTTGGTTAATCAATTTTACAGATAGTTTTCACTGTTCCTCAACTTGTTACTTTAACGGAACGTCAATGTAACAAAATGGATGAACTTCCTGGTTACAAGTTTTTTGTTTTCTCGATTTAAACCTACTTATAAGTCAAGTTGCAGATTATAATTTGGCACAAAGCTAGAAAATATAGTGTACTTTTAATAAGTTTCGTCGATTTGGAATTTGTTTCGCAAATGAAGTTGCAATTCATATATTTAGCCCCTCACTTTTGTTTCATTGACGAAAGTCCGTTATATTACCAATATATGTTACTTTGACGACTTACGTCAATGTAACAAAAGCAGTGGTCTAAATGCATGAATTACAGCTTTATTAAAAAAAATTCCAAACAGAGAGCATTTCTAAAAGCTAGACTATATTGTCTAACTTTTTGCCAAATGATACTTCGCAACATGACTTATACATAAGTTTAAATCGAGAAAACAAAACACTCGTATCCAGGAAGTTCATCCATTTTGTTGCATTGATGTTCCGTCAAAGTAACTAGTTGTGGAACAGTAGTATTGGGTTTAACTTTCAACAAGAAATTTAATTTCAACAATATACAGATTTTAAAAATGCAAGGAACGTGGATATAATTTTTCAGAATTCACCAACTTTAAAACTCTGGGTGCCAGTATATGCATTTTGGCCTTACTTAATGTGTCATTACAGCCCTCCACTTGAATGAAATATCTGATTCTCTGATATTTGTTTTCAATATACTACATGTACTGTTGTTTTAAAGGATGGCTGTCATGGTATATTCTGTAATTTAGATCTTCCATTCTGAGGTGATTGGAGTACATACATGTATTTTTATAATTTTTTGTTTCAGATTTAAATGTTCAGAGTAATCACATATTATTCTCCCCAGACTCGTATGTTCTATAGTCATTATAGCGATCTCCCTAGCTAGGTTTTCCTAAACAGGGTACTAAATTCTTATTTTACTTGTTTTGATTAAAAATCTAAATATTTCGCCTATTCAACTGGGTGCAAACAGATTTTTGACAGGATAGTATATACTTTTCAAAAATTTGGAAGGGTGCAGGGGAGATCGCTGCATTAACTCATCTGATCTATCATGATAACTACTCTTCCTTTGTGTCAAAGTCTTCTGTTAATACACTAATATTGTAACTCATTGAACATTCAAATGCTAACCATAGATAAACAGCCATGTTTGTAATCTCTTCACATTTAACATCTCTATGTCAGTTTCTTGCTCAATGATGTCAGGATCTATATTGGTACAGTTTTAACATTTGATTCATGGAAACCAAAAAATGGATCTGTGTGTCATATAGCTGTATCAATAGCAGGTCTCTAAAATTATGATATGTATTGATATCTTTTTCCAAAACTTATATTTCTATATTATTTTGTAGTCGAGTCTGTTCTCACCAATGCCCTCATATTCTGGGACGACTACGACAACCATGCTTCCTGGGTCTAATGCCAGTATGTTCCCACAGACTCCTGGGGGTCCAATGACCCCTATGACCCCTGCCACACCTGCCTCTGAAGGTTCTGGTATTGTGCCTCAACTGCAGTGAGTATTTCTCTTAATTTTTGCTTTTCATGCTTTTTTATTTTGCTAGTAAAACAGAATTCTAATGCCTTTTAGTTTTTACAAGAAGTAAACCAGTCTGTTATTTTTCAAAAAATTTAATTTCAGTGAAATCTATATTTAGAGGTTATGTCACTATCGTTGCATATATGCCCGAGGGTTTCAGTGATATATGGCCCGACCTTGGGAGGGACATTGATCACTGAGAACTGAGGGCATATGTGTAACTATAGTGACATAAACGATTTATAACATACCTATGATGATCTAGTCTAGTCAGAGAGTACTGTTTTCTTATCTTATTGACTAGCAATGGTTCGGAAATGATGATTTATTCCCATGTTTGTATCTTACGAATGTACGAGTCAATTTGACCTAGGCCTAATGTATGACGTAGTCCCAGCGCTTGACCAATCAGAAAGTTAGCAGGCGCTGGCTTTTCAAAAGCTATATTGGCCCGCTGTCTTGTGAACAGGTTACACTATACATCATCATAGGTATGTTATAATAATATAATATGATATACCTGAAGGTTGACACATAACTTATTAAACACTAATCCCTAGCTCTCTTTTGTTACAGGAATATCGTCTGTACAGTGAACCTGAACTGTAAACTAGATCTCAAACGTATTGCTCTCCACGCCAGAAATGCAGAATACAATCCCAAACGTTTCGCTGCTGTAATCATGCGAATAAGAGAACCCAGAACAACAGCTTTGATATTCAGCTCTGGAAAGATGGTCTGCACTGGTGCCAAAAGGTAATGTGTTAAGGTGCTAATGTGTTAATGTGTCATATTAGAATGATATGATTGTTTCAGACAATATTCTTAAATTTCAAAGATTGTATCATTTAGAGCAATTTATCGGGCACATTTTCTGAAAAATTAAAAAGATTCTGTTCAGTGACCTTTCCTAAGGTCCTACTTTTAGCTATTTTTCAGTTACATTTTCAGAGGGCTGAAAAAGTTATTTCATCATGTTTAGGGTCATTCTAACCATGTACATTGGGATCCTGGTCATGTAAATGTTATGTTAAACTGACTGGAGGTCAAAACAGAACTGTGTTATCTTGGTGCAAAAAATGTTTGAAATCCAGCATGGTTTTGTCACTTCCTGTTTTTTCATTTCCTGTTAAGTACTACTGCACCTTAAATCGGTTAAACATGTGTATTTGAGCACCTTTCTTCAGTACATGATCACCTTTGGATAGATCACATTATTTAGAGTTCACAAATAGTATTTATTTTAAAAAGGCTTTACTGTACAGTAGTGAATACATAATATGCTGGATTCCTCTTGCAAAAGTACACTGTAAATATAAACAACTCCATTCTTTAATTCAATCTAGTATTGAACTGGGTTAAATAAATGAATCACTAGGGAAAAGGTTTATAATACAATATTTTATTTTCTTAAATAAAAAAAAGAAAAATTAACCAGGCACTTTTTCTAACTGTAGCTTGCTTTGCTGTGTAACATGTATTATAGTTGTACATGATTATAACTGCACATTATTTGTAACTACATTTTTTCAGCTCTTTATTTTTTGTAAAGTGCTGTAATGTTCTGTTTGTTACAGTATGAAACTCGAAGGAGTTGGATTAATATATCAATACGTGTCAAATAATTAATTTCAGTGTACTTTGAAATTTTCTCCTCATTTTCTCACACTTTTTCAAAGTGTTATTTTGTCATTATTTTAATAAAAAACAAAAACATAGATTTCAAAATATAGAAGTCTTAAGTTTCATATATCGAAAAGCTTTCATGTATTGACTCAATTCCTTTGGTGAATTACATGATACTGTACATCTAATTCTTAACAATATTTTTTCTCATTTTACAGTGAAGAACAAGCCAAACTTGCTGCCAGAAAATATGCCAGAATTGTACAGAAATTAGGTTTCCCAGTAAGTACTACAATTAATATAATCAAGATTTTTATGACAAATTAGATTTCAAGTACATGTACAATGCAATTACTTGCAAAAATTTATAGTCACTCATGAGCAGCAACCAACAGGCGATTTTCTCCAGTTGTTTTATTTTATTTATATCAGTATTGTCTTTTGTTTTGAGGAATATTCCAACTGTTTCCATGTATAAAAATTGTATTTTCCAGTAATTTTGTCTGTATTCATTTCACATGGTGAGCTTAGAGCTATTGCTATCACTCACTTCCATCATCTAGCTATTTGCCTTTGGCTCATGGTTGAAAAGCTTGTCTGTTTCCAAAATGGCCACAACTCTATTGAAAATTCATGTTATTGGCTCTTTTTGTTGAAGGTCATAATTCTGATTTAAAATCATGGTTAACATGAGATTGATCCATTTGTTTTGCACTAAGTATTTAATAGGTATATTATAGTCAGTTTGGTTAGGAATTGACATTTAAATTTTATATTTTGTTCTAACAATCTCTATTATTCATTTAATTGAACGTTAAATTAATCAACAATCTGTTAACAAGGCAGTAATCTGTTTGTTCTATGTTTATTCTCACAGAAACATCTTTTGTTTACTTAACTGCGCTTCTAAAAATATCTCTATGATTCATAAGTCATTTTAAGAGAAGGGAAGTGTAGCTGGATAAAAAAGATGAAGGGCAATTTGAATGTCCAATAAAAAAGACACCTAGATAAATCTAAAGAAACCTCTCATCTGGACCCATTCATATTAAAACCATAGAGATCCAAACTCCAGTGGCAGTGTTGGTCTCCAACATATCACTAGAGCAGGTAAAGCATCAGTCTCAGCCTCATCACTCATCAGTACTTTACTAGTCATTGAAAATCCTGAGAACTTGATTGGTTGCCTTCCAGATTTCTTTTGCATGTACTTGTAATATTTCATAACGACAAAATAATGATTAAATAAAAAAATACAATTGAGAATTGAAAAGTTTGCAAGCAGAATAAAAAGGGAGTAATGTTGTCTGATTTTTGTTATTTCCTTTACCTGTCACAGTTCAATCTCACTGCCATAAAAGTATAACACAAATCTTACATCTTTACCTCCCTCTTATCAAGTGGAATCACTTTTGTTATGGGGTGCTTGTTAGCTGATGTGACACGTCCTCTGATCCATAGAGCAACAGCTTCAATGATCTCCAAACAGCTAAAAAATGTGCACCCGATCCAAAATATGAACATTGATGCAATAGTGTTGTAGAACGTAAATGTTGACACAAGCTCAACTTCTCTGTAAATAGTTTTCTGGGTGGTTACTGATACATCAAGCCGAACAAAATTGTCCCGCAATAGGGTCATATTGCGGAGTTTGTCGATAGTGTCTGTTATTTTGAAGTTTTCGTTTTCTTCTACAACAAAAGTATAATTAATTTCATTTATGTTTTTTTAAATAAATGAAAAATAAGTGGAAAGTGAATCTGTTTCTGTGACTTCCCCTTCATCTTGGCTAAACATGTTCCATGTAGACAGGTGTAGAATTCATTACAGAGAGCTAAATTCACTAAAATGCAAGTTAATGGGGCTAGTTGAACACATGTAGAGAGGTATTGCTTATCTGAGCAGAACTTACATGGACTTAATGATTATTTAAATGTCATGTTGTAAACTTGATGAAATAATGGTTTTTGTACTCCATATTTAAATTTTTGAAGGAACACAATCTGAATATTGTGCAACCATGCTCACCAGAGGATAGGATAAACATATAAAACTCATAGAGATATTGGGCGTGATCAATATTGAAGCACTCATATACTCATTGACCTGTCAAAATGCTCAAAACCCCTCACCATGTGATAAACTGTAATATCTAAGGTACAACTAGTTTAAGTTACCTTCTGTTGATTCAGCATCCATGTGCTCTTCGGCCAATTTGGCATAGTCTTCATAAAAGTCTTGAAAGGTGGAACCACTGATATATTTATTGTAAAACCAAAGGTGTCGGTCTTCATTCGGCCATCTTGTTTGGCTCACTGTTGTTGTGTAGGAATATCCTTTGCATTTTGGACCACATTGTTGGTTACATATCCTGTTATGGCTTGTAGATGACTTCCAAAATTCATCAAGACAGGATAATTGTTTCAAATAGGTTGATTTATTGTTCCGTATGCTCATACAAACTTTTTTATTTTCTAAAAGAGGGAATTCTTGAAGAATGCAGTCACATTTTTTCAAGATTTTCTGTTGTATACAGGCAGCAATGCAAGATCCTTCGCTATAAGCATACTTGGTTCCGCTTGGGGTTCTGAATTCTACTGTTGATGTTTTAGTACATGGGCCATATGGTTCACCTAGTTTGCTGTGATGAGAAACATCTATTTCAATATCAATCAAGTGTCCAGGGGTAACTTTTATATGGTTTTGGGCATATGCCATGGTGTTATGTTCATGTATATACACTTTTAAGCCTCTTTCACTGGATGTAGTAATTGGGATTTTTTTCTTGACATAAACATCTTCATAATAGTGATTTAGATTTACAACCAATGAAATTCCTTTTGTTTCCAAGGTGACATTTGGTATGTTCTGCAGTTGGATTGTGTGACAGTTCATATTGTCCATGTCATTGTATTTAGTGAATAAATTTTCACCACATTCTATATCTAAATACACATTCTTTTTAGCAAATCGGTGTAACTTTCTGCAGTCTGTGATCATATCTTTCTTCTTATGGCTAATGTCAAATCGCTCTTTACTTGTGAGAAATGAGAAAAATGTGGCTGGTTCTTCAATATGAATATGGAAATCCTTCAATGCATCATTCAGTTGGTAATCATCATCATCATCATCATCATCATCGTTCAATGAATTATTGTCTTCATACAATTCGGAATCATAATCATCCAGGGGTTTAGTGTCATCATCCAATGAGAGCTTGTCCGGTGTTCTATTTTTGCCCTTGAATGTGTTTTCTAATTCCAAAACCCATGAATCAAATTCATTTTCCCTCTGTTCTAATGTTGTTGAATTTATCTCATGTGAATCAACATGAAAATTGCATATTGTAATATCAGGAAATGATTTGATTATCTCATTATCTACCTCAAAGTTTGTTAACACCATTGTTTTACGTTCCCAATACATATCAGCAAGTTCTCCTATTCTCCACCCAAGAAAACATGTGGCAGTTAAAAATCCCACCATCCAGAACAATTTCCCGTAAAGACTGCGACTTTTAACCACCCTTGGCAAGCCTCGTATTGAAGTTGTTGCACAAAATTGTCTAAGTGCTTCCAGTAATGTTTGGCTTTCATTCTTATCAGTTGTTGCTTGTTTGGTATTATAGTCCTGCAGGTTTTGCTCACCATCCATTTTATCTTACTTTGTGGTCAAGTTTTTCAAATAATATCGTTATCTCCGTGGTATGTATTAAGGTTGGCATTTTGTAAATTCTGATAGACATTACTTCATTATTAAACTTAACTTAGTTCTATCCTCCATACTATTGTCAGACTCATTGTTATTTAATATAAGAAATGCTTTTGTAAACAATAGCCCTGTTCAAGTGATCAGTTCTTCCAAAGGCATTTGACATAACCATGTTTTCCTGTATAATGTTCTTACCCTTGTTCAGTTTGAAATTGATCATTGCAAACTATTGTAGGTTTTTTACTTCAAGGAAGTAGCTGTCCAAATTGATAAAGCAATACATATGTGACCTCAAAATCAGAGGTTTGCTCATTATCTTTTTTTTCACTGAAGAATTGTTCAATCATTTAACATCTCATACAAGCATGTATTTTTTGTCATCATGTAGCTTTGTAGACTAGTGTTCATCAAACATGAATCTGCATCAACTGTGGCATCGTAACAAAGATTTTAGCTTATTGATACTAAAACCCACATAGGGACTGATTCAATCAATAGAAAATCTGAGTACATTAATATGCTTTATTTCTTAAACATTTGATACCTTCCCTGAAACAATCATTGGCATCAATCCATTGATTTTCTAATCGAAAATGATGAAATATTTTAATCAATCATCACTGTCAAACCAAATCATAAGTGTTACCCTTCTCTCTGCCTCCAAACTGTGCTATTGATACATTCCCCATAATGTTATGTTAGATAATTCTCATAACTGCTTACATTATCAATAATATATGCAAGCATTGTTAATTATTGTAGTTGCTAACGGAATTAAATAATGCCTTGGTGGTTTTTGTATTTGTATTTACATTGTCATTTGTCTGTCTGGGAGATAACTCAAATACAGGTCGATGGATTTGGTTCATAGGCTGATGTCCTATATAGATAGGACCTAAGCTGCTCAATTTAAAATGGCTGTCATTTTTGCAAAAACAGTTAACTGTGACTCAAATAGCAGTCATCAGATTTGGTTAACATTTCATATACTAACACTATAGGGATATAGGACTCTGCTCAAGAGAGATGTTTCAAGATGTTTTTCGAATTGTCAGATTGATATTTTTATCATCATGGGGACTTCACTTGAAAGAAAACATATTGTTTTATGAAAACCACTGTATTTATGCCCAGAAAGTATTCATGGTGAAAGATATGACTGTCTAGAATCACTTGCCATACTGCACATGGCTCTTTAATATGCTGGTGGCTGAAGGACATAGGATTTTCAAGATGGCTGCTGAATTAAAAGTGATCATCTATAATCATTTTTTTACATTTTGTGGGATTTGCTACTCCATGGAGTTGCTGTTTTCTAGTTGACATCGTAATGATTGTCACAAGTTTATGTTTCGTAAGATAGGAGTGACAAAAAGTGGATAATGATGTTTCAAACACTATTTTATTATTAACATTTAAAGTATGAATATAACACCTACCATTCCAAAAACATGGGAACCTTAAATAGTTTTGTCTTCATAAAAATAAGTGTGAATATTCATATTTGTTATTTTGGCCTGATTGCTGTTAAGTGTCCCAGATCATCTTTATCTACCACACATTACCAGATTACAGCATGATTAATAACCATGATACTTGCAATATTTCTAAATATTATCTAAATATTATATTGAATTGTTGTAAATGTTAGATGCAATTCTCTCAGCTCATCTGCCAATATCTCTGATTTCAGTTTTTATTTGTCAACCTTAATCTGCCTCGTACATATTGCTCTGTCCATATCTATGTTCAATCAATGAAGGTTTATATTTTTGTAATCATCAATACCATCAATTTGCTGACAAGCAATTAGTTAATGTATATAGAGCATTTATTCTGAACGCCTCAATTGATCACATTATCAATATTCATATTAAATACCTGAATATAGCGAAGTATGGCATCATGTTTTATGTTAAACAGATTAGAAAGGAGTGAAATCGAAGAGGAATACTAAATTCACATTTGATGGACACACTTTAAATTATATAAAAAATGAAAAAATAAGATATTTCATAAAATTTTAGAATGAGATGACATTATATATATGCAAGAGCAACACATATTTTATGTTTAGGCAACTAATGAGGTCCATTGTAGAGTTAATAGGCTTAACATATGGTGCGTCCTCAGCTGACTGCTCTTTTTCAACAAGTTGCAAAAATTTGCAGATACTTTGATCATGTCACACAATTAGTAATTAAAATGTGTTCTCCCTCAAAGCATGTTTTTGAGTTTATTGTTTAATTGTAAGAATATATATAAAAACCACGTGTCTGTGAGTGTTCACCACTTTGTTAATGATACAGATGAAATTACATGTTTATTTGATCAATTGATGGATATTTTGTAATTATAAAAATACTAGTATTGGCCTTTATATGACATGTATGATAAGAAGATATTTAATGAACCAAAATTTTGCAAATGTCCATTCATGCATTCATACATGTTATGAATTTCATATTTTTATTTGCAGGCAAAGTTCCTTGATTTTAAAGTACAAAATATGGTAGGGAGCTGTGATGTGAAATTTCCAATTCGTCTTGAGGGTCTCGTTCTCACTCATGGCCAGTTTTCAAGGTAAAAAGAACCCCTGAACTCATTGTACCACATAAGGTTAAATTAAATTACAGATCACCCGACATGTTAATTTCATTCATATTCATATGCTGAGACATCAACCAATATCTTTATATTGTTTGGCACTTTCTCAAAGCATCCATTCTGGATTATATGTCACTCGTACCAAATTATCTCTGTTCTTGAAGTTTTCACAATGAGGAGTGATCTCATAAAAATGGTTCATTTTGCAGGAGTTGTGTGAAGTTGTGAACATGCATATTGATAACTTCTACATACCCTCTCATCTTTATGTTATAGTCCAAATTCAGATGTCAGTGTGTTATATTGCTGTAACAGTGAATGAGATGAAGTGACATGTAATAATGTAGCTACACCTGCTAGAAGCTTGGAGTGATTAAACTTACAATAATACATAGGGTCTGACAAATGATTGCAATTATTGTTAATATCAGTATTTATTCATGTCAAATTATCAGATCAATATGCATAGTACATAGTCAGTAAAAATAGATTCAGTTAATAAAACTGAAAGGAATTAATATATAATGAAACAAGTAGGCTTTTTAAAAGCAATGAAAATCAATAAGCCATTTTCAAGGCAAACATAAAATACACCTTTGAAGTTTTATGGAATTTTGGACTGGTGTTATCAATGGAAGGGCATGGAAGATAGGCATAAAACTATTGGGTTTTGATTATTTTTATTTTAGAAAATGATTTGATTGTAATTTACAATAATAGTGAATGATACCTGAACATGTGAATATCATTTGTCTTTCATAGAAGTTCCAGCCCAATATCAAAGTATATGTACATTTATCCCACGATTAATGTGTTATCTGTACAATAACAGCTATTGATATTTCTGATATTATTGAAATCCGTGTGATATTTTCCAGAAATCGTTTATCAAACTCATATGCGTGTGATATCGTGTATCTCACACATATCCGTGTGATATCACATTTGCATTTTGCGCCACAATATTGTTGGAAATTAGGTCAGATAATTTATTCTCTTGTTATATTTTATTATTAAAATGTGATTGTAATCATGGGATAAACCCAATATCACATAATTTCTCGCTCGCTCGTGTTGATATTTGATATCAACTCGGCGATAAAAATGATATCACTCAAAATGATGTGATATTCTGTATATATCAGCATTAAAATTGTTAAAACATGCAACATGTTTTATTCATGGTTTACAGGCAGTTGATATCAAACTGTTCAAATTTTTATGTCACCACCAAATAGCAGGTGGTGACATTTTGCATGTTAATGCCTTGTCTGCTCTTATTAGATGTTTCTTAATTTTCAGTTATGAGCCTGAGTTGTTTCCTGGTCTTATCTACAGAATGGTGAAGCCGCGCATTGTTTTACTTATCTTTGTATCTGGCAAAGTGGTGCTAACAGGTAAGAGAAACTTTCCCCTTGAAACTTAAAAATTGATTTCTACTTTCATTTGCATTTTACAAACCTCATAGATATAAACTTCAGCATTTGTTTGTAAAGATCATCAAATATACAGTTAATACCAGGCTTACAGTACTCTATAATAAAAGACAAAAATGAATAGACACCAGTGAACTGAGAAGTGTCACATTTTAATAACATCATTCCAGAATCCAAACATTTGGAGGGCCCTGGATTACTCAATATATGCATTGTTATTACATTTTATTCATTACTTTTATCAAGTACTTGATATAACACCATTACTGTCAGATATGCTCCATTAAACAATTAAACAATTAATTCCATGCAACACTATTCAATCCTTTTGAGTGGTGGCATGTATTGTTACAGATATGTGAAATCACTGGTGCATTGATTTCTCTTTAAATATTTATTTAGCTCTCATCTTGATTTCATAACTTCTTTTTATCACATGTTGGTGAATGTAAAATAGAGTATAAAAAACTATTCTTTGCTTCTGTTTCATGTCTTTTGGGGTTATTTTAGGCCATAAACCCCAAAGTTACAAAACTGTTTGACACTTAAATGTACACTCATGTTTATTTCATTGTTTCTATTGTCTACCCCCTCATCTTAACAAAATCACATCCCTTGATATTTTACATCTCCACTTTCCATATTTACATGCACTTTCATTACAATGTACTGTTTATTTGTATTCTCTTGTGTTTCCAGGAGCTAAAGTGAGAGAGGAAATATACGAAGCATTCGAGAACATTTACCCAATACTGAAAGGTTTTAAAAAGCAATAGTATTGGCTTTCTGGCCCTGTGGGGGCCTGTATATATGTACATAGGACGATGCAATATGCAACATTGTACAGGAATCAAAGTTTGATACAACAAGATGGATCTGACACTGTCTCATAGGATTAATAACTATTTATGAAACTTCTTCCAGATCATCATTTTCCAGATCATCTCAGATCGAGATGCGAATTGTCAAGGATCGGGGAGATCCAAATTAGGATATATGTTTCATTGTTTGGCAGCTACTGAGGCATTATAAATGTGTCTATGATGTTAATAATGATGTCAACTCAACTGTTAGCAGTCTACTTTCAAGTATACATTTAAAATTGACCTTTTCATGGTGTCTGCCCTCAAACATGAACATCTTAGACTCGTTATTGAGAAGTTACAGACTCTTGGTGCAAAAATTAAGAGATATCGAGCCTGTTGGTTCATTCCAGGAGTGATTGTATTTTTTATTGAATCATGTATTACATTAAGTCAATTCAGTGTTGTTGTTTTTTGTAATTTGTAAAGGAACATTTTAGTTGCTGTTGCAATTATCTTATTTTCCTCTTAAAGGATCATTTCTGATTTCTTTTCACACGTCTCATTGAATAATCATCATCAAAATTATTTTCCTCTGAAGGAGGATCTGCTTATTTACTCAGGAAACATTTTTATTGAATTTTTACATAAAATGACATTGCCAAATCAATGGCCCAAGTCTCTTATGTTTCCCCAAGGGCATGTTTTTGGAACCATCGTAAATTACAATTTGGTCGCAAGTCATTGTCTATCAAAAAGTAGGCAGTGGCTTTCTCGGAATTGTATCTAAGTTACGATCGATCATCCCAAAAACGAACCCCAGAGTAGTAAAGGCTCAGGAGTCTTATGTTTCAAAATTGATGCTGAATAGCCATCAAATTTTCCGTACAAATAGTGTACTATAAAACAACTAAACTTCATATGCAGTCCAATTTGAACAGATTTCAAGAAATCATATATTTGCATGTTCAATCTATTTTGCCATGAGTCACAATTTTGTAAATGTATATTATATGTATGTAGATTAAGTTATGTGAAATAAATGAAAATATATATTATCATAGTATAGTGATTTTATTTAGTTTCTAATATTTGAATATTTGCAATGATTATAAAATAACATTAAATGGTTAATTTTTCTCAAATTAGCGTCTTAAAATGTTTTGATTCATATTTTCATAGACATCCGTAAAGTGAGATATTTGCTGTTATAGTAGTTTTTTGAAGAAAATGGAGTCAATCTTTATATACAATATTTAAACAAATGGAACATCAATTTCAAAGAAGGTATACTCATGGCTTAAAGTCTTCAGGAATTTCAGGGAATTTCAGGAAAAAATTGACCAAAATCTGACCCCATTAAGTTCAATACAAATTTGGATATATTTCTAGGGGGGAGTAGGGGTCAGGCTAGGGTTTCAAAATTAAAGTCATATTTGTTAAATTTTTTCCTATGGAAAATACTTTTTCCTCCACATTTGAAAGTATATGTTATGGGTCTACCTCTACATTACTCTAAAAGCACTTATTCAAATCTCATTTTTCCAAAATTTCTTGGAGGGACGACCCGCCAAAACCCAACGTTTGCTTGGTCTGCGTCGCAATTCAATTTTCAGGAAATTTGAAATTTGTTGCTTTAAGCCATGTATACTAGGTATGCTTGAGTTTATGAAACATGTTAGAAGTGAGCCCTATTGTCCATTTAAATTATGCCTTGGGTTTCTAGAAATCCTGAATAATAATTATGGACTGATACAATCCACATAGCTTATAGCCTTTTAAGCCTTCATCCGCTATTAGCTAACTCTTCCATATTATAAATGCTTATATTCAAAAATAGATATTGACAACGAATAAAAAAGATAAAATCCACAGATAAAACATCTTTCACATGGAATTATAATTCCAATCAACAAGACATAAATGTATACACATGTGTAAATTGTGACTGAGGTCTTAGAATGAATTCAACTTGAATGGCAAATCCATTGTTTTATGTCTGTCTCAAATATGGCGCTGTAGCGTAGTAACAAAGTGATGTCACAATAGGCAGTACAGGCGTGAAGATTTTCAATTATCGAAGACAGACATGAAACTATCAGAGACATGACTTGTCATTCCCGTTGTTAAGTATTCAGTTGAACAAATTGTAATTTGATACAATTTGCAGGTGAGCACCAAAATCAGAGCTTGGGATAGCACTGTGTAGCGTTAATGGCATGAAAGGGCTGAATATGATTGTCCATATAATGCAACCCCAAATGCTACACAAATTGCAGCACAATGGTTGGATATCTTGGCCTAACCACATTGCATACACAGTTAAAATTCCAAAACTTTTATGTCAATAATCTGCAAAAGGCTAATAAGCCTATATTATAAAACATTAACCTCTAAAAATGATGAGTATATGTACATTGAATTCAACCCAACTATAAGGTGAATTAGAGAACGGGCTATGCAGTGAATGATGAAAATTACAGAAGTGTGTTTTTATTACAATATTTCACCTATAGATGTCATCCTGTTCTAAAAGTTGAAAAGGAAGTGACGTCAGGAAGAAGCCATGATTGCGAAGTTTAGTCTTGAAAAAGAAGTCTAAAGTTTCCTACTAGAATACAGTATTACTGCAACGATACGAGGGAGTAACAACGATCTTAAAAAATGCCTGATAAAAACGATAATATCGGGAAATCTTTTAAACAACGGAAAACCTTTGGTAAGTACGTTATAGACTAGCCTCAAGTGCTTGTTTTGAAAATATTTTGTTTTGAAAAAAAGATTCTGCGTGGTGAGTGATTCAGTTTTATTTTATCAAAGGAAATTTATTACCTTTTATTTTTTCATGATGAGATCTAATTCGATTGTGTCTTACATTGTCAAAAAACCCACGGACCTCTGCCAGATTACATCTTCTGCAGTGGTGTCTAGGCTCAATAGATATACTCAAGGACAAGACTTCATTTTGGAGTCAGTTTATCAATAAATATTAGACTATATCCTATTTAGTCTGAATTATATTCAGACTATAAGGCACCTATGTTAAAGTTTGGTAATTTTAAATATTTGTTTACATAGGAAGTGCTATTCAAAATGGCCGATTGGGTAAGATTAATTTGCACATTTTTACTTCAACTAGCTTTATTTCCACTTGACAATATCCTGTGTTACTTTTTATTGCATTTAATTGTACCTTAGGATTTAATTGAAATTTTGTAATGTTTATTTTATTGAAGAAATGGTTCCTCCAATTGATAATTTTGTGCAAAAAATTTCACTGCAATTTCCACAGGAAAGTAGTACATCATAACAGACTGACTTCTAGTCAGTCTGTTGGATACATACTACAATAAATATCACATGTCATACCTCAAACGATGCGAACTGTTGTTAGCTTCATCTCCAATCACTAATGCCATACATTCAAGAAAGCGTCTGTTGATAAAAGCATAAAATAAGCAAGCATATATTTAATGGAGTGCTTCGGCTATTTCTGTTGTTCAAATGTGAATGAACATCTGAACAACAAAAATAGCCGACGTGAAATGGCTTTCTGAGAATATGACGTCACTCCGGATGATGTCACATCAGAGATTACAGAGAAACCCCATGACGTATCTTTAAAATCCTGTTACAAACAATTGTTAGAAACAATATCAATGGTAAAAATAAGCAATCAAATGACTATATTGCAACAATTATGAAAAAATGGAAACATTTGTACAAATCCTAACTTTTGTATATTTCAGATAGTTATGTATAATGTGCAGCAAAGCTGTGGCCTTTTGTAATTTAGGGAGTTTCAGCCATGTTAATTTTTTCGAAAATGACATGACAGAGAAGCATCAAAATATAAGAGGCCACAGATATGATAGCTAAACTACAAAACAAACTAAAATATAAAAAAGTTAAGACATGTATGAATGTTTCTATTTTTACATATTCTATTTCAATATGGTCCTTAAATTGTTTATTTTTTAGATTCAAAGTAGTTCCAAACATTTAAAATTTTCTGTACTAGAATTACAGTGCTCACGGGGAGTCAGTCATCCTCCCTCCTATACAGATTCTATTGGTCTATATATAGCGAGGGGGTTGGCTGACTCCCCATGACAGTGCTGATATGGAATAATTGATAAGTCATATAGTTGGCATATTTTAACTCCCTCAAACTGCAGAAAAGTACACACCGTAAATCATGTTTACCAAAATGAGTGTCTCCAAGGCTTCATACCAGCGTATGCAGTGTCATGAGTTCATTTTTTTATTGTTATGAATAGTTTCTTATGAGACCACAAAATATGATTTAAATATGTTTCCTTAATTCATAGTGGTTACCCACTTCCTTGAAAGCAACTTACGTGATATTAATATGTTCTTGTCCTGCTTTTACTTAACAACCACTGCAATACTCCATCACTTTACCTCAAAATCTCGTAACATATACTCATATACATGAAATCTTAGATGATTAAGTTCTTTATTTGAGAATATCTTGACGAAAAGTGTGCATGCGCCATTGCGCCGCTAGCAATCTCTGAACTCCTAATGCAGTGTATTATCTATGGGCTATTTTTTATTATAAAAAACTTTGTAAAGTATTGCATTGATTGTGTGAGTAAAAGCCTGTTTCCATGATTTTTTGTTCCTCTCCTTTCTGAAATATGCAAAATGTCTATTTTCATGCAGTTTTGATTAATTTCAGCCGTTCGAAAGGAGGAAGTTAATGGAATTAGGGAGAAGTTTCCAACCAAAGTACCTGTAAGTAATAGCTTAATAATCCAGAATTTGTAAGATGATTTAAAAACACAGACTCTCATATAAGAGATTTTATCATAAGTCCCTTATTCGCAACTGTGAAATCAATATTCACCAGTTGGCCACAGTTTGACTTTTCGTTACCTTACATTGTGTATGACCTTTTGGAACTTGCTGTGGCCTCAACTTTGGCAAGGTCTACTGGGATTTGGGCCATGTCAGTGTTCGCGCTAGCCATTAAAATTTCTGAGTCCCAGGGACGCAACCTATTTGAAAAATTTGAGTCCCCATCTAATTTTTTTGCGTCCCTCTTATTTCTTCACAAAGTTCAAGAAAATATTGTGAAAGTGAAAATAAAGTGGGCGATAATAGAGTGCTTACACTTAAATGGGATAAAAATGACATATATTGTAATTTGATGCATCCTCCCGATAAACATCTATCACTGGGTCCTTTTCAAACAATTCTTAAGTAATGTTATACCAAAATAGTCAGAAATGAATAAAGGAAATGCTCAAATTAAGAGTTTTGTTTTCACATTTTAAAACTCGCGATCTTGAAGGTCATGTCAAGGTCGTGAACTTTAATTCTTTTTATTAACATTTCTCCTTATTCTGAAGACTTTTAGATGAAAGACCTCGATCTATCATGAAACAATTATCTTGATGTATAACATTAGATCAATATATAATGGTTTCTAGTGGAAATAATAAAGAAAATCGTGAAAAACAAT